CGTCCTCTGTACAGAGGGTATTAGGGCATAGTCCACTACAAGACCCTACTGCGGATTGGCGGACTTTACATATCTTCGAAATATATTTTTTTTATAATTTTTTCTTTCTCTGGTGAGCACGTGAAAATTAATACTTAAAATTAATGATTTCACTGGTGCTGTCACCGGGATTCAAACTTAGGTTGCTCGAGTATATCGAATTAAAACCGAGCGCCCGGACACTGAGCTATCACAGCTAGGTAACAGGTAGGTTGGCAAGGTAACCTAAACAATTAAGCTATCCGTGCAGTCAACAAGTTACCTACTGGTACGAACAGTCTACATCAAAAGTTAAGGCCGTTTTCAGAGGCATCAAGTACCACTTAACTATCATTAAACGTTCAGAAGCAAAGATTTATAACTTACAATCTACTTCACCAATTAACCAATTTAATTATTGTTTTGTCCTACTTCACGTCTTTAATAAGAGTCGTAAGTTCCAAAAATTATAATTAATGTGGTCCTAAGATAAAGTAAAGTCCTATACACGTCCCACTGTTGGGCAAAATCCTCCTCTGTACAGAGGGTATTAGGGCATAGCCGATTTCACATATCTTCCGAAATATATGAATTTTTTCCTATATGCATAATTAAAATGCATGAAGTAATAAGAGATAAAACAGAAATATACCTATCAAGACCGCAGACATACGACGCGATGCTATAACCACCATCAGTTTATAAAAGAGCGGTGGCTAACCTTTTAACTTTAAAAAAAAAAAAAAACGGAGCAAAATCGTGTCATTAATTCCGTTGAAGTTGACGAATCGAGTACATGCGCAACACTATGCAAACATGCGGCCGTTATAGTAGCAAACGAAGATAAATCGCATTGAAACACGTACTCTATATTAAGCTTTCAGCTGCGGAAAACTTCTCCATCAACTAAATAACTACATATGACTACTCTGTAAACCACTCTGTGAATTTTTTACAGACATTGTTGTCCACAATTACTATAATATCTAATGTTATCAATGCTCTTACAGATCTGACCTAGGTCTGGTCTCATCTGGTATCAGAGCCGCGTGGTTAATCATCGCACTATCTGTCTATTGGTTAGGCAATAAACACCATTCTTCGGTTTATTTTCATTTGATTTTCAACTTTTGTTTTATTACATGACATTAAATAGTATTAAACTGAGACTTGAATGAGTTATTACATGCTCTATATCTACGTAATTATACTAAGTGGTATTTGGTTACAAAAATATGAAGATTTAAAGACAATGAAAACTCCCTAACGGACGATAAGGTTTGAAATAATGACATCATTTCATAAAATTAGACACTGAAATATATGCACAGCACGCTGTGCCTTCTCCAAGCTATTTCAATTTAATTTTGAAACTACAAACAGCTGCAGTTGATTCAAATGAGCACCCACGGACCCTTGGGCGGAGAAGCGAATTACGTTTTATCATCATCGGTCGGGTTCATTGCGAGCCTCGTGACGCAGCCGACGCCACCTCGAGACGAGATTACGGCGCTGTAATTAACTGTTTTACACGCTCTTAATGGCTTCATTTCGCTAATGACCGCCTCGTCTCGTCCTTTTTGCCTCTATCTGCGCCCTCCACGGCCGCCCAGGCCAATTTAAACTTTCAACGAGCCGCGATAGACCGAAACTCGGCTGGGTGTGCAACGTCAACATAGTAACATTTAATACGTACGCGTAATTTCAGATTTATTGCGTAGAATTTCGCCGATAATTGGTCGGATAACCGGCGGGCGCCGATAAGGGAAACTCGAGCGCTAATCACTTGCGCGAAATCTCGTTGTGTTTTATTGAAATCGACGTCCTATAAAATTTATGCGGCAAAATTGGTCTGTCTGGTCGCAATTATCACATCAGCGCACCGTAATACTTGTACGATATTATCGCGGGCAATTATTGCTGCATTAGCAAGGCGGAGATACTATAGCAGATGGGCTTAACGCAGTCGCACCATTTAATGGAAATCCGCACAACTGTGGAGTTCGTAGGTTAATAATTAGCTGGAATGAAAATTAATTCGTTACGCCGAAAAGTTGTCGAGTGAACAGTGTCGTAAATTTAAAAATCTAATTAAAACGCGATTAAATCCATAAAATAGTTTCATTTAACCATGTATAATATTCACGCAAAAACAAGAAACCAATATGAATTCGATGTTATAATTAAAGCTCTCTAATGTTTAAATCGCCTTGCGTGCTGTAAAAGAGGTTCGGATGTATATTTTTGTCGGGGGAATTACATTTATTGCCAACGGAGCATCATATATATATATAAATAAATATTCATAAAATCGTGCGCAACTACTCCCTTTCAACCCCCAACGTAAAGAGGGGTCATAAGTTTGATGAGTCTGTCTGTATGTGGCATCATAGTTTCTAAACGAGTGGACCGATTATGATGCGGTTTTTTTGCTTGTAGGCTGACGCGATCGAAATGGTTCTTATCTATAATATATGAAGGTCTGCTTAGGCGTTTGAATAATCATCAGTCGATTTCTTAGTTAACAAAAAGGGTCTAACTACCACAGATCCTGATTGATTTGTAAATTTAGTGTACCTACCCACTGTCATTCCGGTACCTACTACAAAGTGTAAAAATAAATAAAAACATGAAGAAATTAACATTTTATATTATGTAATGATAGTAGTCAAAAATACTTGTATAACTGCCTGCCCTTTTATGCAACAGCGAATACTGTTGCGTGGTCCTACCACAGTCCTAACACAGAAGTCATCGAACTTTTGATGAACATAATCTTTTAACGAATTTTTCTTATCCAAACTTTGTTCAGTTTCTTAATTTTATGCTTTCGTAAACATTGTATCACTTAAGATATCAAACAGTTGTTAAACATTTTATTTCATTTATATACATTGTAAAATCGATAAAATTACGATAAAACAGTAAAATGTCGCGTTCTTTTACGATTTTGACGCAATGAAACCGCGTTTACGCATTTACGTGAGTGTTGTTGTATAGCAAATCATGTTATCATTATTTAATAAAATCTTAAAAGTAACCTTTTAAAGTTAATGGCATGTGAACTGGCTTTAATAAAATACAAAATGTAGTATTGTAAATTGAGTAGAAAAATTATAAATTCATGCGAATTTACAAAAACCGAAATATTTCTATTTTTCTACTTATGTGGGTGATGTCACATGGCGAAAGACTTCTAACTAGTTTCCTAGTTATTGTTATCAAATGATAATTCCTTTAAAACGCCAAGATAAATGATTATAGACCAAAAAACTAGATATAATTTTTTTGATCCGAAATAAATTATTTTCGCATTTTAAATGAAGTAGGTAGGTATTAAAGGTGCTTTCATCGCTAATGATGTGTATCAATACATGACTTACAGCTTCTGCATTCGTTTCTTAGTTTAAAAACGTCAAAACGTCGTGAAAATGGTAAACTTCTCACTTACTTCAATTCAAAAGAGGCTTTTAGTGCATTCCAACCACAAATGCGCTAAACAGATTTTTTACGAGAAGAAGGCGGATAGAATAAGAACCATGTGAACAATGAAATATAGGAAATAATGTGTAGACTTTATAAATGTAACGCTATTATAATATGGGCTATGAAATAATCAAAAAATAACTACCATGAAAAGGAACACATAAGATGAACGAGTATAATCATGAATAACTTTGATAGCACAAAAGCTGACACCAAATTTTCGAGTGCATGTTTGAAATCAATATAATCTTATCATTTACATAAAAAATCACATTTATTATTCAAATTCTATTATTGCTGATAAGAAATAAAAATGCTCAATACTTGACAATAGATATTATAAAATACAGAGATTGTTCATATATGCAGGTAGAGTTCGACATTGGAGTATTCTTATTGGGTTCTATTAATGTATAGAGCATAGAATTGGCAAACTATCAGGCATATAGTATATTTTTTTAGAACCGAATCTTTAAAATAATCTATTATAATTAAATATCTTCTGTACCTTTAATGCTTAAAATCAAAATATTATCGAGAGATACGAGCTGATAGAAGCTAAAGCATTAAAATAAATATATTTAATTAATGTTAAATGATTTCAGAGCCCATCTTGTTTTCTCTGGACTCAGTTTCTTAGATTATGACATTGATATCCGAAATAACTGAAGTGCCCTTAAATAAATCACTAGATTTGATGGCGTTTTAGTATTTATGAAAGTTTTAATACTTCTACAAATAACTTGTAACAATTAAAAAGAACTTAAAAATTTCCCAGACTCATTTATAATGTTTTCGCTTCCTAGCAACGTTACGAGACGTGGACCCTTTAATTATAGTTTAATTAGGCCCGTTATGTACCTTGCCGCGGTGGCTTCTCGATTTTTTCCATTCTCCTCGCTAATTATGAGTGCGGTTCGAGTGTTTCGTTCGCGCACACGGCACCAGTCAAGTTAAGTGAGCCAAGATTGATATCTGCACTTAGCCGGAGTCAGCTGCTGATGCAATTAGCGATGCGATCCCGGCGTGGAATTTGTCTCGGGGCCGTCTCCTTCGCGAAGGCATCGCGTCAAGATGGTCACGGTGCACGTAATTGAATGGGGTGAGAAATTGCAAGCTCATCGCCGCTGTACGGCGACGCCGCGAGCGTTTTTGCAATAGCAGACTACTTAAATGTCCGAGAAATCGAAAGTTATATCTCCAAGGCGTTTGTTATACGATTATATTTTTCAACAGTTGTCCTAATAACATATCACCGTTTGAATGAAAAACTTATTTAAACACCTAATTACGTATTGAGATTATAAACACAATTCACTCCGCAAGTGCAATAGTACGAAAAGTGAATGGCATTTGACTTGAATTCCGTAAGAACAGAGTTCAAACCTCGTATGGATTACGCAACGGGGCTATAGAAGACGGCGCTCACACGCGCGGATCGGATAAAAGGGTGAGCGCAATCGAAGAGCGTTCGTCAACCGAGTGATGAATCGGAGATGATGCGGCCACGGACGCGAGGTGAGCCGGCCCAGTGCAGGGTCGTTAGTGCGGCCGCGCTATTACCGATGATCGATGGCCCAGGCCGGCGCCGATCCGACACCCGACAAATTTAATTTGGACCACTAATGCCCTAGGCAGCAACGGCGTGCAGATGAAAGTGATTATGGTTCTTTTATCACCTCGCCAGTGCGCCGTATACGATATAATACGGGTGGATTGCCTCACAAACGATTGCGTGTTGTTGTCACTAGAGATGGAACGAATACCTAATGAAGAGCTTCGTCGAGTGTCCGTAGGATTTTTGAAAGCCTTAGCTATACATTGATGTTCATAATATTGACGATTTTAGACACGTGTCTATTATTAGTTTAAAACAGCATTTTGTTTAATATGTAACAGCCGTGACCTTTTTTTGCCGTCTAGTCACAGTGCATTAATACCGCAATGCTAATATGTCATCTAAATTAACTGGTTGGCTGACTTCGATCGATATAAAGTTCAAACAGAAAAAGTCGTGCAAAGTCGGAAATATAAATACAGTGGGCAATACATCGTTAATTAAAACATATGTTAATCTAAATTCTTGTTGATTACGTTTAACATAGTTAACATTAGTCAGCGATAGTAATATAATTACAACGGATTAAATACATAAGTAATTAAACTGTATATGTTATAATATGCATTGTGTACCTACGAGATAAGCATTTGGAATAACAAAATTTTCCTTACAGCAAAGGACGTTTGGGTATTATCAAGAAACTGTAATTGTGTAATATGAAAAAAAAACAGTAATATTAATAAACTCTTTTTTTTTGTAAAAATTTTAATTGTTTATAGTGCTAATCTTTGCACTTAAGATTGAACATTAAACATTTTCTACATATTTTAATGTTCAATCTTAAGTGCAAAGATTAGCACTATAAACAATTTAAATTTCTAAAAAAAGCAATGGCGACATCTCTCGTTCGAATTATCGCTGTAAAACGATATTCGAAATTGTTTGTATGCTGGAAAGGATATAACAATAGATGGCGCCAAGCATTGCTTCAAACGCTAAGAAAACAATGTGGAAGAATACGTTAAGATTTTCGTCGGTGTGGTAATCAACCGTTTAGCTCAGTGGCTAGAGCGATTCCCACAGCGGCGACAATCTTTTCGCACTTTTTCTACATATTTTAATCTTTTTTTTTTTTGTATTTGTAATGAAATTTTAATCACTGTACATCATAATGAAATAGGATTTCAATCTTCTCTTTCCCAATTTCCCGTTTTATACAAAGGGAAGAACGATCGCACAATTAACACGAGCATGAAACGATGTGTTATAAAAAGACTCGTGAAAGTTAATTGTTGAAAAGAGACGCAGCATTTTTATATGTCGCAACAATCAGCCGCGGGTCGACAGGACCGCGTTGAGCTACTTCCCACGAATTCTACAATAACTTTCTAAGTTAAGGCCGCCTTTACGGAAAATTCCTTTGTGATAGCGATACAATGTTTCGGCGCGTTAACGCGACTCGGTACGCGCGTAAAATTTACAGTGCGATTCCGTTCTTAACGGCTGCTAACCGTTTGCAGGCCGATTTTTATTTGAACTTTATCGCCTCTACCAGAGCTGCTGTTTCGTATTCGCCGGCCGCGCGCTTCTTCCGCGCTGAAAAATTTGCGGCTACCCCCTAAGGTATAGATGGCGGGCTACCCGATGGGGTGCGGGGGCGGGTGGTAAATGCACTCGGTCGGGGCGCTAACGTGTGCCGGCGGGGGAGGGGGGGGGGGGGCGCGGGGGGACGTCGTCGAGGAGAGTCGGAGGCTGCGATCGATGAAGCGCGGACACGCCTAGCGCACAGCGCACCCCGCGCTCACCGTCCATTCAACCGGCGTTCACTCTACGCCGAAAACCGTACTACTGCGCCGAGACAGCGAGCGAAACTGTAGACGCCCTTTTGTTAATCGGATACCAGTCTGGTTCAATCGACGCGCGAAATATTGTGTCGCTAGTTGATTTAGCCTTTTCACGGTCCTAAATGAGCAATTACTTAAGACTTACCTTTTGTAATCATATCGACCAATAACACTTTAAATCGTGCTCTTGATAAAGATGTCAATTTATTTAAAAACATAAATATTATATCACCTACTTTAACAACAGTTCTCATTTGCTTGTTTTCAAGTGGCTTGCTGATACTAAATCACGATGACTCAGTGTCAGCAATCGCTTTCATTTATTGTACTCGATTAACCTGAGTACAAAACCAAAATGTAATTATAAATTGCAATTTTAATTATTTTTTATGTGAGAAGATGGCAAACAAGCTGGCGGTAAACCTGATGTTAAGTGAATCACCATCCATTGACATTTGCAACACCCGTAGAGTTGCAGATGCGTTGCCACCTATTAATAAAGTGGGCCCCGGCTACCTTACCCACCAGATGAAACACAGAAGTTTCCAACGGTCTTCTTTGAGGTTTTGGTACTTCCCCGGTCGAGCCTGTCCACAGTTCGAAATAAATAACAAAAAATATTTAGACGTTATGTGAAGTCTGCCAATCCGCATTGGGGTCACGTGTTGGAACTCCTAATAACGTCCGTACAAAGCAAGCCTTCGCCCATAAACGGTACATACGTTGGCTAGTACTTTATTTTATTCATTATACAAGTGGTTTCACTTAATGCTACACCTACTTCGGATTCGAGTTTAAGGCCCGCGTTAAGCTACCATTCGACGGGTCCGCGTTCCGACGCATTGTTGAGACGGACCACTTCGTAAGCGCACCAGAGCGAATGAAAGCCCCGACACTGACGTGAGAGCTGTCAGTGTTTCGTCCGAAGGCGATGAGCGTGTTAAACGTATGTATTGTGGCGCGCTGTCACTGGGAGGTCGGCGCCTTTGACCTGTAGGTTTTATCCAGCCGAAGAAGGAGCGTCTTGTTAAGCCGCCACACATTGACCGTAAGATCGTAAGTTAACGTCCAATCACGCTCTCGTATAGGAAACCGCAAAATCAAGTAACAGCGTAATGTGCACAGCCCATGAGGATCCCACTGCGGATTGGCGGACGTCACATATCTACGAAATATGTTTTTTGTCATTATTTCGAAAACATGCTGGTTTACTCCTTATGTTTTCCTTCACGGATGAGCACACTTATTTTAACTGCTAAATTATCATGTGCTCATCAATGCAACAGTGCAATTGACAATTTCATTCATGCCAGCACCGGGATTTGAACTCAGGTTACTCAAGTATACTGAATTAAGAGCGAACACCCGAAAATTGAGCTATCACAGCAGTAACAGGTGAACGAATCAACTATAAATATACTTTCGAGAATTCTCGCGAGACAGGAATATCTACACTTCCTAATACGGAAGTCGTTATTTAAAAGTAAAAAATAAATAAAAGACACGTCTAAAATTTTTAAAAAATATACAGTTCCCTTTTCATTCACCGCGTTTAAAAAAGAACATATTTAAAGGCGGGAAGGAATGACGTCGCGCTATCGCTACATCTGAAATCTTGTCAAAACGGTTAGCTAAGCGCGGGATTAGGCGACGGGGACAAAACGACCAACCAGCGCTACTCGGGCGACCCGCCGCACCAGTTGTTAAGCCAAAACACGATCCGGTGCCGCGATAATTGATTTTAACCCAACACATATAAAGACCACAATCGTGTACACACTCGAACAAACACAGGGATGTCAGATTTGAATTCCAAGCGATTTCAAAGGGTTACCGATATGTCGCCGATAAGGCCACGGCAGCGATTGGTGACAACTTGGTTCTCCGCTTGTAATCTGTGATATTAAAACCGAAAAAGACCTAAAACTCTATTAATTTCTCAATCCAATCGATAACATCGATGGGACGGAACAAGATCACTACAGAACTTCTTTACCGTCGAACTACTTTTCATTACTTCGTCGGATCAAAATGTTTTATGCACGCAGATGTCGGAACGTGCAGTTGTGTTATTAATAACGATGTTTAACAGGATTAATGGGGCCTCGTTTGGTATTTCCATGATGCGGCCGAACAAGCCGCATAAATACCGGTGTCTACGTAGCTATGATGTCTGTCGAGAGCGAGAAAGTGCATCGGTGTGCGCGGGGCAGGAATTTAAATACGCTGTGTCAAGATCCGATCGCTTAACGACATGCCGAATGACACAGGCTATAATCCATTTAGGTACATCGAGTACCTGTTCGATATAAAATTATTGAATGAACCGACGCCGCTCCGAGACTCGCCAAAACGTAACGTATGCGATTCCCGAGTCAAAGGAAACGTAACCGTAAGTCGTACATGTAAAGCCGAATATGCGATTACATTGCGTTGCCGTTGTGACCATAGATGATGCACTGTTCGAAATTTAAAAACCGTTTCCTTATCTGTACACTTTTGTAAGTTGCGGGTGATATCATTGGGCTCACGAGACACGTTGGCGCTAAATTTACATGGAACTGTCAGTAAGCACGCGAACGAAGAACGTAAAAACTTATCATCAAAGTTATAGTTAATTAGGCCTCTACTAATTGTAGTTTATTGTGCTATAATAAAAAAAACACGTCGACGGCATCGTCGTAATATTTTAGCACTAATGAAATAGCTTCTAGACCGTTATTTACGTTTCTAATGTTTATTTCGATATTCCTAAAAACATAATGGGTGAAAATTGGTCTCAATTTTACCAACATGAGAGCATAAATAAACTTTGTTAGAACAAGCAAAATCTTAATATTGTAATTTAAAGCTTCCAAAATTTTCAAAGCTTTCTCACAAGATAATCCAATACAAAACAAATTTCACTCACCTGCCATGTAACTTTTGTAAAACGAAAAAAGTAAATATAAAAATCACGGCGGCGTGTCACGTAAGCTGAATAATAAATTACTTCATGTTGAAGTGTTAATTCACGTAATAAGTTAATATACGTGTTCGAAAACGACCAATTCACTATCACGTTGGCCGCGCCCCGTTTGACTGACAGCTCTAGAGGCGAACGTTTAACATGCTGACAACGTTACCGGGCGACCGCTGCCTAAAAATGGTAATTAACAGGAACGGTAAAAACATTAGGCGTACCTAATTACCAGTCTTCCTTCCGTCGGTAGCGGGCAGCCCGGATTACACGGCGCGATAGTGTCAAGTTATCAATGACGCTTCAAACGTCGGACGCGACTGGATTCACCTGTTCGCGGTGAAACGGGCCTCCAATTCGGCCAAATGCTAATGAACCACCCGAGCGGCTTCGTAACCCGACGCCACACCTGTCCCGATATGAAATAATTTTTATTTACGAAGCACGCCGGAGATTATGAATATTTGGACGTGCTATCGCGACCATCGCGCCGCATATTATGTTACGGGATAATCCACCGCCATCCATTATTCACATAGATAGGTCCCTAAATTGAGAGATTGTTTACAATTTAGGTTGGAGATTAGAAAAGATTATAAAAACATGCTTACAGTCTTGTATGATCCCATATATACATGTATAATTAGTCAGTTCAAGTAACAACGTAATTTTATCACCAGTAGCCGTATGAAATACAAACTGCCAACCTCTCTGCTACGCGTCTTTATATTTGATATAGAGTGAGACATCTCTTGTTTAAACTCATAGTCCGCCATATGGCTCCGTTAGTAGTAGATATTTTGCAATGAATTTCACATAGCTTTGAAATCTCATTTTTCTATATAGTGACTCACTGTGATTTAACTCTCACTCAAAGTACATTAAAATTTCTAATCTAGATTCTGGATTTCTCATCTGATTACTCGATTGGCATTCCATAAAAAGACGAGCGTTCACTTATCTAGCGTGGTTTTGTGCTAACGTTTATTTATGAATAAACGTTGACGCCTCATAATTATCTACCCAAATACTACATACCGTTTAATGAGAAATCCGAACGCTTGCACCATTCATGGGCGCGCGAGGGGCTCGGATTTAAAAAAAAAACTGGAAAAAACTAAAAATTCTTTAATTTCACAATCAGAACAACTCGTTGGGAACGAACTAGAGAGATCGTAACGCATGCATCATCATATGAAGGAGTGCGATAAGACATTTTTAGACACGGTATTATTCATCGCGCATAATGAGAGCGTTGGAGGCTCGCGGGGCGGCTCATCAATCACGGGACTTCGCCCCTCGCCCGCGGCGCCCCGTGACGAATGCCAACCCAAACACCATTGTGGCCAATGCCACACACAACGGGCCGACGCGAGGATGCGAAAACGCAGGTGGTTCAAATTTGGTCCTGAGCGAAGCGGATCAAATAATTCCTTCGTGTTCACGCAACAATTTGAATACGGAAATCTCTTGAACTCTTTTGATTTTGTTGCGACAAAATGTTGCCGTTGTGTTGTCGTCAATGATATCTTCGGGTTAATCTTTCGTTGTAGCGAAATATTCAAAGCTTAAACTAACACGACGATCCCTGTAATCAACAAAATATAAAAACCAATAAAATATGGGATAGAGTTGCAGTATTTTTTAAGAATCCATACTTTTGTTTAAAGATGAGCTCTCATTAATCACTGTCATTACAATCGGGATATGGTAAGAAAACACAAATATTCAACAAACACGCGCTAATGATGTATGACAACAATTTCGCAAAATCACAAAAAAATCACGTTATTGTGGAAACACAACGGCGTCTTTCAACGACCGCAAGGGTGCTTTGTCACGTAATTAATGGCCTGCATTTGCAGCATGGGCCACCTTCTCAGAAGCCTCCCGCTGCGTCACACTATAAACTGAAACGTTAAGACCTGTAAATCGTCGCGGCCTATTCACCTATCTCTGCCACACACAAACCTATTGTCAAGTCTTCGAAGCATTCATGCATTTCCAAACAAACACAAGTAATATGGCGAAGTTGCATAAATAAACAGCAAATAAAAACTGTAACTGTTCCCCTACTACTGTTTCTTCCGTTTTCTTCCTAATTTTTTTGGCAGGTTAAGGTAGTCATTTTACCGCGAAATGTTGTTGTATGTATTGCCCAGTAACCATGCAACAAATTTTATGACTATTATTTTCGCACCGTTTAAGAAATTTCCATTTACGACCCGTATCGGATGTCCTTTTAAAACATTCAAACTCGTCAGCATTTCATCATTTCGTATCCCTTCTTACGAAAATCCTGTTCTTACAAGTACGAACCTACAACTCTGCCTTTATAACAAGTAATTTGCTGCCGGGCTAAGTTGCACGAGGTCGGTAGCATTCGCTCTAATTAAACCTCCAACTATGCGCTTCTATGCGCAGCTCGGGCTATACGTTTCAATCGCGCCCAGCACACCTTGGGGAACGGAGCGTTGCGCCATTAATTGGCTTATCGTGGCCGCTTATTGATTCGGTAAGGCGATCCGTTTTAATTGCCGTCATCGCTGATTTGCCGCCGATTGGTGACATGGCAGCCTTTGCTAGCATCTAGAGGGACGCATTGCAAGACTACGTATAACTGAGCTGGTATACGGGCGGATTTGAAATGTTGATGGAGCAATTACAGTTTGACGCGTGCAATCGAGACATGATAAATAAAAATAAAATTTAACATTTAATTAAAGTTATAGTAATAATTTTCGATAGATAGATAAACACTATTTCTTTGAGGTGTAATTAACAATATAACACTTTTTATATTTAAGATCTGATGATGCTTTACAAGCTCCGAATTAAAGTATAAACAATGGAGAACATATATGTATATGGTAGCAGCAACGAGACAAATATTACAATGATTTTAATGTAGACGAGTGCGGTGCATTGAGAGTACCAGCTCGCTACGCGTCGTGTATAATTTAATGTGGCCAATTGCCCTATTGGCCACATTATTATTATTACAAACAAAAGTGCGTCGCCGAACATATGTCGCGGTGCGTGCTGTTCCGCCTAATTTACATTCGGCACACGAGCTGGTAGGTACTACTGCATTTGTCGCTTCCCTGCGTTCATAACACACCACTACATTCTCGTGCTGCTTACACATTCCATTCACTCTTCGGAGATGCAAATAATCGATATCAAGTGTTATGCCTACGATTCATTACACAGTAATACGGATTTCATTATACAGTTGTTATGTAACCGTTATCTTTATTAGTTAGCGATTGTACGAGTGACGTAAACGAGTGGCACAATCCCCACCCGACTCCACCAAACAAAGTTATCAATAATCACGATCCCGTTAATCGCCCGGGGCGGAGGACGCGACGGTTATACTAGTCTCATAATAAAGATATAATATCGCCGGCGGCGTGCTCTCCAGGGGTGACGAATCGCTCGAGCGATTAACTCTTAAACGACAAATAGAGGAACTCCCTTCCCGCGGCCCTCGACCGGGGGAAAACTAAGCCACGACTTCCGCTAATTATTCGGGGGAGCGGCTCCGCAAACATCGCCGTCCCCCTCGCACTCCGCGTTCCGATGCACATCTCCGCAAAAACTGGGTGAAAACCGAAAATTTTCCCTTCTCCCGACGGGCGGTAATATTTCTTCCCTCTCGCTCCCATTAAGCAGGCCGTAAACGCTTTCCTTTTTTCACGCCCTCGCTCTAATAGAAAGGCAAATTACGAGCTTACGAGCGCGGACGGGTGGCGATGTACGAAACCGCCGCGGCATGCCTCGTGCTTCCCGCTCTATCCCGCGCGCGTCCACCTACCTCCATCTCGCTCGCGGAAACGGGGGTCGAATACGTGAACTTTCACGTCATGTGTTCCGTGCCTACTGGGCTCTGGCCAGCGCCACAACACACAGTGTAGATAAATGTCCAAGTTCCTCTTCGCCGCTGTTAGAACGTTAGAGATACGTACAACTAACATATAACTAACTGAGACATGTTAACCATTGTATCATTGGCAAACTTCATTATTATGTACATGTCCCTATATTATTGACAAAAGTAAAACGGGACTTCGCTTATTTACACACAAATTTATTATACAACATCAATTGTAAATATTGATTTGCTCTACTAGCAATTCAATAAAATACATCAGAAATATTTGTTTTCTTAAAAGTTTAAATTATGTTATTTAGAATACAATAATAATATACGAATACTGCCATGTCATTTACTACACACACCACACACATGCCACATTATTTAATGTACGACGTACCGCAAAGACGAGCGATGACAAACGGTGACAACAAAAAAAATCACTGTGGTTAGCAAAGGTGGTGACAAAAATTCGTGTTGGCGCGGAATATCATGTTGATTCGGCATTAGGAGACAGGAGGTAAGGCCGTAAGTGAGTTGTAAAGAAGCCAATGCGGGAGTTACTGACGAGCGGCTCGCGTGATGTCACCCGCTGGGAATGGCACAGAATAAAAAATATAGAAACGCTAACTGTTGATATTATTTTCTAATGTTTTTGCTGTATGCCGTACTCCCGGCGCATTTTCGTGAACCGATGAGAAACTCATTCGGGACTTTGAAACACTCGCTACAGGGCATTCTTTCACGAGGTCAGTGACCGGAGCAGACGATTTAGACAGGAACGAAGCCTTGCCCGGTAGCGGGAAATATATGACATAAGGCTAGCATCAAGGGAACCATTTACAACGATAGGGAAAAGTATTTGAGATGCAGAAGGATTCGCTAAACGTATGGCGTATTACTATTGTCCAATCTGGAAGATAGCTGTGTATTGAACAAACCATTGACTAATTAATGCACCTTAATATCTTTAAAAAATCTACTCATAATTTTATTTTTACTGTGCTACTTTTATCGTGCAACACTGCGTCCAGCCTATCGATCTTACCGTAGAGGTCTTACGTCATAGGGTGTCATACATACAGATGTATATGAACAAGTATTTGTATGGACAAATAGATTATGTTTTTAATACCAAATTAACAACAAAACGATGGCTTGGACTTGGTCTACGATACTACTGAAACAACTAGTTTAAGCAATATCCGTAACATTCTTACATTCTAAGTAACATTCTTTTAAGCAATATCGCCAACATCAAAACTTTCTAACTCATCATATACTATCACAACCATCATCCTAATCTATGATTATCTACTACGCTAAGAAGTTGTGTTGATATTGGATACTGTTAGCACTGCTACTAAGCTATAACCCGCAGGTCACGACCAGGTACGATTCTAACGGGACAAGTTTAAGTTGTAGTTGACATGCTTATAACTGCTGAATCTATGGTAAAAGGCGTTTAATATAATCATCGATGTACGTCGTCGTTTAATATTAATCTGTACTGTTTCAAATAGAACAACCATATTACTTACTAATCTTTTAATGTGCATGATATCAAATAAGCACAAAGTATTTTGTTATGTGAATACTACTGTTTAACTAATGTTGTTTAGAATAACTTTTAATCACATAAGCCCCCTGAACATTATTAAGTTTTCGCTGTATTCAAAGGGCCGGGGTCATCTTAATGGACAGAATTGCATTAGGCACGGAAAAGTTGGTAAGTGAGTGACGAAGGTCGTCATTTTCGAGTTATCGGCTGAGCCCCGGTGCGGAAATGGAAAATAATGACTTCATCGCAGGGTTCGAATCAAATTTGGGCGCATTAGCCTCTGTGTGTAAAGGAACTGAGTAGCGTGCTCATTATCCCCCTGTTCCTGTCCACCAACGGCAGTCATTAGTTATAACAAACAGTAACAGCGATTTGGTGAATTGACCCGAACAACATAAATATTATGCCGCTTATTATTGTTTCCTGACATACTTATTCTTTCGTATTTGTTAAAAAAATGGTCTAATAGGACTTTGCCCTGGGGTTTTAAAAACATCAATTGGTTTTAGACCAACGCCTTAATGTGGAATTGTTGCTTGTAAGTCAAATGAAAATTTCTCCTGGACAGAAATCGACCCAACAAACAACTGCCTCTCTCTCACTTAGCTTTTATAAGGGTTTTATGAAACATTAAAAATCTTACGACATTAACCTACTGTTTGATTTAATGACGCATAAATGTGACAAACGAAAGCGTCGAATGGAATGAATAATTATTATTATGAACTTAGTAGCTGTGCGATTCGGTTTCGTCCGCTTTGAATTGAAATCTGCCGCACTAATGTCTCGTGTCGTTGCCCTGACTTTGCTAGCTTTTGTACAGGGCAGATATTACAAGAAAGTTGTAATATCTGAATAAACATTTAAAAAACTATACTATATATATCAATACTATACTTCTTTAGCGTAACAAAAGAAAAATTTAAAAAAATGTATCCCCTGTGCCATTACTATTCGTATGTGAAAAAGACATTAAATGCAATTACTTATTATTATGATAACGGTTTATTTAAATAACTTGATAGGTAAATGTCAAAAAATTAGTATCGGTTTCCATGGTAACCCCGTGAAGTTGGTTGTGATGGAACCAACTACATCATGGCGCTTATTGAATGTCGGTGTTAGAGTAAAAATTTACAAAAATTTTACTCTCATAAATTTTTCCAAACGCGCCTAAAGAAGTATAAGTTCAAAGATATTTTTTCAAATCACACTGATACGTAAGTACCCGATTTTAACGCGTGTAAATATAAGAACACTTTGTAGATTCATAATTATATCATAAACAAAAAATTTATTGTAAACCGCAAATACTGTTATATAATCCTATTAAGAATTTATCTTTTTTCCAAATTATCTTTATAAAGCGCTTGACTTTGAATGTGTAGGAATTATATATTTCTTAACAAGTAAGGAAACGTAAAGTGATAAATTACAACAGATTGTCGTAAAAAATTGTAAAAAAACGAAGTAACACATCTGCCGATAGTTTTTGAGATCGTTCGACGTCTTAACCAGTGCTTACTTCCTCGATTCACGTATAATGATTGCTTTTTTACATCCACTGACTGCGTACACGGCCACCCACCATCCACATAAATATAATTTATTTCAGTAAAGGCGAAGGGTAGTGTGAAATGTTGCCCAAAAAAATCGTGGCATGTGACCAGATCGAAACCTGTTGTCCCTTGCAACGTGGTAACGAGTGAGCGAGAGCGACGCTGCGATCTTTTGGGTAGTTTTGCCCTGAAGCAGTTGTTACAATTTGAAAAAAGTCACGGTGCAACTGTAGCACCAAAGCTTCCGCACGACATATCACTAATGAACCATAGACCTAATTAGGAGCAGACAGGACTTTTGCTTACAATATATTCATATTGTAACTCAAATGTAATGAAACTAGTCTATGTCTGCAACGAAAAATTGTTTTTATTTAATTTTGTAACAAAAAATTGCAAATTCAAAATAAGTAGCATAAAAAAGTTTACGAAATTGTAGCCTATTTCATTTTATTACTTTTCCATATGTACACAAACAACTTTATTAAATCACAAGATTTAAGGCTATAGCGTAAAATTAGCCGACATAGTTATGTAAATTAAAAAATAAGCAGTCATAGGAACGGCCCACAGAAGCAAAAACTAAAAACTGGAATAAGTTTTTTTTAAAAAGAATTATGAATAATTAAAAGCACAAAATACAAATTTTACAAACATTAATAATTTTTAAAAGGCCTAGTTTATTACTGAAAATTTAAACCAACAAACAATATTATTTTGTAAAATTTTGTAGAATATTTATTAGAACATCTAGAAATTTGTTTTAGAGAGATCAAATATTAGAAAACTAAATGATATCAAAAAACTTTAAAGTCACCAATGTCAATGACAAAATACGATATTAACAGGTCGGTGACGAGAACCTATGAATTTTTAGACATCCTAAATTGCCAAACGTGCATATAGAAGTTTTCACTTCAAATTTTTTTTTAAGTATAGTAATAGAAGTCATAAGAAAAACCGGTAATAAGAACTAAGTCATTTTTGCGAATATTATGTGTAACAAACATAGAACTGCAGTTATAAATAAACTTGAGTCGTAAAAGCAGTAGTGATCCAAGAGCGAAGACTTAACCATCAGTGTTACGTAAAACATTAGGTTGAATTTAAAACCTTAACTGTGGTAGGACCACGCAACAGTATTCGCTGTTGCACGAATGGGCAGGTCCGTCCGGGTTAGTACCACGACCTCACAGAAGACCGACGTAAAGCAGAAGTGGTAAACTGCTAGGTTTCCTCTGGTGAGTGAGGTAGTCGGGGCCCACATTATTAAAAGGTGATAACACATCTGTCCGTGGGCGGCGGTCATCACTTAACATCAGGTGAACCGCCAGCTCGTTTGCCTAAAAATATTTTTTTTATTTTATGTGAGAAAATACTCACATAAAATAAAAAAAATATTTTTAGGGGAATGGCTTTCTTACCCTATCCTATAACAACTCTGTTATATATACCGAGTCAAAGCACTCCGTAATATCCAGAAAAGTCAGCTCAGTTTCCTCACATGTAACAGCTGATCGCTAACAAGGTTTCCGGGTACAGAGCGAGGTCGGAGCGGGCGGCGGCAGGAGTCAGGGGTCGCGGGTGGCACAATAGCTCATTTGGGCACAGTCCCCCGTCCCCCCGCCCCACCGCCCCCGCGCGACCCACTTCATTACGCGCGCATTGTGCGGTCGACACGCGACTTGTGCGATCCAAGCCCAGCCTGTCCAAACACACCACGCCGCCTTCGACCGCCTTTGTTTTACGAAGCGACGCTGATGACTACCAGACCCAAAAGTCTCTCGACCTTCCGTCGAAAGAATCGATGCGATATGTTCCGAAATAAAACGTTCAGAAATCGATTTGCAGTTTACAAAAGTATCACAAAGTTTTCGTATTTTTATTTAAAGCTTTGAGCTTTTAATTGGTGGGAATCATACTGCGAACGTCATTCGAGAAACAATCACACAAACCAGTTGAAAACGTCATGATAATATTAACTGAATAGCAAACAAATTTAATTCGAATCCGACGATATAAATCATAAAAGCGAAATACACAGAATTTATTATCCAGCCGGAGCTATTAACGACGCGGCGTTCGAATTGAATGAGTTAATATAAGCTACCAGTATTAAGTAACGTAACTGATTTGCGGTAATCAATCACGGTTAGTTGATTTGGTTAGGCGCGAAGGCTGTATTGTAATCGTTATTTACACACCGAACGTTGGGCCGACTGCGAAGATAGTATCGTGCGGCGCGGGCTCGGCTCACAATGGGCGTAGGAGTCGAGCCAACGTACGAAGCGCCCGCGCACTCCACAATGCCAAACACACAATGGCGGGCTAATTGGTCGCCGACAGCGCGTTTAGCGGGCCCTTGTTAGCAACAAAGCCGTACTGAGCTAGGCATCGGACACAGTATCCAACGAGAACTCACTCGTCCAGCCCGTGCGAGCCAAACTCACGAAAGTCGAGCGAGTCACGCGGAAAATTACGATGATACGTTCTCATGCGTTGGCGCAGGCTATAACATGTTAAAGCGACGTCAACGATGCATATAACGAAGATCACTCTCTCAAAGATTGACGAAAACCAATCGCCTTGATTGCGCAATTAATCTACGTCGGACGCTCCCCGTCAGTCTTTCATCGGCAGCGCGCGCGCATCGCTCGTCACATTCAACAGCCCATCAAACGCTTCGATCGTAATTATTTCATGTCGCTCATTGTGCATCGACAATAACAGCTATCGAATGATGACGGCTGCGCCTCTGTTGCCTCTCAATTTCAACTGAACACCGCATCAATCACGCTATAGGAGCCAAAATAACTAATAATTATAATACACAACTCATTAATAAAATAATTTAGGAAGTTGCGCTTCACTACTATATCAACTTATCCCACACAGGTGGTATACTGAATAAAAGTAATAAAACTTTCATTGTGTTTAAACTGACACACGACATTAAATTTTGTGACGTATTTAGAATGCTTATTGAATGAATGTCACTATTAAACATATAAACGACGTGAGAGGATACACGAACCACAATATCTATCTGGAGTTAGTCATCTCATTTGTGTGGGTGTGATAAGAGGCGAAATTAGCGATACGTTAAGCTCGCGAATTATACCATTATCCCATGGCGATTTATGTTCTCTATTTCAACCGGGTAAGATTCACTTTCGCACGGACTGCCCGATACTACGGTAGCAGCCGCCGGTGGCAAGAATCGCGACAGCGCGTGGGAGTACGTCCATTGTACGCCACAATTCATTCCCTCGTTGCGCTGAAGGCAAAGCGAACGGTAGCGATCCGACTCGACATTAATCATTGTGAAACCCCGAAGGTGGCACTGTTGCGGGGATAAATCAAAATATGATTTCACATTTCTCGTAAACGTACTAATTACATATTTAGAACCATAACCACATTATCTAAGTTGCAGTAAATGGCCTGCTACAATTGTCAACTGACTTCAAAAAAGGTGGTCCTCAATTCGGTTATATTTTATGTTTGTTATCTCAGAACTCTGTCATGTACTGATTTTTCTTGCATTTTGCTCGGTTGAGCTTTCCATGTGATCCGATATCCATTTCATTGATATTGGACTTTGATCTCTCGTGGTATATCAACAAACTCCTCAAAATAAAATAGAAAATTTTTAATTATTGATATATTCGAAGTTGGTGTCGCTTTTTTTTCTGTTAATATAATATTTTTATGTTAATAACTGTGGTAGCCGCCCCGCAAGGCTATTGAAAGAGCAGTTTTTGTTCATACATTTTTGCATCGTTAACTCCTAAAAGATTTCTAAATGTAGCCTTTTGTCTTTAACACGAAGCATGCAATCGAACATGATAGAGTATAACACCGTGAGCCTCGTCTTTAAGCTAGTGGGCGTTTAACCAAAACGTGTTCACAATAATTTGAAATCAATGCGTATAATCAGCAATTGATTTATCATATCTCCGATCGTTATAGTCAAAAGGTATGTCTATGTTTCGCGACCTAACTCATCGCAATGTTCGAGGTTTTTGTACAGTCATATGTATTAACGACGTCTAGTAGTAATTGATGTAATTATTAGACCCTAATTTCATCGGCATATTGGCTTTTTATGTGCAACTCGCACACTAGTTGTTTAACAATCGATTTTACCATCGGTAAATGCCGTTGAATAAGAATATTGCTCAGAAGCATGTAAATGTTATGGTGGAATGGGGGAGTTGTATTCGTACGATATTTACGTTTCTTATATACATAAAAGATAACAAGGTATCTATAGGTAGTTTCGTGCACATATTTCTATATAGATGTTAGATGCTCTCAGTTCAACATAAGAGCTTAATTAAAAGAACTTTACTTAGGGCATGATTAAAATCCGGTATCTATTAAAAATAAACATGAATGCAACTAAAAGTTATATACTTAATTCAATTGTTAATTAATTTAAAAATTTATAAAGACTGTTTAGTATTATGACAATTCTAGCTAGTTTATTATTCTTATGTCTTTAAAAGAGATTACCTTACTACCTACCTACCCCGATAAGGAACGGTTAACGTTAGCAATAACTCAATATATAACTCAACATCAATTTGTACAAAAAAGAACACATTGAGACAAATATATAATTTCAGCATTTATACTCACGTCACGTAAAATATCGATATGACGGGAGGTTAAATACTCCGTTTCTAAATCCTCACCGAGCACGCGTAGCGACGTGCGTTGAACTCTTTATTAAGGGGCGCGCGTTGCGCGGGAGTTCCGACTGCGTTGGGTTGAAAGGTGCATTAGTGCGAAATAACACGTAGCCACGAAAATTTCAATTAACTTTAATGCACATGTCGGCCACCTCCCCCCCCCCCCCCCCCTCAACCCACCCGCCACATCCTTTGAGGCCCCGCGCAAACCCGCGCTTCCGATTCATTAAAGCCCATCGTGTTCATCCGATCGCCGAATTCGCGGTTGCTACGTACTCGTCGTGCTTGCAGTGAAAAACTGGAACGTATTCATATGATACTTTATAGTTTTAAATAATTTTCTATTTTTTTTTAAATAATTACAAAAGGAGGATGTAATGTCTGTATAGTTTAAGCAATAGAGGTCAGCTATACAAATGTTCGTGCCAACAGTGCTTCCAATACCAGAATTCCACAGTGCTTCCAATGCCAGAGATCCTCTTTTAGACCAGCTAATATAATTCATAAAAGTGAAGTAACAGTCTATATATATGTCCCACTGTTGGGCAAAGGCCTCCTGTATAAAGAGGCCTTGTCAGGGCATAGTCCACCACGCGGCCCCACAGCGGATTAGCGGACACAGTTCTACGTCCAAACTATAGCAAGCCCAGGCAGTTAGAAGTATAACCACTACTCCACTAAGATTAAGATATCTTATATCCTTTAAGTTTGCATCGTATGCAAACTTCTTCTCTTTTTAATGTGGTATGATTTAAGTACTGATATGATAACAATAATAAATGCCAATCTTTACTTCACCGAACTATTCTCATTCTATGACGTAGCACAGCAAAAACATTCCTTCCAATTACACCAATTTAGCAGAAATTAGCAGATAGCTGACTCTAACGTTAAAATTTGATAAAATTTGTAAATATTTTTACCAATAACAAATAGCAATTAATATTGCCGAGTAATCATTTTCGTGATTGCCTTTCAATTTCATTATTTATCTCTAATTGATTTTGAAACGCAAAGTCCACATATACGTGAAAACGTTATAATGCAAAGCAAAGGTAAAAACCGAACTCGCAGTAATTAAGACCCCTACCGCACAGTCCGACAATTCCATGGTATAATCCAATGAGTTACTGCTCAATTCCGTGGCAACATTATTACACCTGTTGCCCTCGTGGAGAAAAAGCTGCATAATAACTACAAATAATTATCTGTTATCATTATCATTGCCCGCCATAACTGTCAAACAGCACTAAATATTATTTGTTAAATGTCATATTTTTTTTATAATTCTTTTTCTGTTTTCGTAACGGAAAACACCTTTGACGCCCTACGGAGGAGCGAACCGACCAAGACGGGCCAGGTGTCACTAATTAATGTTACATATAACAAATTTATTAGACTGGTGTACGAAAACAAAATCATAACGATGAAAATATTTTGTCAATGTTCGACAGCTAAGTACGTACCGCGATAAGATACATATCAAATTGCCGAACCTATTAAAGTACGTTTTTACTTTAATACTTTTCCTGAACATATTTCTATTGTTAGATAACGCATTTAAATAACAAACGAATATATATAGAGAGGACAGTAATTTGCGTGAAAAAAGTTTAAAAAATAACTTTATTAAAGAAATATTTGTATTAAAAAAATCTAAGTACATATTTGATTTCTTATCAATGTTACTTAGTTTTAATTGATGAAATGTTTCAGAGATGTTTTTCTATGATTTACCAAACAATAAATGCGGTGTATCAAGCTGTAGAGAATCGTTAAAATATTTCACTGAAATATATTTTGAAACTTAACAAAATATACAACGGCTTATATTTCGATCCGATATTAAGAAAAATACCTTTAAACGACGATTAACTTAATAATTATTATTAAGTCAATCATTGACAAAACTGTTAATGCCAAACGAAGCAAGCATATTGACCAACTACATTCTAGTTGTAAATTTGTTTCCACTGGTATACTCCGTAAGTATTGCTTCGACTGCATGATTTTCTGAATACTCATCATACAATGCGTCTAAATATGTCGAACTGGTTTATCGTAACAACGTTGTAAACACAACACCGAACGGGCTGTCGGCGCATAAAAACCGCACGTTACGACGGCCTCCAAATATTCCGGACGGACTCATTGTCCGGAAAGGTCAACCTTACATAAATCGTCCGCCAGTTAGTTGCCTCTAACAAAGTCCACTCGGCAGTAAAGTGGCTGCTTGTAAATCAAAACGACGAATCGACAAAAAAAAAAGTATAAACGCGCCGAGACGGACCGACATCGCACACCACATGACGTTAGTGACGCCGCTCGCTTGATACGTTTAGTTTATCGATAAAACAACACATTAGTTGGTGTAACGTATTTCTTTAACACGGACACAAAATAACATTAACAGTAAAGAAAATATTACACTTATTCACTTTTATAATTAGTAAATTCCCTTATATAATATACAAAAACACTTAGTGCACGTTTTAATACGTTTACCAAATTATCTTTATTCGTAACACTATCGTACGATACGGAGGTTGGTCAGTATTAGAATAAGTCTTTTTAAGATATATCTGGTAGTAAATATTTTATCGATATAAATTTTCGTTATCGCCCCCACACGTTGTGACTGAAACGAAGTATAAAGAAAAGGATTTTGCAGGGCAATAAAAAAAAAAGATAGAGCGTATTACGGAACGTACTTAGATAAGGCATCGCTTTATGTTTTCATATCACTTCGGTGCAAAATGAGCGGAATACGACGGACAACAGACTTATAATTTTCGTAATTTAAATTTATGTGTATTTATATGTAAACACGTTTTTCTATCAACGCATATCTGTAGTATCTGAGACATTGATAGGAAAACGTGTTTATATGTCAGATAATGTATATTTTAACCTTCCAAAAAACTTTCACAGACGATATTGGAAATCAACCGTTAGTTTTTTTTTTTGCAACTTCTATTTAGTATAGAGCAAAATTGTTTCAACAAAAAGAGTTATCAAAAAATTAATAGAGAATGCATTGTGAGGCAATTTAACCGCACGCTCCGGCGCCCACCCTCCAATAAAATTTGTCCCTGATACCCATTTTGATTGGACGGGTTGATTTATCTCTTGTTTAGAATTTTATGCGGCGGTTATGTAATGTTGATACTTGTTCTAATAACTTTTGTTAACGAGACAAGGTAAACATAAATAACAATGGTGTTTGACTATCGATAAGTCTAACTTTTCGGACAGCTTTAATAATTTTTTTTCTAAACTGAACAAATTTAAGAATATGTGATTGTTAGCTTTTATATTGATACTTTAAAACTCGATTGAAGTATACGGAATATTTCGACCGACATTTATAAATAACGCAGTAAAAGAATAATTTTCCGTGGCCGTGATATTTCGAGGGAATGCAATGTGAGTCACTGGCTAAAGTAAAACCCTTCATGCACAGGATGCGCTTCTGTGTTCGACTAACTTGTGAGGCTTCCACGAGCGATTACACTGAACGATCAACCTTGCTTGAAATTTAGACAAAATGGCGACGATTCGAAACTGCCGAAGCGTAAAACGAGACCAATCTATTTGAACTAACAACTACAAAACACAAATAAATGACATATCGACGCTAAACTTTACACATTTATTTGTTTCAAGAAATGTTTGGCGTTTGCGATGGACTCATATACTTGATTATACCAATTATATTGTTTAGAATGAAAAACATTATTGAGATAAATTAGTATCATTCTTACCTATTATAATACCATAGATCAAAATACCGAAATATCGTAAACCACAACAGAGCTCATTTGAATAATTTAACAGAATATTGTGTTCACAACTAGCAATTGGAGATCATGACTGTTCTTAAAGATATTATTATCTCAAATTTATATTTGAGATAATAATATGTAATTATTTATATTCTCTCAAGCCACGGCTGGTGCACGAATGGGCAGACTCGTCCGGGTAAGTACCACGACCTCACAAAAGAACGGCGTAAAGCGGAAGTATAATACTTTCGCGTATCGTCTGGTGAGTGAGGTGGCCGGAGCCCAATTTTCAAAATTCGGCGGCGGTATTCACTTAACATCAGGTGAACCTTCTGCTCGTTTGACAACTTATCACATAAAAACACCCCCGATACCGAAGCCAATACCTTGGCAACTGCGCCACGGAGTCATCAAATCATCGTCTCACGTATCAAAATCGCTCCGCCGCGTTAAACGCAACGGGCACAACAATAGAGACATGACATTTCCCCCGAGACGCGAATCCAGCGAGCGGCGATCACAGTGATTTAGAATAGCATCACTTGTTGCGACACGGGGGGACACCGAGCCGAAGCTAATGCGCCGATTAAAACAATTGCACGCACTTGTTATCCGTTCGGTAATTGTATGTGTGTCCTTTTGGTAATTTTTAAGGTTTTTTGTCTGTCTGTCATCGGGCTGTATCTCACGAACCGTGATATTTGGACACTTGAAATTTTTACAGATGATGTAAATAAATATAAAAACATATTTAAGTGGGGTTCCCGTACAACAGACATGGTCTTTGTGCGTAAGTCGGACTCGCACTTGACCAGTTTTTTTAAATGTTCAATGATAACATTATAACATTTTGTAACATTGCCCATCAGTTGAATTTTTATCCACTTCGAGACCCCTAAAGGCAATAAGGAATATAATATAAATAATAATATATTCATGACCATGATCCGGTACCTCAACATATAATATCAACTCGTTACAAATGAGTGTTAAATATATTTCCATGACATCTATTGCTTTACACCAAATTTGTATACGCAAGGTTGCTTCATTACTTTAATTAATTCAGTAAATTTAATCAATTAATAATAATTCTAAATAAATATACAAGAGCCCAATTCAGTTGAAAAACTAGCATGGGAAGAGATCTGACAAGCGAAAAATTTGCAATGAAATAAATTGCAATGAATTTTTTTTTAAATAACACGCTCTTTCAGATCGTTATAAAGAGGCCAAATATGAAAAGTTTCGGCAAGAACATATATTTTCCTTCTATTTAAAGTTCAATTTTAAATTTAAACATGAAATTTGGTAATTCATGACAAGTTACATAGAGCTAGTTCAAGTCCTTTTTTTTTTGAATAGGTAGTTAATAACTTCAAATAATTAATTTTTTGTTTAATAACATCACTAACAACCTGTCTGAAGGTGAAATAGAAAATGTTACTGCACGCGAAAGAATCATAAATTTTAGCAAATGTAAAGACCGTTATACATAAAGTGTTATTTTTTCGAACGAAAATGAACCTATCTTTTAAGAAACAGTTTTTACGATAAGTAATGTACAGTGCTTTATTTAGTAAAGAAAAGTAACAGCCTGTAAGTATATGTCCCACTGCGGAGCATAGGCCTCCTCTTGGATGACTTCACATATATTCGAAATTTTTTTTTCTTTATTATTTCGAAAATATGCAGGTTACTTCACGATGTTTGCTTCACCGCTGAGCATGCTTTATTTACTTTTAGATAAACCATTTTAATATTAAAAAATATCCTTAACAAAGCATAAACGTAGAAAAATAGTAGAATCGAGGCAGACCACCAAAATATTGATTGACCAAAAGTGATTTCGAATAGTGTCATAAATTTCTCAGTCTCAAAAATATAGGTATTTGATAAAATACGGAAAGTAATTATAAATAAATGTATAGTCTTAAGTTATCACAAGTTTTACACGAGATGACTTGTAAACTTCCAATCCCTACAAATACTCTTTTCGATTGTAGAAACTTCATGTATTTCTATGAGTACATATAGTATGGCAGAACGGAACATTAAGCCTCTGGTAAACGTAAATTTTGTTATAATTTGAAACAATGTCGCCGTCAATGTTTTGTACGTCGTCGTTAAGAAGGGTTGTTAGACATGACAAAATGCAGCGCGGGGGCCGCCGTGTCCCCGCCTCAATGCCAATTTTCCGCTCACCGCCACCGACTGCGCAATTATTGAGATAAACCTCTCTGCGTGACTATAAAAACATCTTCCCCTCCCCCTAGCGCCGTTTGTTGTCTTTGGGGCTTTGTGAATTTATTGCCGGGACTTAGCCGGGACGGTTAGGAAAAAAATGCGCTTTTAATTTATCCCGTTAAAGGGTTGAGGGACGGCCGGGTTCGTGGAGTAATTATACCGGAATTGGCCACTTTGGCTGATGAATCCATTCCACTGAACCCTTTTTCGGAGGGCGATCGCGGAGTGAATTAATTCGGCGCTGATAGCGATATTCGCGGAGTGAAAGATTAATTCCGAGATGCCTAGCTCAGCCTAATTAGAAGCAAAGCCGTTCTAACGATACTATTTAATTGATACAGTTTATTAAAGAAGTTTTTCATTGCAGTAGATTATTTGCAAGTGATGATTTTATTCACTTAAAATCTTCATGCACAAAACACTGTACATAGGCGGTCTTAATGCTGTCAGCATATTCTACCATTCAACCTTAATGATATTGTAAGTTATGTAAAAAAAGTGTTATTTTTTTTACATTGCCAACTACTCATTTATACCGTAGTATGTATTAGTATATAAAAACGTACAAATATATTAAATCATAATAGTTATCAAAATAAAAAATTCAAAATAATAGTGCTTTTAATACACAAAAATATTATTTTTATACGATTATGCATCTAGTCTTCAAAATATACAGACTTACATATACTTTGAAAATTTCACAAAATGGACGTTTGGGGTTATAATTATGTTTTTGTAAATTAAATACAGATGTACTTAACGTGCGAACACTAGAAGACAATTTTAAAGCATTATTTCCATTGCTCACCTGCCAGTCTTCGTGATGATCATTTCCGTGCCAAGGTCGTGGAACTTATCCCACAGCTCCTTCGTCTCGAGCTGACAGTCTACGGACAGAAGTTCCTCACAGTTGCAGGATGTTGCCGGCGGCAACAGCCGCGCCGGCGAGGGGGTATCCCTCTCCCCTAATTCTGGAACGATTTTCTGCCTTAGTCTAATTTTTATCCAAAGGCCGACTTTAAGAACTTGCCCAGTGGTACTGGGCAAGTCCTACTGTGGTAGAGCCACGCCACAGATTCTGCTTTTGCACGAATGGGCGGGGTCGACCGGGGAAGTAGGTACCACGGCCTCAAAGAATACCGGTGTGAAATGGACGTATTAAGCTTTTGCGTTTCGTCTAGTAAGTGAGGTAGACACTTTTTTACGTTACACGTTTGGCAACAACTAATCATGAAACAACTAATCATCCCTTGAACAGATTTTGACCCCGCCCTCTTTCTCCTGCCCTTATTCCACATAGGTATGGTCGGAACAACATGTGAATCAACTTGTTTAGCTGAATCAACTTGGCTAAGTTTCCCTTTTTGTAAATGAAAAATTATCTATGTGTTAGAGCAGAACGACGAGAACCCTGGTAGTTCTGTAGACGAGCCTGGTTAAGGCAATACCAGAGGCTATTGCGTGGAGCTCCACGATAAAACAATATCCAAAAATCGGTACGTTACTGTAGAGTAATTGCTAGATGTTATGAACACTAATAGCAACCGTTTAAAGTAGGTGAAAAAATAACATAAACTTTTAAACCTTGAAAGGAGAACACACTGTAAGAACTTAAATAGGACGAATTAAAATTACAGGCAAAATAGACTAAAAATTTAAATATTCCATGGCCAAGTAGACTATAAATTTAAATGTTCCATGGTTACGAAATCAACCGTTCGGACAAAATATTTAATTTTTATTATGTTTATTCTTAATCAGTTTAATTAAATCCTTCAGTCGTTTTCAACCAATGCTCTTGTTGTATTAAACAATAGAGACGCATCGAGTACACGGAGGTGTTTACATTTTCTCTTTTATTCACTTCAATATCGTTAGGAGGAATTTATCAAACGTCAAACAGATGTTACTTAAGTTTAAGTTAAGTTTAAGTTTCTTTATTTGCTGATAAATAGGTAGTACAGAAAAAAATTTGGTCTTGTTATCTTATTGTTGTCACAAATGTCAACCTAACCTATTTAGCTGTTTTAAACAGCATGCAAATGTCCAGAAGATATATTTTTATAACACAGTTTTTTTTTTTTTACATGTAACTAAAATCGTCCTACAATTTTAATAGATATATTAATTAATTAATGCATCGATTTTAAACAAAAAAAATAATATATGAAATAATATTAACAACATTAATTAGGTATTACAATTTAAAAACTCATTTATTGTGTAAAATAGTTTCTCTAGTAGCCATCGTCGTAACGAAATCTTAAACATATTATATGGTAATTGTTTTATGTGACGGTATCTTGTTATAAATAGTATTGCACATTGCATAGCTATTTTTTTGAAAGCGCTTACTTTTAGGAATTGTATCTAGTACTAATTTATCTTGGTTCCGTAAGTTTATTTTTGTCACATCTTTAGCTTGTAGAAACATATTCTGGTTTTGTTTTACAAATTTGCAAACCTCAAATATATAGAGACAAGGAAAAGGAAGTATATTTAAGGTCTTAAAATAAGTCCTGCATGATATATATGATGAAATGTTACTAAGAGCTCTAATACAGCGCTTTTGAGCTAGAAATACTTTTTGACATTCTGTGCCAATCTAGTTATATCACGGCTTACTTCAAACTACATAACGCGCGAGTATTGTGAGAACACAATGTATGAGAAAGTTTATTTATTATGAACATGAAAGAATCGGAGTAATTACGTCGTCAAGGTGTTTTTACGTCGCAATCAGCGAATACAAAGGTATTGTCTGTCAAACGCACATTTCTAATTATAACAAATGTTCGCCTTTGCGTTTGTCACAAGAGCTGAGCATGTTGTGTCTTTTTGATTACATAATCATTTATACACAACATTCCTTAAACAGGATTTAACATCGGTAAAACCAATCGATAAGAATAAAGTGAATCCTCTCTATATATTTATTAATATAGCTAACTTTCATCGAATAAATAAACCTTAAAAATATTGCAAGTGGATGACATATTCAGAATAGTCCTTATTCTAAGATGGTGGAAGTATCTTTTAATACAGGTTTCCTTTCGCTGTTTTCCATCACCGCCGACCACGTGATAAATCTGCCCTTAAATTACAGTTAACAATTTAATTAGTGCTGAAACCGGGATTTTAATTCAGGTCACTCGAGTATACTGAAAAAAAAGCGTGCGCCTGGACACTGAGCTATCACGGCTAGGAGTAGTAAGTGAGAGTAAGTAATCAGAAACAATTGGATACTAATACAATCAATCGTAGCATATCTCCTTCTCGATCATTCGCTTCGTTCTCATATCATACGTAAAGTTTTAATTAGAGTTTATTTATTTATTTATATAAGTATGAAAAACATGATTTGAATAGTTAGTAATGAAGATAAGAAAACAAATCATACGAATATTACAATACCATGTTTAGTATACACTCGTATTAGGAAAATAAACGGGCACAGAAGATAAATTCTATCATACTCTACCTTTATTGATATCGAATAGCTCTTTCTGATACTTATATGAACTATATAGGTACAACAAACAATATCTAATGTCATCAGAGCATAGTTTAACTAAACTTCCACATATCAAACGGAGTTTGCTAACTTATTACACGCAAATCCAAAATAAGACGACATAATCAATGTTCTATGGTTTCGTTCAGTGAAGTACCACGGCCTTACAGAAGACCGTCAAGTAGAAGAATTTATAGGCTTACGTTTCATCTGCTAGTAAAGTAAGTAGAATCATCTTCTTAACGCAATAACCTAACTTCCACCCCTTGGGTGATTACCACCAGCTAAATTGTCTTATTTTCCCCCCACGCTCACAAAAATAAAATCCGGCCAAGTGTGAGTCTGACTCGCGCACGAAGGGTTCCATTCAATTATTTATGTAAACGGCAAAAAAAATCACGTTTGCCATATTTAGTTATGAGATACAACCTGGTAACAGACAGCGAAATCTTAGTAACAGGGTCCTGTTTTACTCTAAAAAGCACACTACAGACTAAGTATTAACCGTAAATATTAGAAACATGTTTGCCACAAGAAAAAGAACAAGAGGGAATAGGCTGTGAATACTGTGCTGCGTTTACCATCAACGACTGCAACACCTAGTAGTCTGCACCAGCTAGTAGCAGCACTACATAGTATAAAACAAAGTCGTCCCGCTGTCTGTCTGTCTCTATGTATGCTTACATCTCTAAAACTACGCAACAGACACGGCTTTTTTTTACTAGATAGAGTGATTCAAGACGAAGGTTCATATGTATATACATATACAATAAACCCGCGCGAAGCCGGGTTGGGTCGCTAGTAGTTAATAAAGCATTACACAGCGATATAAAAGATGAATTTGTTGCTCACCTGATGAGGGTGCGGGTGATGGCGCGGCGTGGTCTGGTGAGTCACGCTCGCCGTCCGAGCACTGTTCCACATCTACCTCGACGTCTTCTTCGGGCGCGGGGGACCGGCAGCTCGAGGCCGGGGAACTGAGCGACGCCGGGGAGCTCTGCCGCGATAGACCTGGAAACGTGACGATAGTTGGAGTGCCTCTTTCTATTTTTTCTTTAACTATTTTTTAACAACATACAGTTACTAATCCTAACTATACGTACGTACTTTTTTTATTTATATTCATTAAATTATTTTTAAGCTTTACTTTTAAATACGTATTTCACATAATTCTCACATAATAATAATTGTATACCTACAATACCTTCACGTTGAGAGCATTATTTATGTGTACGTGATTTGTTCGCTAATAGTGGAATATTCACATAAGCAATATATTTTTGTAGACTTATTTCTAATATAAATGATCAAGTTTAATGTTCTGTTTGCAATCTGAAATAACAACTCCCAAATAATCAGCCACCGTTACTGATTGTTAATTCGATATACGAGTACTGTAAAAATTTACGTCTCGATTTGTTACACTGTTATATATGTATAAATATTGACTATTATTTTTGTAGAATTGTGTGGTATTTGCTACGTTCCTGTAAAAAAGGCTAGTGTCTAGTATACGTACTAGTCTTAAGAGTGACAGCATTTACCAGACCTGGATTCACAGTCCTGTAGTATCTGGCTCACAGAATATGACTAAAGTAAACTCCGCCTGTGGTGAGGAAAAGGCGATTTAAAGAGTTCATGGGCCATGGAAGTAGGGGTCTTAATTTTAGTGGATTCGGTAACGGCAGAAAAAGGTTACTACGCCTCGTTAATATCCACATATTGCCTTCAGATAATTTAACCATCGTTAACTACCATAAATAAAGAATTCATCTTTGAGCAAAATCTGAATGCTGTATTTATGGTAATGGTATGGTTAAAAATAATAGTATGGTTTCTTTAATCCTATCGCACGATTTTTTTTATTTCACTAAGTTGTAACAGTTGCTACGTTACTTTGATTAACCGTCGACACAAACGCTTTCGCTAAGAGAACAATAAAGTGAATGTGTGGCGAATTCACATAAATAGAATGAATGTTCCATTAAATATAAGAAATAAAAACATAAGTCCATGGTAAAATTACATTTTCTCTTTAATTTCCCTACCGTAAACTAGTTTGGTGGTCGGTAGGAGTGCGCGGTAATAAGAGAATTGGGTAATTACGGCTATAAAGGAACAGAGCCGGCGTCGTATCGTGGCGGCCGACCAGTAACGAAGTAGCGACCTGAGGCGCCATAAAAATGTCCGATACGCGGTGCGCAAGAGCCGCGGCCCGCCCGCCGTCGAATATGCTCGGTTCCGCACAATTAATCCGAAATAACGAACAGTGCCGCAACATGACGCCTGCGCGGGCGCAAACCACTCCAATTAGTATTAAAAACCTCCCGCGGCAAGGCCGAGAAGGGTTACGACTCTCACAGATCCACGTTTTTACTATGTTCGTCTGGAATATCGCGTAACCTTCACGAAGCATTGCATCTAACCGATTTGCGTTTTCGTATTCCGCGTGTTTGACATTGACGCTTTTCAAATCCAATATGGTGGAGACAGAACGCTTAAAAGGTTAGCTTAGGTTTTAATCATGTTAGTTCTTCGTAATGTGTTATAAAATATTTCTTTGGTTTTAATCTATAGATTGTTAATTTGGATTTATTACAAAATAATTATTATCTACGTAAGTACTGCGAAGTTACTTATATTTTAAAAAAGGATTGTTTGTTGTCGTGGCGGTTCACGGGCACACATTAATTGAAACAAAAAGAACTAACTGTAGACATAATGTTTTATTGATGCTATTAAGACAGCTTTCAACACATTTATTATGGCGAATCACGGATATAATTTAAAATACCTACGACATTAATCTTTTACAGCATGCCGTTATTACAGTTGCCCTCGTGGAATAATGTATTTAATTAACACTTGCGTTATTTCCCCTGATCTGTATATCCACCTATCGAAAATAATAACTACATTTTATGGTTTTTTACCCATGTTATAAATGTTACCTATAATAACATCGCAGCGATACGCCACTTCCACTTTGTCATTGCTTTTTCTTCTTTAAATATAATATTAATTTGATACATCTACGACTCTACGATTTTTTATTTAAAAGGAAATTCGGCTGTAAAAATAATAAATATAATTCATACACTCGGATCGGAAAACGTCTTTTAGTAAAAACGATGCTTTTGCAGTCAGTAGAAATAAAAAAAAATTAACAAAAAAAGAACCGACTTTAAATAAAATAATGTAATATAAACAATAAAACAACGTCACATCCAAAACAATGCATATTATCAGGAATAGCGGTTGATTTCTTTCATATTTCGAAGAGTTCCGTTGCTATCTCCAAAAATCATCATCAGATCTATATGAAATATATATGGGACCATTTCGGATGAAACCCTTTCAAACAAAAAAAGAATTTTGCAAGTTCGTCTATATATGACGAAGTTAAGCCCGAACATACATAAAAAAAATATATACAACCGAATTGATAACCTCCCTCATTTTGAAGTCGATTAAAAATGATATTGCTAAATATAAAATTAGACAATTGTACTTAACCAGTAGATCGTGAAAAATGTTTTTAACAACATACATAATTTCAGGATTACTTTTTTTCCGTGCCATTCTCTGCACTCAAGATGAATTGTCGAGCGCAAAACCAGATGATGCAGGTTCGAATTCCGCTGCGCCGAAAATTTTTGTTCATTTATCTAAATATTTAAAAAAGTTACAATTTAAAAGATACATAATTATAAGAAATAACTGTTCCCAAGTGAAGGTTCATAATATCTCATTTATTGATTTTAATATATATAATACGCAATAAAATGCAATACAACGTATTTAAGAATAGCATAAACATAATATGTATTATAAAGGATGAATTTATGTATCCAACATCAAATTGCATGATGTTGCATATTTTTCTTAACATTGTTTGATACAAAGATATCAAACGATTTCTTGTTTTGAAACAAATGTGGCTTTTTATTAAACATAAGTTTCGTAAATAAGTTTCGTTATATAAAGAAATATGATTTAAAAAAGACGTTCATGAACATCTAAATGACTAAAGCACGAAAGTTTTAAAATATTCTCGTTATGTGCTTTCACTAATTGCTCCCTTTATTTCCATAACCTCCATTACCATCACAAATTGTAATATTTTTCGTTTAATTCTTCATGTTCTCAGCTGACGTTCATTATTCAGAATATTAATTATCTCTATGAATATGCATGAAAAACTTCATCTTCGAACAATTACGGTACGAGATAAAAATCTTAATATAGTTGAAATTCTCAATGAAGTCGACAAGAAACGCACTGAACTCGCTCGAAATAGGAGCTAAATCAGTTTTATAAAAATACGTATGGGAATTTCCCTTCTTTAACAGTTGTAAATGATGAATATTAAAATATCCGAACGCTAAGCGATCAGTGTACCTATTTTGGATCTCACGGGGCTCTAAGTTCGAATTCTACTTAAAGATTTTTCTAATTTCTAATTAAACGTTTGTTCTGATATGACTTATTAAGCTACAAACAGATTGTTGAACACTATCTTCTAATGGATTACTACCAAAATTAAAAGTTACCAAATCGGTAATACAGCTTTATTTTACAATGCTTAGGATTCGCGTATATATCAGAAATCGTTGTCTTTTGTTTTCGATAGTGTTCTCCTTGATTTGATATGATAATGACCGTCGGTACATTTTAATAATAATAACGTGTCCTGTATAACCTATAACTTAACCGAAGATTTGGATATATACTTTCAATGATTCTCTTTGTGTCCAGTCTGGAGGGCAGCGTTATAGAAAATAACAAACTGCTACAAAAGTTGACGAATTTATTGTATGCGTACTAGTAATTATAACCACAGTTACGGAAAACCACATAAAAATTATGTGCAATCGATGAAATGCAAAACTTTCAATACTTAAAACAATCTTAGGGTGAGCTATAAAATTCTTTGTAAATATCTTTGTAAAAACTTTTGTAAATATCTTTTATAAACTTAGTTAATTACAAACTGTATTACGCCTAGGAACAGAAACGGTTAACCAATAGTTCATTTTTCTAGTATATATATATTAATGACATAGCAAATAAAGTTCCTCATAAATATATTTTAATATAAGCGTGAGTTCTTTTTGTAAAAAGCAAAATAAGCGAATATTTAAACAAGTAAATCTTTTCCCATTCGATTATTCACCTTCAATTAATAAAGGCCATTCAGGTAGTGATTTTGTTGGGTTGGCTCGTAAAACTATCGATTAACATCATAAGCACCAATTGATTCAAGCTGTTATTACGCTCCTATAAGATTAACTAATAAGATTATTATTGTCTACGGGATTTATGAAAAATGTTCAGTAAAATTTTCTATCTTTTACGATGTTTTCAATCGACTTTTAATATTTATAATATAATTGTCATACATAAAATATGAATAGTTGGTATATTTGAATGTGTTTCATTATATTTTTTTTGTATCTGAATGGTAACAATTAATGATTCTAAATCTGAATAAAATGCATAATAAAACTGTTTTATGGATTTCAGCATCCGTGATCACGTGACGGATGCGGTAAAGTATTATTGTAACATTGGTATTAAAACAAAATTAACATGATCAAATCCGTGAAATACTTTAACATTTTACTTTGTAAATAAATGTAATGCCCTTAATGGGCGTTTCGATTCGTTATTGTTCGGTCTCACCACAGACTCGATGGGAGCGGATTTGATGAGAGCCTATTCGAATCTAGTTGGATTTTATCTTCTTATTAGCTATTATTAACTGGGAGTATTTACTCTACTCGGCGCTTACCCTGCTCGCATAACTGGTAACATAGACCGACGGCTAATTTACACACCGATAGACTTGTGGTACTTCCGAAGAGGCTAATAAATTTGAAAACATCATTTCTGCAACACCTCTGTCATGAATTTCTATTGCCATCATGATAACTTAGCATTGCTTAAGCCGCTAGATTGTCTGCCACGTTCTTCAAAAACAAGTTCATCCCCCGACGGCAATACTCTAACCGAATCAACTAGAGTTTATGTTTATTGTAATTTCTGTTTTAGGTTAGATTAAATAATTTATTAACAAAACAGATAGGTAATGGTAATTCAACAGTTTGTCTAATAAAATGAACAATTAAACACTTTTGATAATGAAATGATTATTTATGTATTATCAATTCATTTTAGAGATGTAGAAATTAAAAAAAACACATCCAAAACTTTATGATTCTTCGTTGTAATGTGTGATGATTTTATTAAAAGTTATAAAAGAGATTTATATGCACGGGAAGTCAAAGTCGTGTTTAAAAATAAAGGTGGCAAATGTTTGTTTTATTCAAAGTATTAAACATTCCGTTTTCAAACATTAAAATTCAAACAACTATCAGTCTTGAAATCTTTAACTAAAGTAATGTCGTTTAAAAATTACCCTGGAACGTTATTTATAAGCTCTAGTATCTACATTTTCGGACGAAAGTTCTTTTAATTTAATGTTCTTACCTACAATATTTTGCATCAATGGAAAGTGTAAACTAATCTTTTAAAATTTTCTATTTTCCATAATATTATAAATACCTCATAAAAAGTGTACTTTAAAAATATCGTTCTATGTTAAAACTCAGTACTTAGTCACTCAATAATAACCTACGTACATTTATTTTATACAGGTACGTATTATTTAGGTATCGTAATTCCTAGAAAAATAAACATTTATTATTTCTTGTCATCTGTTGCATTTTCTTCAAAAGAAACCAAGCGGCACTCTATCCTTGAATAAATAAAGCGAAAACATACTTAAGACCGCAGCTTTGACTCGTTACTTATTTACTTATATTTGTTATTATTAAAAATGACTTATATTCCACACAATAAATATTTTGAGCAAATAACTCACAATTTGCAGTGCAATTATTCAGACGAAGATAGGTTAATTAAAATTGTTTTTGTTATCCCAAAATTCGCACGTACATAAACAATTTGACAAGGGGGTGTACTAAGAAAGAGCGAATGATAGAGGCCAGGGAAAAGAGTGAGATGTAACAAAGGCTAGGCCTATCTGACCGGTGCGGCTCGGCGAGCGGGCGGCGGGGCTGCGCGGCTCAGCGGCGCTACGGGCCATGATGGCGGCGATCGAGAAGTCCGTCGCCCTGGTCTTGCCCTCCTCCGCCACCATGCTGCCGGCCCAGCGCCCCGCGCCTTCCACATCCATCAACGGCACTCCTCACACTCCCTTCGACGCGCTCCGATCCATGCTGCACCGGTCGCTAGCACGCGAGCATCGCCGGCCGCTCCACACTTGGGGCACTTCGCTTCGGGGAACGTTCTACCGGCAGGTTGCGAGCGCGCGAGCTGGTTGCCGGCCGGTTGCGGACATAAGCGATGGCGGTTCGGCGGCCGAGCGCGGACTGAGCGCGGCCGGCGGCGCGCGGGGCGGGGCGGGTAACGGGGCGGCGCCACTCCCCCACGCAACCACTGGGCGCCCTACCCGCTGTCACCGCTCCCCCACGCCGGTTGCACCCCCGGCTCATAACAATATCGCGTTATTATTTAATTTGTATTCCATATCGCTTCGCCCGCTCTTGACGGAGTTACGTCTTAAGCGGCCGGGGCATTCATTCCGCCTCCCCCCGCGCGTACATGCGTAAATAATTGAAGGTCACATATAAAGCGACGGGTAGAGCCGATCGATTGGAAATTAAGGAGGAAATTATTCGGAATTTCACCGGAATTCAATGCGTGCGCGCAGCAATCGCACCGCCCATTGCCTGAACGATCGAGAGAGAAGAGTGAGAGGACGCTATCCAATCGACCCAAACCAGCTTACGTCCGAAAGGGATAAAACTATGTTGCAACATCAGACCATGGTCCGGGTCGGGTGAACGGCTCTATGCAATAATTAATGGAAAATTCTGCTGCAAAAACGATTTTATGAAGCCACCTGTTAATTTGTTTAACAATCCACTCGTTCGCACGCGATTTTCCGGTTTGCAGCATAGATCGTGGCTTGAACCTCATCGATCATGAAATTAGACAATTTAATGTTCACCTTGGGTCCGAGAAAAACGCGTAAGAACGTTCGAACACAAGCGAAAAATTAAAAACATAATTGATGTGGAACGTAGCATTGCAACGTTATTGATTACCGCGCTTTCAAATCTATCTTTCTGGCTTGAGAAAGTTTTACTTGAAATATTATAGGCAAATTGAAAATGAATTTATAACTACTTCTAAGCGGAGATAAAATGAAGCCAAAAATACCTATCTGTTAAAATGGACTTTAGCTATTTTATACACTTTATATTATGTTAATGACATTTAATTATTGGAAATTAGATTTAGACTTATAACTGAATAGAATATAATTGTTTATAACCAAAGCTGGAAGAGAAACATCGAGAAAATAAATTCTCTTGCGAGCAAGGTTCTCAAACGGATATTATGATAAATAAAACACTTGCTAAAAGGGTCTTTCACGACAAAATAGATAACATATTCCATCATATGATCCATTCTGGGATCGTCCTATGCTTGGTTTTTGTGATTTTTTCTTATATGTTTCGAATTCAAAGTAAATTGTTTTATTACCTACGACATCACACTTCTTTGTTATTTAAAATCAATAGCAAAGATCACACTGGTCCGCGTTAAAATTTACACGTAAATTCGGATACATAAATCAAATAAAAATATTATGCACCAAACCTTATATTTTAGTTTATATTTCGGTCTTCAGGTCTCCGCCCCCACATGCTTTGGCAATATCCATTCCAGAATTAATAAGCAAAAAATTATTACAATATCAAATAAATAAAACTTATTACAAGAAAAATTATGTCACGTGTGTATGTGTGAGTGTGTATATGTATAAATACATGCCTTTAAGTTTGGCAGACCTGAGCAACAGCTTCCACTGTAACTTCAAAGAGCAGACTCGAACAGAAGAACTAAAGAAAGAAGTATTACTGCCTCACAGGTGACCGACTAGTATATGGTTAACGAAGCCCACAATCTAAACTTAATAAAAAAGTAACAGCCTGTATACATCCCACGGCTGGGAAAAGGCCTCCATATAAGAGTATTGGGGAATAGTTAACCGCGCAAACCCACTACTGATGGGCAGTCAGATTTTTTTTATTACCAAAATATGCAGGTTTCCGTACTATGCTTTCTCTCACTGTTCCGCACACACGTAATAAGTCAACAATTAACATTGCAATAAAATAACTAATTGGTACCGGCAGCTGGGATTTGAACTCAGGTTTCTCGATAAATTGAACTAAAAACGGGCGGCCGGACACTGAGCTATCGCCGCTCTAATTGATAACGGAACTGCAATTCCGTAGGATTTCTGGAAGTCTACGGGCGTCGGTACTCACTATTTTAAAAACAGATGCACTTTTTGGATTTCATTTATTATTATTTCTTAAATATCTCTAAATTGGCATATATTTTAAATTCTCATTAACGGACACATATTATTCCTGAAAAAGATCAGATTACCACGTAGAAATGGGCAACGCGCATAGGTGGAGACCGATTCCACAAACTTTTCTTTCAAACGTCAAACAAAATCAATGTTACTAAAAACAGTGAAACTTACCTACAAAATCATTGAATTTGATTTAGGTTAACCTAATTCAATCTGCAGTGGGGCCGCGTGGTGGACTATGCCCTGATACCCTCTGTACAGAGGAGGCCTTTGCCCAGCAGTGAGGACATTTATAGGCTGAAACTTTTTTTTTTTTTTTAACTTTAAACTTTTAATTCAAAATGCCTAAAGTACTTTCGAAGAATATGTAACGGATGCAGAGATGTGGGAATATGCTATCTTCAGTAATATAATATTCAGTCTAAGTTAAAGTCATTGGACTTGGCAGTCCCATGACTGCTGACAATTTAATTATAATGTATTGTTTTACTAGTTTTATTCCACCATCTTCTTACTTAAAAAAGCATATCTCGACATACGGTGTTTATGAGATAGCGGTTGACGTTCTGACGTTAAGGGCTGGACACAGGCCTAAATTAAAATTGAGGCACTTGAAATGACGTTGTAACTAATAGAAGAAACTTATGCTGTGCTATAAAAAATTTAGATATTAGATAGTTAATTTTTAAGTGGAACCTTGTAGAAATTTCTACCACTGCTGAATAGGTAAACTCGTCCGGGGCGTAAATTTTAAATTTCTTTTCATTTCCTCGTAACATTTTATACAATATTGTAAGCAACACAAATGCTTTCCTATCGTGGCAAATTTATTATATATTTATATGGTAAATTTATTTCTATCGTGGTATTATTTATTAATTATCTTGTCAATCAAAAATCAAAGCATCTATTGATTTCGTATTCAGCAAAACTATTCAACTAGTAAACATTTATTTTGGCCAATGATACGATAAGCTACAACAGAGATGAATTAATTTATGACTTCTGTACTTTTTTGTTTTGTCTATTTTAATTTTAGGTGAGTATAACGTTGCATCGGATTGGACAAGTCAAAAGTAATACTAACGAGAACGTTATAATTGTGCTTGAGTGGAAAAGGAACGGAGCAATAAAAGATCTAATCGCATACGCAGCAAGGACTTACGTAGCTAATTTTAATTACAACATCTAATTAGTAAACCTCCACGCACCTGGCTGTAATCATTTTAAACGACTTGTGTCAAAATAAAAATGAATAGCATCGCGCTGTGCTGTTAATTATTACATTTCGATTGTGGTTCACTATCTTGATGTTGATCGAGGTTTGTGAGTTAATTAAGTTTATTAAAAAAATTTTACTACTTGTCCATCAAAAACATAATTTTATGAGTTGTGGTTCCAAGAACAGTATCTGTTTTCGCTGTATCATAAAAATAAGTAAGTTAAAAAAATACTGTGAAAACTGAGCTTAAACTATTAAAGTGATCTAGGATAATGTTGAAAGAGACTAATAACTGCCTGGTAACGAATACAATAAATGTATTCGAAATATTTATGAAAAGATGACAGGAAGTCCCCTAGTAGGGTGTGGTCGATCTGATGATTAATGATGTTACTGGTTTGTTACTGGTGGTCAACTACCGGTGGCTTCGAATTATCTCACTCACAAATAAAACTCAGAAGCATTTTTTGTGGGACGGCCACGCAGCTTCTTGCACGAATGACAAGGCCCTTACCGCGGCCTCACAAAAGACCGGTGTGATGTGGATGCACAACACTTTCACGTTCCGCCTGGTAAGTGCAATACCGCCGCCCATGGACGTCGACCACACCTGATGTGGTCAATGTGTGCAATGGGCGGCGGTAACCACATAATATCGCCAGTTCAATTGCCAACATTTAAAAGAAAGTATAAAAAGCAAATACTTTTAAATTGGTCTTCTGCGAAACTCTTGTACTTCCCTGTCCGATACGTCCTATTTGCAGCAGCTGTTACGTAATCTTTCACTACTCCTCCATAGTAACTATTACATTACTATTTAAACCCTAAGATCCGAAAGACGGTACGCATCTAAGATGTTTCCACCGCTCAATACCTCACCTACCGAGCCAGCATCAATAGCGAGCATTTAATAATTCAGCCCCTTTTAAGCGGGATGAGAGAACAACATGAGGCGCCTATTCAGACACCGTGTTTATGTATTAGACGCGTGTGTAAACTGTGAAATATCGCCTTCCCGGCCGGCCCACGCAGCGCAGCGACTGAAAACACGAACAACGGTAACTTTACATAGCCACAAAACACGGCTCTCGACGAATGCGCGTATTATACGCGAAAATATGAAAAATACTGCGCACTTAAAAGCGGCTATAACTCTCCCCGTGAGATATTAAAACCCATAATGCTGCTCTTAGACGATTTTCAATTTGGTGGAACGACGTCGGTACGGTGAGCCTTTTTACGACAATACTCCGTCATCTTTCCGCTTTTCTTTATTACGAATTGCCTGGTGCTTTACTATTATCTCGCGCAAGCTGCACACATAGACGCCAATTAAAACTATTATAAGTAAAAACTATCGGTTATTATACTAATTTTCCACATGAAGTCTTGATGTAATTATTCATAAACAAGTGAACTTAACGTTTTAATGAATTGAATCCTCGTTAATTGATAATTATATCAATAAGTTTAGTACAATAGTTACAGTAAAAGTAAATGAAAATACATTTTGTTATTCTACGTGTACCTACAAAACTATCATGTTAAAAAAAGTTTGCCCTCGTTGACGCTAAAACTCTTATCGTGTCTAATAGTCAAAATACTGTACAACACATCGGAACTCATAATTCATTCCTTAAGTCAACAAGTAAATAAAAAAATAAAGAATAGATTGAGAATAACCGAGTGAAAACTGGCACAAAGCTGTTCGTATTGTATTAAAAGTAAAGATGCGTAAAGGCGCAAAACGCACGCCATACCGGATTTTGGCCGCCCAATTTTTTCACTTCGAAAATCGACCGTCTGGATTTCAATGAGCCTTTGACAAATATTTTTCGAAAACGGAACACACGTGGCGGGCCACACAGGACGCCATGTTGGCCACATTGTGCAATATTAGAAAGCATGAAAGTTACGACTTTCCGTTTTAAAAGTCAACGCAATCAAATCAGCAACAGATCGGTCACACGCCAAGCGTGAAATGAAGTGCTCGCCGACGAGTGGTTGCCCCGGGAATCAATTTTCTACAACGCCACATGCGATTTCGTGATGCGGAAACAATCGTTAGCATTCCCTTTGATTACCTATCACGCTTATTAAGTTATCAACTCATTTCAACTGTTACTCAGCAACTGGCGATCATCACATAAGTATTATGGATATACTAGCTGCTGCCCGCGACGACGTCTGCGTAGAATAGGCTGAAGGCGTAACATTCAGACAGAAAGACAGAAATACATAAGATATGTATATAAATTATAGCTTATTCTGATGTATAAGCTATATTATTGTAAAGTTTCATTAAAATCCATTCAGTAGATAGTATTTGCGGGAAAGAGTAACAAACATCCATTCATGCATACAAACTTTCGCCTTTATAATATTAGTAAGGATATCGATACGGTAAACAAATACACAGACTGATAAGATACAACAACAATGATAAGGTACAGGTATATCAATGTTTCACTTCGTTTAAATGAAAATTGTACAAGGTAATACCTAGACATATTATACAATTTTATTCTTTTATAATTTTAGTAACACAAATTTTCCTATTTTATAACAAAATCTGACCCTATCATATTTTAGCATCGTAAAAAACATAATTACTCCTTATGATATGATTTAAAAGTGTGTAATATTGATGTTAATATTATATTTTTGCATGTTTACGTAACTACTACGTAATTACAAATAAAGTCGATTGTAAAATTTCATTTAGCAACGCAAACCCTTTTTTTGTCATGAAGCACAATACTTTCACAAATACGCGGAGCCGTAGTACACTTTCCGCAACACACAATATAACTGCTCATTCATCTCGCAGCCGCAGCCATAAACTGCCATAAAAAATATTGCGAGCCACGAACGCCTCGAATATTTGAATAAAGAATAAGCGAACATAAAAAGGCTGGCTGCCTGGAGGTGAGGAGCAACAAATCGCGCGCATTATAAATGACAAATGTAAGCTGCGCGCGGTGTCGTGTTGCGGCCACCCGCGCGCCGGATTAGTTTCAACTTACTTTCCGCTTTGCTCCCTGCGTCTCCGCGCCCCGAAATAGAGTGCGCCCTCTGCCCTTGACGCATGCCTCGGGCCATCGATACCGAGCCTTAGCTCCCAAAATAGGCGCGCAGTTAATAACAACGTTTACGAGCGAAAATCGTGTTACACCACAAACAAACCAAAAATAGGACTAATTATTTAAACGCCGAGCTGCAATTAGCAGATTTCTAATCAAAGAAAAGCTTTCGAGCCATTTGCTTTTATAAGAGTCCTGAATGTACGTAGATGTGAATTTGTATTTTATAAAATAGTTCTGGTTCTTTTTCCAAGTTTCTGATCATCACAGTTATACGCGCACGGAATAAACTTAAATATATAACATACATATAATTTTTTTATACCACCATCTTGACATGACGCCAAGTTAAGCAAAAGACAGGGTAAGCAGGAAAGCTTTCGGAATTAAGGTCTCAGTGATAATCCGAGTAACCATAAACCTTAGGATTTCTCTCCTCGGTTGCTCGTAATATTTGTTGTGTAAGCTGATATCTTTGCTCATACACTTGTATCAGATATGATATTAAATTCAGATGGACCGGAATCACGAATAAATTTTGATTTTAGTTTGATAATTTTTTTTTAATATGAGATGGTGGCAGTCGAGCTAGCTCTTCTCCTGCGGTTAAGTTATATCCGCCACCCATGGACATTTGCAACACCCCTAAGGTTTTAATAAAGTGGTCCCCGATAACCGCACGTACCAGACGAAACCTAGAAGTATAACACTTCAACTTCACGCCGTTCTTGTTCTGTGAGGTCATTGTACTTCCACGGACAGACCTGTCCATTCGTGCAACAGCGAAAACTGTCGATGGCCCACCACGGTTAAAATTTAATTTTAAATATTTGTGCCTTTAGATGTATCTGTCATTTGGCAAAATATAACGTCAATACTGAAAATTGTAAAGGGAATAAATGTAATTTTAAATAAATAATAAATTTGAAATTTAACTTTGAATACTTCCAAAAGGAAACGAAACAACACAGCTAAGAGTACAGGAAACAAGATACCAATTCACTGCCACAGCCAAAGATTGCGAGAAAATGCTCAACGTTTACCCTTATCCTCCTGTACCCTGTGCCCTTATCCCGTATTGTCTACAGTATGCAGACAGAACAGCGTGTCGAGCCATATAGGCTTAGTGATGCAATAGGGCTGCCACCGCTCCTACTCTTGTACCTCGGTAGCGGGCACAATGCGGTCTGCGGCGCATTCAACGGCGTCCATTGAACAATTTCCATTTAAGAGTATTTAAGCTTTTATCGAGGCGCGGCCATAAATCGGTGCGCGGGCGCGTGATCCCCGCCCGCGCCCCGCCGACGGCTATAAACAGAAGTCAACGTGTCGGTCTTATAAATCGTGCTCTTTACTATTGTGTCTCACGCCACAATAATGAAGTTAGCTCGTTCGGGAAGAGTTACGGGCCGCGTGGGTGGCCGCGCCCGGGGCGAATCCGACGGGATCGTTGCGTGCGTGTGCGCTTTTTTTGTGCGGTGTAAGAGGTAGTGGGTTGTCGACGCCGCAGCTGGTGAAAGGTCGCCGAAAAAACAAACGGCCCGGGCGAACGTCGCGGTGTGCTCTGTGGACGCGGTGTCGGATTGCGGCCGCTCCGATTTATGGGTACTTTACGAGCGGTCGCCGTTCAAACCGCCGCGCTGGCTTGGACCCATCCGACGATATAAATCATTTCCGCGACGCGAGCTAAAATCAATCGTTACGATCGACCATAACCGGGCACGCGGACACAAGATCGATATTCTCGGAGAGCGGGCATCAATGGTATGATAACGGAGACGCCTTTTAATGTCCCACAAACATATCGTCAAAATGATAACCGAATTGATTTAGTAGACAAAGAAGATTGTCTTAAATTATTCCTTATTCATATTTTATTTCAAGCACTTCCCCTCGTATCGCATACTAATGGCTAATATTTTACGCAACATGAACCTAATGACGATAATAAAATGGCTTAATAAGAAAAAGCCTCAATGTAACAGCGCAAGGGGAATTAAAAAGCCTTTTTATAAAAAAACAAATATAGACTGAAAACCCCTTACGAACACACTAAACTTTAAACTATTGAAACGAACGGTTGAGTGAGACGCCTCGCCCCGGCCGTGTGAAGAGGCGTGCGTAATCGACCTTATAAACAAACATTCCGGCTCAGCACTAAAAAACTGATATATTTCACCAAACTTTTATATCCGTTCGCTCTAACTCGAAATATATTACTTTTCTTTAGCACCTTTTGTATCTTTTAGTGCGTTGTCCCCGTCTTTTATGGGCGCAAGGCGGTCCGTAAATCATTGTAGTGGAAGTTGTGTACACTCGTAAACAAAGCGGGCCCCGCGGGGCGAAGCCGCGACCAGCTTGCGCACACCCAATGTGTCCCACTAGAACAGCTCATACAAAACGAATTTCAATCAATTTCTAGTGTCATTCTCAATTATTTATGAGATGCAGCGATTATATGCATTTTCTGTTATACAAACATCGTTCAGTGCGAAGTAATTGAAATTAAAGACGACGTCACGTACAGATAAAGCAACCGCGCGGACATTAAGCGATAAAAAAAAAAGTTCGTTAAATTTATTTTCTACAAAGAAAACAATTTTCACGTCGCGTCCGAGAACCGAACGTGGGCATTACATTCCCGATAACAGTTAATTCCGTGACACGCCAGCGCTGTAAATTAAACTTTATATCATTTTTAACGAGCGCCCCGAATGGTGTTTTGATTGCGGGCGGCTGGAGGCGTCGACAACTCGACACGACGATAAGGCGACAGTTGGCGCGACACAAAAAACGCGCGTTTTATGGCCGCTCTCACGCCGCGCTCACTCCGCGGACGCCACGGCGTCCACTCGATTTTTATGTGGATTCCTACAACTACACACTTCAGCTTTACGAGTTTCTTAAGGATCGAAGGCTACAAGTTAACGTTAATAATTACGACAGGACGCTAACGTTATTCTATCGACGTGACGATATTGACTCTACCTCGGCTAATTAGTGTTTCGTAGAGATCGCTTTATGTCTCTATTGTGCTGAATTACACGCCGATTTAACGCCCATCGATGTTTAATCAGCTTTACGCACCGTGAAACGACCCCGCAAAACACGTAAAGAGCATCGAGTGATAACAAAAAGTAGGGCCATTAATCTCGCATTGTGTCGCGCCGGCGAAACGTCGGTTTTGTTTGCGGACTCGTCCCGATTTATTCAAACATCGCCCGTTTACAGCTCGCCATTGTCCCTAACTATCGGGTGTGATCTCGCACAATGCCACGAACGGCATAGAAATAATATTGTGACTATTTATTGCTTATACATACATCATAAATTACGGCGAATTAGGACGCACACTAGCTTACATTCATTATTGACTATAGTAAAATTAATTTTATCCTTTTTAACCCTGGTGGACTGCAACCTGAACAAGTTGTATCCTACAAAAACATTCCCAACTGTTATCTTCAGGAAAACATCAGCGGTGGCGACGATTAATCTTTAAGTATTTAAGCTGCCGGTATTTTCCCGAACAAATGTAACGTGTCGCGTCAAGAGAGCGATCCTTCATCCGCAACAACGCCAGGAATTTGTTCATCTGAACGCTCCTTTTGAACGAATCGCCGTTTACACGGAACGGTTCTCCCCAGAGCCCGCGATCACCATGAGTCAACAAACGGTCGGACAATCCGTATATAAAAATTACATGAATTTTTAAAGGAATGTCATCCACAATCGCATATAAATAGTCTTTCTAATTTGAAAGTACCATAATAACTTCTTGCAGTACAATTACAATAAAACTTGACGATTACGGGTTGAATTTACAGTATGACTGGTCAAAGCTATGACCTAATGTTATGGGAGTAATAAGAGTTAGAATGTTATGGTGGATCCACCAGCAGTGGACAAAACAAAACAAATATGAACGAAACAATCCAAATGTAAGGTGGAGTCAGGATAAGCTGTCACTTGAATGGACCGGCTCGTAAGAAGAACTACAGGCTCACGGAAGACCAGCTTGAACTAAAAGTATTTATAATTTTGCATTTTCTCTGGAGTTATATAAGTGGAATGAAATTTTGCAAAAGTCAGCAATGCAATTGAAATCCCGAGCGAGCGTTATAGATATATCAATGCGCGACTGTAATCACTTAATATCGTGTGAATCACCCACACTTTTACTTGCCACAAAAGAGAAAATCCTATCTAAAACATAAAAGTTCATCAAAATTAAAAAAAATTGGCATTTTCATAAAAAACCATGTCCGTGAAACAGCTAAAATTTGGTGACCCGCACGCGCACCCGCTTCTCATGCACCTCGATTGACAGCGGTTGACGTGTGACGGGTATTGTCGTCGTGACATGTTGACACTGTCAAAACTTGACTTCTGTCCGGAATCCGCATGTAAATCGTAAATACGGAAACGCGGCCCGCTCTATGGCGGACGCGGGCACAATGTAACGACAAATTAAATAATGGAATAATAAAGTCTACTCTCCTCGCTGTATCACGTTACAGCTGTCAGTAATGTCTAGTGGAGTATTTGGCAATAGGTACACATTTAAAAAAAATAGTTCACTTTTTAGTTTGTAACGTACCTTATATTTAATTTATTTTAAAATGAACAGCGGTATTAAATGTCTTCTAGTAATAATTCTTTTGACTGAAGTCACCGCTGGCACTATTTTGCAGAAGAATTTAATGGCTCAGATATACGAGATAATAAAAAAACAGTGTTATAAACAATAGAGAGTTAATACTAATTAGTATGAATAATACAAGTAACAGGCACTCATGCTAAATTTCAGGGAAAGGAAAGATATACTTACTAGTTGTTTAAATAATTTGTTGCCATATTGATCTACTGTGAGTCTGTCCAGTCATTCCATAGCCAAAGCTTCTTCATGGCTCTACAACGGTTATTGATAAGATAAAATAAATAATATAATTTTAAGTCATAACTGAAATCAATGTGAAATAAACATAGTAAAGTCAATGTCCCACTGCTTGACGAGAATAAGTCCGCTACGCGATCTCAGTGTAGGCCAGGAGGCTACACATTTCTTTGTGATTTTTTTTAAGTTTTTTAAAGATGTCCAGGGTTCCTCACGATGTTTTCCTCACCCACCTTGCAAGTGGTAATCACCATTCGCGAGCATCTGAATTTAAACTGGGATTCCTCGATTATTCTGTATAAATAAGCATCCAGACACTGAACTAACATAAAAATAAAAATGCCATAAATTCACTGAGGTGCAGTAGTAAGGAGTATTAATTTCAAATAATAAACAAATAACTATTATATTATATTCTCTTAAACAACACCATAAGATTTTTATATATGAATATTAAGTTCAACGACATTTGGTGAGCCTGCAGACCCGCCCATGTAGCCGTATCGTCGACGAGATAACGTCAGAACGGCAACGTTGTCAACGCTTATTTATAATGCAAAAGACGTTTTTAAGCTAATTTCAAAGGCGAGACAAGGGGAATTTCGGGCCGACCCCCGCGGGGCGCCCCCCGCGCTCACACCACCACGCCACGGCCTGTCAGCCCAGTCTCCAGCGGCGACTCTTTCTCTTAAACATGGTGACAAAGTGACAATTCAAACATTCAACTCTAATGTTGTTTAGGGAACATTCTACGGGTGAACAATCCGCCTTATTTATGGTCGTATTGCGCGCGCACAATGAATCACAGCCTCGGTCCACTTTGAGCCTTTTCATTTCCGGGCAATTATGCCGGGCATCGATAGCTACGTTCGCCGTATTGCACTTTGCAAATTTCTAAATCTTGTTTGTCTCTTTAATACAAGTCATGATATCAATTTTTTTCTTTTTTACTTTAAAGGTAGTTGCCATCAACTGAGGTAGGGCCACGCACCAGTTTCTGCTGTTGCACGAACCGGCAGATCCGTCCGGGGAAGTACCACGACCTCACAGAAGACCGGCGTGAAGTAAAAGTTTTATACTTCTGAGTTTCGTCTGCTGAGTGAGGTAACCGGGGCCACTACGGGATTGCAAATGTCCATGGGCGATGGTTATCACTTTACATCAGGTGAACCGCCAGCTCGCTTGCTACATTGTCACTTAAAAAAGCAACCCCAATCAAGCCCCCTTTCAACATCGAAGGTTCTGGTTAACCCACGATCAGTGAAAAAGTACATAATCCTCTACTTGTCACTCGTCTTCTCATTGTCATTATTTGTTCATCCACGTAGCAGAAGCTGCTTCTAAAGTTTAACAACAACATACGATTACCTCACGCGAAAGAGCGTCCAGACGAGAGATGGTGAATGATGGAGAATAGTATGGTGATCCAGTGCTACACTATACCTACTGAATACAAAATTAAAAGCTTTCGAGGATATTCGCAATCTAGGTGTTCAAAATGAAAAAATGCACTTCAACGTTTTTTATGACGTTTGGCTTTAAGTATGGTAAAGCGCACTTAGCACTACTCTGGTGTTCTTTAAAATAACAAAATAAATAGATAGATAAAATATTTAAAATTATGCTCTAGTTTCACACCAATCGTAAAATTATTCCGAAAAGGTTAGTGGTCATGACATTTTTTCATTAAGCGTTTTAAACATAAATAATGGATTTCTGTTTAGTTGAAGTTAGAGCCCAGAGAGCCACAACCAACTCGAAATTTACCTCTGCGAAATTACAAACAAATAGTTACTTACTAAAATATATACCCAGCTACAAAACAGGTACGTAAATTAACATAAAAAAGCTTAGAAAAGCTAGTTCTAAGAACAACTGTCAACATCATATTAACAATGAACAAACAGTACTAGTCATCAGTTGGGTTTTACCTTGACACGAAAAATTATCGATATAAAATTACTACAACCACACTCAATAGATATTTGTATTACATACAAGTCGGGATACGAGTTTAACTAAACCTATAGCTATGTAAAAAGTATAGGAACAGTTACAGATATACATTTATCTGTATATGGATATAGATAAACATACATTGCCCTTACTTTAAGATAACGTTATCCTGTGTTGTAAGGATGTTTTAAAAACATAAATTTCACGCGGACAAACACCCAGATGCGACTATCTGTCTATCACACAAATAGTTATCCCGTGTAGGGATCGAACCCGCGACCCCCGACGCCGAAGCCAATACCTTGGAAATTTCGCCACGGAGTCATCAAAACTTGTTTAAAACAAATGTTTCTTTTCCAGCCACAAATCGTTTAAAGTTGTCAATTGCTTAAAGTGCATTTTCTAAGTATTCAGTGTCAACATTTCGAATCAACATAATTATGGAACATGAATCGAAGCGGGCGCATGACGACAAGATACTGAATAAAGAAACAGAAGTTTGCTAGTCATATTACAATTAAGTATAACTTTACAAAACATTATAAAGCAACCTGTAATGAACGTGCTCTTTTAACAATGTAATTTAACGTCGTCATCAAATTAATGGTAAGGCCATAGACTAGTCATGCGGCCGTTGCATTTGCATTTTGTTGTTGTTTATTAAATGGTATAAGCGAGAAGAGAAGGCGCAAAACATTGAAAATAAAATTGAAAAGCATTTTTTCATTACAATGGTCAATTCTAACATTTGTTATATATAATAATTCAATATTTTATATTGTTAAATTTAAATGTAAACTAAAGGCGTCTTATATACATATGCGTATATATTGATATGTCTATTAGTGTGTTTAGACATCTTTTCAAGTGTGTGTGTCATCAAGTGCCACAATCAAGAACCTACGATCTCACGGTGTCTGACTGTATTCTAGCTAAGTCATGGGCCTCTGCCTTTATTAGTTATCTTTATTAGGTCGTGTTCACTTAACAGCTCTATGGCCAAATGTCCAGTTTTGGTTATGCGAGATACTAATTTCTCATTAAACCTTTTCTTTGCCTAGACCACGCGCATACCCATTTAACCTCACAGCAAAACGTTCAGCCAAAGGGATAGGAATTCGCACGTATTAAAAATGAGCAAGAATCGCCTTCCGTAATGAACGTGCAAATTCACTCGACTCGTTAAACAACGTTTATGGCCGACTTTACCTTATTAACTTTATAGCGTTAAGTTGTTATCATACATGTAAATTCTCTCTTGAGTTAACGGAATAACTTCTATTGTGCACTGTTAAGTTTGTTATTTTAGTTTTAAATCAATAGTTTGCTCATAAGTTCAAAAACACAGTAATTAATCTATTCACATTAAATCAATTATCCAATATCATACTTAAATTCTGGTAGCTTAGTGAAAAGTGTATTTAAAGAACTACTAATCCATCCCGTATGGACTCTTGTATGTAAACATCTCTAATTCACAAATCTGTATTGCACGAAGATCTTTATAACTAAGTTGCAATAAAGAGTACCTTTCATACCAGGATTCCGTTGTACCTTTAATCAGTGTTGTAAAATTAAAAAGTAAACAGTACCAATTCAAGCCAGAAGCGATCCCATTTGGGCGTGCACCGGGTACAATTCAAACTAGAACATACCGAGTCCTGGTTGAGTTAGTGCTCTTTGTTAATCCCCCGTAAGTCACACAATTATTGTACGTCCGTCGGTGAGTCGGGGGACCGCCCCTACCATTAGGGCTGGCACTCGAGCCACCCCTCTGCTCCGCGGCTAATCCGCCGGGGAAGTGGCTAAATATCTTGTGCAAACAAACATTCGGCGCGTATCTTCGTGGGGCGAGATGGCTGTAACCGATCGGATAATGCGACTTACGCAACGACATCGCCGCTAGTAATGAACCCCAACAATGCGGCATTCGACGCAGTCCGTGGGCAAGCTGACGCAAGTTTCGATATCTCGTCTCCATTGTTTGTGTAGTCTGTTAGATTCGCATGGTAATACACCCCGTTTTTATATTTGAAAATCTCCAACATGAAACGTTCTTAAATCCTCACCATAAACGTGCCGAACAACACGACTAGTTTAAACAGGACTAGGTAAAAATACAGTACTAACATAGCTTGCATCTAGCATAATGTACTTTTTATACCGCGGTGAGACTTTAAAATTAATGCAATGATTCCGAAACTACTCTCTATATATGCACAAACAGAATTCGCAATTCGCAAGAAATTCCTTCTTTATTATTTATTTTATTAAAAGTATATTGGTGTGTCTATTACTAATATTACGTAATCGTATCTTCTGGGACGCAAAATAGATTGATTTATGTCATTAAAACAATATTTGGTTTCAAGACGGTACTTCTTACGTAATCTAGAATTCAAATATGCGTTATATCACGTCATGCAAGAAGCAATACAGTGTTTTAGCTTTGGCTGTTTTTCACATAATCGGCATTTTGTCTTTGGATACTAAAAGTTACATCAAATTTGACAAAAGAAACGCTAAAAGTGAAATTTATAACAGATTTTAAACGTCGATGTGCCATAATATCCATTGCATAGTAGTCTGAAAACTTACATAAAATCCCATGAGAAGTAATTGTTGAAAATGTTCTTTTATTTTCTTGTGATTTTTTTTATGTTAGTGAGAGTTGACAAACGAGCAGGCGGTTCTCATGATGTTAGGTTTATTACGGCCGCCTATAGACATTTGCGACACCTAACGTGTTACAGATACATTGAAAAACTGGCTCGTGGTTACAGTTTTTTTTTAGTTGTCAGAAACTCAAAACGACCTTTAAAAACATACAGTTATTCCAGTTTTAAGTTTTCACTTCTGGCGGCAGTCTCCGTGACTGCTTAGTTTTTTTTAATGTAGTTTCTTTTAATGCGAAGATTTGATCCTGCACTAAGGTTAACGTCTTATCTTCGTACCAATGGTAAAATCTCAACGCATTACATCTTTTTTTTGTAACATTTTGGCGTTTATTTCAAAGTTTGGCGTTATCTACTTTGTTTTCTTCACAGCAAACGACCACTTTTTTATATAACATTTTACAATGAAATGTTTTTAAACTGGAGATGACACCTTAATATTAGCTATTATTTTTCTAAGAATATTACTTTTATAGTGCTATTATCTGCATTTATGGTGAAATTTGGGGGAATGGAATGAAAAATGTAAAAATGCGGGAAGTCGATGGATGCAGGTGGCTCAGGATCGTACTTCATGGCAGTCTGTGGGGGAGGCCTATGTTCAGCAGTGGACTCAAACAGGCTGAAATGATGATGATGATGGTGATGATGATGATGGTGAAATTTAAAAATTTGAGAATTTAGCATGGACCAAATTTTTTTTTCTAGCAGTGGATGACTGTATGTGATCACTGCTGCCCTTCGACGCTTGCAACACTGAAGAAATTACAACGGTGTTGAAAAACAGTCATCAAAATCAGTCATCTCTTTCTCTCTCCTCTCTTCTTAAACGTAATTCTACAAACAAAATGAAAAAACTGGTCAACTAAAGCTATGCAATCTGCAGACGGTTTCTAATTTTGTCGACTTAAGTACATTTTTAACTGACTTCAAAAAAGGAGGAAGTTCTTTTTCTAGTATAATGCATTTCGTGCCACATTTTTTTGAATATCTTACTGTCCATTCACTGTTGTTATCTTGACTAGATTTAAATAAAGCAATAGTTTTAAAACTGTTAGAAGTAGCTAACGCATTTCACTACCGTAAACAAACAAGTGAGGTCGCTGGAGACAAACCGAAGTCTTTAACAATACCTTTCTATTATCATTGATAGACAGATCTCCGCCCCTTCCCTGGCAATCTGGATGCCTGCCCGGCGATACTAGTATGGTAATATTCTTTTGTATAAAATTAACAACATATTCGAGGAATATTATTAACAGGATACAGAGCAGTAAGCCAAGTTTCAAATTCTAATGCAATGCTTAAGTTCTACATTTATAAAACAGTCTCTAAATGATTAAATTCCATCTTTAGCTCAGACCAATCTCTTAGAAAGATATTTTTTACTAATTTCTCACTCAAAAGATTTCTGTTTCATAATTACAAATGTTTTACATTTCTATCTGTCAATTTTAGAATAGATTATCGATAGTATGTACCTTTTTAAATAGAAATAGCAAATATTTATCTTCTTCTTTGTCCTTCCCTCACTAATGAGGATCGTGAACATATATGATTTGTCTTCATTTGCTTCTGTCTTGCACCAGTTCAAGAGATCGTTGTAGAGTCTCTCCTGTTGACTCTGCTTTGTATATATTTATATGTCAATCAATTATATTACTTAAAATTTGTAGATAAAATTGTCGAAAAATGTTTCTCCGCTGCAAGGATTCGAGCATGCGCTTTCCGGAATACGCTTCCAGACGCAACTAACAATTAGCTATAAATCTATACCGCTTAGTGTATGAGTTTAGTGACTTTAAGTATCATCTGAAGTGCAAAGACTAGCACTGAAATTAAAGCTAAAATTTCAGTTATATTATGTTTAAAAACTTATCAATATTATACAAAGGATTACCCAAAGTTTTATATTCGCATTATTTCTGAACGCATAAAATACTACTTTCGAAAAAACCTATGAATCTTATTTGAATCATGAATCTTGTTAGAAATTTTGAGGCAGCTCTTTGCGTAATATAAAAATTGGTAATAAGCACTATCCCATTGTTTAATAATTGTTTGTTACATTTAACAATTTCTTAGTGCACATGTTGTAGAGCTTTCAAAAAAATCATTTTCACTTCCAGTGTGAAGAATTTAGCAAATATTATTTCCCTTTCATTTATCTTTGGTTCAATATTTAAATAATCTTAATGTTTTTACTTTTCGGAATATGTTTGAATGTAATAGCATAGTAAGTCACTAAGCGATCTATAGAACGGGCTGTGCTAGGTATTTCTCTGCGTGATAGAATAGTCCGTTAATAGAACCGATATAGCTCAGAAGATTATCAAACTGAAGTGGCGATGGCTGGCTATATATCTCGTAGAACCGATAACCGATGGGGAAGAATGGTTCTTCAGTGGCAGCTTCGCAGTGGACTCAAGCAGGCTGAAATTATGATGATAATGATAATGAATAGAATAGCTGCTAAACCGCAGTCCAAAATCTATTCTGCAAGCGTAAATTATATTGTATTTAAAGCTATTATATATTTTAAGCTAATTAAAGCTATTAAAATTATAAGTACTGCATATGCGTTGATTATTGCAGCAATATATTAAGAAATAAAGCAACTGTGCGCCCAAGGAATCACCATCCATTCCTTGTACATCTGCGAACGTTACAAATACCTTTTCTACGCCTGATTAACCGTAAGGCTGAAAACGATGCGTCCATTTCTCAGGCGCGCGAAGGGGGTGGTAACGTTCGGTGCGGCGATTAGCATAAAACGTGTTGTTCCCATCAGCCATCAGCGGCGCTCCAACCTCGGCTGTCGGTGCGCATGCCTATTCATGAGCCGTTTGGGCCGCCGTGGCCCCCGCCGCATTTGAATAAACACAATTGACTTGTTTGTTTGTCCAGCGGCGACACGTTCCGGCCAGCGTGCGAAGAAACAGTTGGCGGTGGGCGTGGTGTGACGACCGGGCCCCTTACCGACCAGAGCGCTAAGCTGACTGAAGCGTTCAATATTCGTTCATCAGACGTAAATAAAATGTTTAATTAACATCAAGAAAACCGTGATAGTTCAGTGTCCTGGCGCTCGCTGCTAGTTCAGTGCACTCGAGCAACGAAGTTTTCAATTTGAGTTCAGGAGAGTTGTTGAGTTTGGGATACATCTATTTCCACTATGACACACGACTACGATGAAAATTTCCGGAATAGAAACGATGCAACCAAAAACGCTCAGTGTGTCTCCTGTGTAAACGCTGTGTGGAACCTGGTCTAATCAAATAGTTTAAATTGGATGCCGTCTGGTCTGGGTTGCGATGAAGTTCGTATTTGAAAATTACGGCAGTTTCGATTATACATAGAATTTGTTAAGTTCCGCTAAGTAATGTTAAAATTAGTCCACTTCGGTAATCTATTCGACTCGCCATTTCTTCATCCTCCCTTTGGCGGAAACCCGGTCAGAAGGACCGGGTTCCCGACGTGACGTGGTGAAGTAGCTTAGTAGTCGTGGATGGACACCCACGGTGAAGCTAAGAAGAAACCCACACTGGGCCGGCCTGATGTGTAAAGCCGCCCGACAGCCGCTCCGAGTGGACTCATTAAGCACTCCCACTCTAGAAGCGTGCTTGGAGGGTGCAGGAGACAAGTCGAGTGTGGAAGAGGAGGAGCCACTCTCCGTCTTCTGCTACCGAGGAGGAGTCGCGGGGGAAGAGGAGTGCCGGTAATGCGTTTGATCACGCTCGCTATCCTCGGCGACTCGGCGGGGCTGCACCGCTGATGCAGTGGTGTTGGGGCCACGGGGGGAGAGGAGTGTCGGTATTGCGGTGCGCCGTTCTATCTACCCTCCGCGGCCAAAACATGGTGAACGGCGGAACCACAGACCAGGTCCGCTACTGGGGGCTGAGAGGCTTTCTGCTTCTTGGCACTGGCTCTCCTGGCTCCCATGACCTCTGGTCAGCGAATCCGGGGAAGAGGAGGCCAGTAGGAAGGCGCACGAAATGTTCCAGCGCGCTTTACCTGGAGGGGAGTTGCTCCCCGGGAGGAGGCTGTTGAGGCGGCCAGCGCTGGCAGGGTATGCGAAAGAAAGGGTTTACGTGGCCCTGCCGATATGCGCCTAGGAACATCGTGGGGGTTTTAGTGCAAGTCCTATATAACCCGGTCTTGCCTCCGCGAGGTCGGGTATATGTAGACATTTCCCCCACGTTAACGAACAAAAAAAAAGACGTTACTTCTTCCTACCATCGCTCATAAAGAATACATGTTAGAATGTATTAGATCTCCGGCATGAAAATTCCATGCAGCGGTGCCGCGCCATTTCACGACGCTGATCGTCCGCAAAATTGAAAACTATTCCGCAGACTGGAAACATTCAAATTGCATCCGATGGATGATATTCGGCAGCGGCGGCAGCTCAAAGGCGAGCGGCGGCTCTCTCGCCGCACTGTTATTATCTCAACACCATCGCGCTCCACCTAACCCATTCGCTTTTTTCGCCAGACGCCTCCGTCTCACTCCTTCCGCGCCAGCACGAGAGGGACCCACGCCCGTTTACACTAAACTCGTCTCGAGGGCGTTCCCTCGACGATTTATCATTTAGCGTTGCCTACAGACATTATTTGAAAGGCATTAAAATTGCGCTCGTGGAAAATTTGTCGGCATCGAAATTGGTACTGTGCAGCGAGTGAATAATTTATCGCTTAAACCGCGTCCGGAACACCGCTCGCGACGCCTAATTAGAAATTCATTGGCGCTGATGATCGTTTCGCTAATAAATCCGAATCATTAGGTACCGACTCAATTACACACAGTTGAACTGAACCAATTTGCCATTGAATAAACAGTGAATTTGTGATTTGGTCTAGCGGTTTTCTTTTTGTACGCAATTCTTTTTGCACTAGATACCAACCAATCCGTTAAAACAAAATCATCTCAAAGGGTGAGAAATTAATAATATGTATACCAAATTATCTATCATTGATCATAAACAAGTTTGTGGAATGTTTACGCAAGTTATCAATGTATTAAGACTAAGGTACATTTCTATAAACTAAAAAGCATAAGTTCTTCATATCCTTGAAATTTCATGACTCCTACAGATTTTCTTTTCCTTGGCGTTACAATAAATGTCGATAATAAGGATTACGCTGGTATCATTTAGCCATTCTCATCATGCTAGCTCTCGTTTTTTTCTGTTACAGACCATCTCCAGGTGTGTACATAGCTTGATCATCACATTAAGCTAGCATCAAACATACAAACAAACGCGTTAAGTACATCAAAAACGAACGGTCACCTAACTCACTCGCGGGCGACAGACCAAAATGCAAATACTCCCACTCTACGACAATGTTGTGTTCTTCCCGAAACAAAGGTAAGCTCTACAATGGCACAAACAAGCGGACTGCGAGTCGCACGTCGTTCAGGTGCGGACACCGCGAGCTCATCGCGCAAGAGCGGACCGAAGAAGCTGTCACGCGCGGCGCGAGCACCTGACGAGTGGTGGCGGCCGGCTGCCGGGGCGCCTTGTAATTTGAGCGCCGCCGGTAATTATTTACGTGAGAATGGTCTCGCTCCCCGCCGAAACGAATCGCTGATTGAGCGCGCCGCGATGCCGCCTCGAGATTGCCGCTCGAGCCCCGGGGACTGCACCGCAACTACGTTTTCAGGAATCGTTGCGTCATGACGTCAGCGTGACGTCAAGACGCGTCATTGCCCCTTCAGGGTTGAAGTGAAACGAAATCCTGTTGGAATATACATATTGTATAACTACTGTCACGAGAATGCTCTCTACGTCGAAGTCCTACGTCCGAGTTACGCAGGGGATACATTTTTAGATATCTGCTAATAACTTGACTATTCCACTAAACTTATGACACCATCCATATGGTCGTATTTTGTTCGAGGGTATAATAATGATTTATTTGGTTAGTTCTGTTTCACTGGTATCTTAATGACGAAGTGGAACCATGAAAGTACGTGAAATTCACGGCATTGTCATGGCAACCAATAAAAACTTTTTGGCACTCACAAATAATTCCAAGCCATTTAAAGTTGATATCAACACAAAAGACTAAGACAAACAGCTTGAGATAGACACACGCCATTAAATGCGGTAAAACAAATTTCTAGATGAAGCTTGGCTAGTAAATGGCTGAACGAGCCAGTGGTGCAAGAAGCAGAGCCAACAGTAACGCAATAAAACAGGAATTAGCAAAGAAATATGTTTGATAATGTTGCTATCATTTGTTAAGGTAATTAAAACAGTTCGGTTCTCGAGTTCATCTGTACACAATGAATTGTTACAATTATTTGTATCCGACTGTTGAATTGTTGAGTGCATTACGTCTTTCGGTCGATTAAACATAAGAAAAGCATCCCTGAAATTTCGACACTAGAAGTAAAAATATCAGAAACATATCTTTTTACTCTATAACTTATTGTTGATCCGTAGTTGCTAAGCTAGTTGTGAGTTAAAATAGCGACCATACTATAGTTAACGAGCATAACGACTCTGCCTTGTCGCTCTTCTTGTTTATCTTCTTTAAAATGAGTTATATACATAGATGAAAGATTAACCATACTAAAGTTTTCCGCTATTATTCGAACTAAATCTGCATCTGTCAAATTAAAGCAATATAGTATGTACTTGATTTTACGGTCCACGTCATCGTAAATTATTTTAAACACAAACAATTTTTTCTAAACAAGTCTGTATCAGTTTGTTTTAGTTTTATTACTTGCATTCACATTATGAACACTAATATATTATACGGTAACACGGAAACCAAGAATAAACAAGACTTCCAATTACACAATTAGAATATTAACACATAACCACACGCTAATTGCGCGATACTGACGTGCGAATTCCCACAAGAAATAAGGAAAAAAAAACTCGTTTTAAATTCCTTCAGCTAACACGGTGTATCAAGTTACGCTATAATAAAAAATACTCGAATAAAACGGATAAATCACATCTTATTAGCACGGCAATATTAGCACAAGATAAGGAATAAGTGGAACGTTGCAACGAGTTCTTGAGGGACCGTGTTTTTTTTTTTCGATGACATGGTGTTGGAGTGACGACGGTTGTTTTGACTTATACTGACACTTGCGTGTACAGCCTCCGAGTTGGCAAGAACGAAGCCAACGAAGCCACCAGACCGAAAAAAATTGGCATGCTACTGAGAAGATTATTGTCGCGATTAGCGCTATATGAAAATAAATGATGTACATAATAAGTGAACTTGTTTTCACAATGTTTTAATTATATAAAAATCAAATTATTATTTCAATCTTCCGAATTAAGCATTTAAGTATATAAAAAGTATTAAAAAATCTGATCATTTGATATACTTTTAGCCGCACAGCGCCATCTAGCGATGGAATGCAACACTAATGAAATACGCTTCCATCGTGGTTCAAAATTCAAACCAAGCTACCAATCAATCCTTTCGTGGCACTTTGCATCGTTCAACTCTGTTGGAATATATTAATTCGGCGCAATAAATTACGAGAATATTATCAATAAACTCCTAGACCACTTACGATGGGCCGGGTGTTTGTTTAAACAACAAAATGTTAAATTGGCCGCTTTCAATAAGCGGGCACGCCGGGCAGGCGACGCCGGGCGGCGCCCCGCTGCGACGGGCCCCTAAACACACTCAGACCGCGGGGCGCCGCGCCTCGCACACTAATAACACCGTCTTTCCCTCTGTCATGCCTTATTTCATCCCAACGTCTCTCGTTTTTTCCACGTCTTCGTTTTTTTCCCTCCATCCCGCGAACCGACCCCGAACAATAACAATAAAACGAATCACTGATGATAGTAATCCTTCATCCTCATTGTCTTTTGGCAGTTTCGTGGAATAAAATATGTTGCGCTCTTGCGACTTGATATCTGAACGTCACATTATAAATGGCGTCGTTTAAAATATTTTAATACCCACTACATCAGGGCGATATTAATTTAGTACGCTTGAGTTGAGCGGCCTGGTGCCACTGCTGGAATGTTAAATGACAGATTACCGACCTCCGAGATCGAGAGATAACGAGATCTTGTAGATTCTATCGCTGCCCTTTGGTAACCATTTTCTATTTGCCCTGAATATATTACAAATGTTATTTTCGTATCTTAATCGTAAATGTTATACTTACGCTTGTTTCATCCCCTTCCAATGGTTTGTAACCCTTTTGTTAAGACAGGGGATAAAATGACGCGCCGTTACTAATACAACTTCTTAATGTATCAGGTATACTATTGAAGCTATAAATCAATAAATCTTTTTAACGATTATCTAGCACAACTTTTTTTTAAACATTTTTTTCTAAGTTAAAGGCAAAAGTGAGTACACTTCTACTGAGCAAGCGCGTTTACCATCAATGGCTGCTTCGCCACCCATTGTGGGATTAGAAGGCACTAGAAAACCCCTTTAAAAAGTTATTTTGCCGCAGTCCTTATTTACAGTGTTTTTATAATATATTAAAACTGCTGTATAAACATGAAAACGTTAACAAACAATTTTTGAAAAGATCACGACATATATATAAATCGGGGATTGTTAAATCTACCTAATCACATTAACAAAAACCTATTATTTATTAAAATATATATTGCGTATACACGTTTGTGATTGCTACATGTTATGCTTAAAATATATACAACCATAGACATTTTTTTAAGTTTTCAAAAGTATGGTAAGTTACAAGTAAGTTAAGTTATAAGTAGGTATGCTATTTTTTAAAAGTTTTTATTTTTATTTGTTGTATGTTTACACTAAATTCATAAAACATATTACATACGTTGTTTTATCATTTCATTAAAGATAATAAAAATAAGAAAATGTAAGAAAACAGAAAAAAACAGTCATGTCTCTTATACCATCCAAAGTAGTAGCAGGTCATTCATTGTAGGTGATCGTCATGTGAGCTGATGAGGCAAAGATATATTTTTGTAAAATTTAAATTGTCACATCTAAGAGTCAAGTCTAGATCACAACTGCCAACTAGATGTTAAAAAAATAATATCTTTGCAAATCTTTGTAGTGTTGTATTAATAATAAACCATATTTTAAAGATTTTTTTAGCTAAGCGCAGTTGATCCACAGTTTTGTTACTTTTATATTCATTCTCGACTAAATCATAGATAAGAAATACAAAAAGGAAAACGCAAATTTAGAAAAAAAAAATACTTGTGGGGTTTTTTTTTACCAATATGTTACTTAGAAAAATAAAAAATACATATTTTATATATAATGCAATGCTTTTTAGCACGATTTAGTGTTGCTCTGTCAAACGGAATTTCCTGTGGAAGAACTGTTGCTATGATACAACATTGTTATTTCAGTGTCACTAACAATTAGCATAAACAAAGTGGATTTTCTCAAGATGGTTAGAATTAGTGTTGATATGGTTCGTAAAAAGGCAGAACATCATGACAGGCTTTTAGCACCTTTAGAAGAGATTTCTCTGCATCAAGAAAACATCGAGAAGATTGAATTTATTCAAGATTGGTGTCCCAAATTGAAAATACTCTTGTTGCAAAACAATTTGATAGCAAAAATTGAAAATCTGAACAAACTGAAACATCTGGAATATCTAAATTTGGCCCTAAACAACATAGAAACTATAGAAAATTTAGATAGATGTGAGTCCTTGAAGAAATTGGATTTAACACTCAATTTTATCGGAGATATAGAGAGTATAGAATCTCTAGCTGAAAATTACAACCTGCATTTTTTGTATTTAACTGGAAATCCTTGCACTGATTACGACAACTACCGCGACTTTGTTATAGCTACTTTACCACAACTTAAGTGGCTCGATGGCAAAGAAATCGATCGGTCAACTCGTATTAAGTCTCTACAAAACCTTCCTATAATAAAGTCAGATATCTTATTTGAGCAGAAAAATTATTTGTGCCAACGTCAAAAACAAAAGATACGGTTAGAAAATGATATAAAAGAAAAATGGGAGAACGAATACAAGGAATTAGATCCAGATGAAAGAAACAAAAAATTTTGGGCTGAAAAGTGCGAGCATGCGCCTGAAGTACGGTACGAAATAGAAAGAATGCGACAACTAAAGTTAAAATGTGATGAACCAAAAAAGCAGGAAGTAAAAAGATCTTACAAACTGTTTGCTCCTGATGGGAGACCTTTTAACATAAATCAAGCAAAAGTGGAGTTCATGTTTAGCGATCATGAACTGGATAAATTTATTTTAGATATTGCAGTCTACAAATATTTGGACAGCACTCTTCTTGATATCGATGTGCAACCTAATTATGTTAGAGTAACGATAAAAGGCAAAATTTTTCAGCTCCATCTACCGGAAGAAGTTGATATTACCAACTCCATCGCTCAACGCTCACAGGTAACTGGACATTTGGTAATAACAATGCCAAAACCTAATGGTGCTTTAAAAATACAGATGGCGCCAAAGAAAAATTCTGAGTTAAAGTCAAATACAAAAAATGAAATTCAAAATTGTGAAACAAGGTTTGGGCAAAGTAAAAGAGAGTTTTTGGAGATAGGGCCTGCTGATAATGTTCTTGACTTTACTAAAATGACCGACTCCAAGAAAATACCGACATATAAAGATACAAGAATAAATTTAGATGAGAAGAAGCCATCAGACGGGTTTGTTGATAATCCGGAAGTTCCAGGCCTTATTTAAAAATAACAACAAATTATGTAATTCTTAACCTTTAATAAAACTAATTAAAAATAAATTACTTATTTTATTTACTGTTTTACAAAATTTTGCTTAAAATGAAAAAATTGTTAATACTTTTTCAAATAATTAATTTCTTACAACATTTAAACATGCTTATTTTAATCAGATTTATGTCCATACAAACCAGCATGTTTTTATAAATATTTAATCTATTTTATCTAAAATAAAAAAGTATTTACAAGAAACAAAGGACAGTGACAAGTCGAGAAAATAATAAATATGCAGCTGCTATATTTTATGTACTTGTAAAGCTTCGTAATTGTTAAGTAGAAGATAAATATATAAATTTAAATGCAATTTAAAAAAAATTGTTGCGAATATTCTTTTTCGGTGGTATTCTTATACATATTATACAGATGCTGACTTTCGTAAATACTAGATGATATTATCTAATGCTGTATTGTTTGCCGTGAAACTAAATTCACTCGAATAATGGTTTAAATTCAAGACCATCAAATGTTTCGCTTAATAAAAGTGAAAGTGCCCAAAATTTGGTTATGTTAGTCTGGTCTCATAGTTGTTTTCCACAGATGATATGCCGTTCGTTTCCGCCGGTGGCGCGACTATGAACGTCTTGAATCCGTCAATGTCTTGAATCTCCTTAGACGTAAACTTGGCAGATATCTGGTGGCGCCCGCCCCACGGAGGAGTAAGTTTGAATTGTGCAGTCGCGAATTCACCCGGTTGCACGTTCTGCAAAACAATTGAAATAGATTTTGATTCAATATACTTACTCGACTTACCACAGTTCAAATCCCGGTGCCAACACCAATGAAATTGTTAATTTTCGTGTTGACTTATCCACGTGATACTTCACTTTACAAAAAAATATTTCTTAGATATAATATGAAATCTGCAGTGGGATCGCGTGGTGGACTATGCGCTAATACCATCTGTAGAGAGGAGTCCTTTGCCAATCAGTGGGACATATTACAGGCTGTTACTTTACTTTTACTACTTTTTTATTTCAATAGAACTTACGTCATATAAAAATAATATTAAGATTCAGTAAAGAAATAAAAAACGTGAGGGTGGTCTGAATTCTATTGTAATCTTCTAATCAGGACGCAGCTAAACCTATTTTTAAATAAAAAACATTTAATTTTCATTAGCCTGTCTACCAAATACCCTACAGATAAGCCATTCACGAAATGCTTGAGAACCAGAAACTCTGTGTGGTTTACGATAACTAACAAGTTGGTAACCGCCTAAAGCCTTTATTTATCTACTATATCTCTATTTGTAGAGACCAAAAATTATTAAACAGATCTTTCATTATTGTAGCGACATTATCTGCCTATTCGCTAAGTCGCCATACAACTCAACTAACTAAAATAAATTTTACGGTTATGACGCAATTGAACAAATTAACTATTTCATTAAACTAGTTACAAACCTTGATCCTTTTAGGGTCGATATTCCTAGCAATCTAAGTGGTTCGCCTTGTCGTTCACTGTGTGTGTGGCGATAGATTGGAACAATTAGCTGCTTTTGTACTTAAGTATTTTTTTTAAATTCTAATTAAAGATTTATATTATTACACTATACAGTAGCTGTATATGGGTATATGTATATAACCTAAATTAATTTTGAATACAACAAAAAGTTAATATACCTCATCGAGCTCAATTTTCAGTTGTTTATCCAATCCAGGGCCTTGTATATAAAATTTGCCATTCCTCAGAGGTATGGGCAAAGGATTTTCTACTTTAACGATCACTTCCATCTCTTGCCGGGACGTCGGTTTACCGTTAATCTCGATCTTTATATCAGGATTACGAACTCTGAAGTCATCTTGCGCGAAGTAGTCGAACTGTCTATCCACTATTGTAGCGAGGCACGCAATGTTGAATGAAGCCTGCAATCATAATCAATATTAGCGAAATACCCACGTTTCCGGTTTAGTATTTTATGTCAACAACTGAATATAATATTGACGGGTCAGTTAAGAGTTTTAAAGATATCAACCTGAAATGATATCTAACCTGATCAACTAGCTTCTTAAAGTAATCATCAAATGTGACCAATAATGTGACCAGTTCCTTAGCCTCGGGGGCGAGGTTGAAATCAAATTCCTTCCGTTTCACGCTGTCACCTGTCTTGCCTGTGTAGGTGACCGTGTCTACCCTTAAGACACCCTTCACCTGATGCTGGTTCACCATCGATCGATTCTTCACGTGCACAGCCTAAAACGAATATGTTTTTTATAAAATTTTATTCTTTTCAAGCTTTAATACTAAACCCAACAAGTTTTTCTTTATCCACACTTTAAACAGTGGTTTAATCGCTTTATAATCTGTAAGTAGATGATACTTACTACGTTAAAGTCTTGGCCAATTTTAATGTCGTCTCTCAATTCGAAGTCGAAATGCACGTCGTTGAAAGCGTCGTTTAGATAATACCTAGCGAAAATACTTTCAGATTTGCGAAGCGCTTTCTCCATAGTTTCACGTTCCTCCCAAGTCCTCTCGGGATATTTATATAAGTCTGTAATATCCTGTAAATTGAAATCAAACGCTAAAGATACGTTAGAGTAAAAAAGGCGCCTGTGATATTTAAAGAGCAAAAATTGTTTTATGTATATATAAACATGTATTTCTTTTACAGTATAGTTAAACTGAGTAAAAATTTTACCTTAATATGTTACTTACTTCTCGTTCCATAGCGCCAATTGCTTTAGTAGAAATATTTTGTCCAATTGAAGTTGTATCACGCGCCAACAATTTTAATGGTTGAATTTCTCCCGAGTATTTCCACAATACCTAAAATGAACAATTTCCAATATACTTAACTTGTTGAAATAGTACATAAATAAAAACTTTTCTTTGATGTCTAACAATTTTGTCGAGGTCATTTGAATTTTCAATAATATTCAAATGACCAGAACAAGTTGATTTTGTTTTCGTTATACTATCGCAGGGTTATTGAGAAAGGCTAACAATAACTTTCTGAATTGACCAGAATGATCTTCATAATGATAAGAATGATCAATTCAAAGCGTTTAACCACCCTTTTGGCAACTGAAATGACATTTGAAAAGCCATTTGACAGCTGATTAGTTAACATCTACGATGGTCAGTGTTTCAGAATCCGGGCGTATGCTGCGGTTAAGATTGTTATTTCAAGACGCACCTTATCGGCATTGACTTGCGCGAAGACGTATGAAGCGTCATATGGCCGCTGGAGTTCCGCTTCCCTTACTGCTCGCAACGACGCGGGACCACAGCGGTAAATATCCTCGGACATCTCCTGCGGCGTGGAGTCGATGGCTTGCCAGCCGCCGTACTCCGGACCAAGGTCTGGTCGCTCCATCCACACCTGTTCGTTATTATCAGACTCGCAAAGTTTTATACAAGAATTGCTCCCAATGTCAAGAAAAAAGACAATATGCAAATTACTGGGTATTTTCTTAAACTTATGTTGAGTTTACAAGATTGATTTTTATTTTTAGTGCTAGTCTCTGCACTCAACTGAAACTGTAAATTGTAAACTTTCATTCATTAGTCTACAAAAGTTTACAATTTATGTTAAGTTTTGTAGTTCAATATTTTTCACTAACAAATTAATGAGATATTCTCTTCAAATCATTTATTTGGAGAGAAAAAAATATTACAATGTGTGCAATATTCCACAAATTATATTATAATTGTATTTCAATCCCAATTCTTCGTTGGTACCTAATACAATTTCGAAACCAGATGCCCTGATAAAAATAAAAGTTTGGCGTTCGCGATTTAGGGCCGTCGTAAAACTTTATTGAAAATTAAAAAGCTGCTTATAATAGATATGGGACTGTGACCGCACCTCATTCCACACGTGGTAGTTCCAAACGGAATCTCTCGTAAACTCTTCTAGAGTGTTGCCCTCCTCGTCTTTAATTATATCGATGGTGAGACTTCCTTGGCTGTCGTGAGCTGCATCATAACCAGTTACCGGTCTGCACGGAATTCCGAGTGCCCTACAAACTAAAACAATATATCATTAGAGTAAAGAATAATGTAAAGGGTAAATTATTGCATTTGTCTTGTTTCAATTGCAATTCCTGGCCTGATATGATGTATTTTCTTCGCATCACGGACAATAAAGTAAATACCAACCTGTCTATAAAAAATAATGCCATAATTACATCTCAGAAAATGTACACAGCTATAGGTCCGAATATACTATACTCAATATATTCGGCTGGTGTATACGAAATGACGTAGTCGTTGGATTCGGTTCCATCAATACTTTAAGTGCATCATTGTTCACAGACCTTCTTGGGTCTTCCACGTGGTCTTCATTTTCCAGTAAAAATATCACCAAACGGAATTTTTTCAAACTAACACTGTCATTTTCACAATATTCTCTTTAAAAACCTGTATTATGACTATGGTTACTCTCATCAAGACTACACGAATATCGGTTGTATTCATATCGGTACAAATGTTACTCTAGCAATGTATGCACAATATTATGCAAAAACAAAACAAAAGCTTAAAGAAAACGGGGAGACAAACGTTTAAAGAAAATCAAATATTTCATATACACCTAATAACACACAATATTGCAAAGCAAGGGAACTAATACTAACTGCTTGTCAAAACACCCGCGTAGACCCAGCATTGAGCGTACTTCACTGGTTTTTTTTTCTCGTAATACTTCTGCAGTATGGCCAGTGAGCCGACCCATTTTAGGGGATGAGAGCCGCCGCTGTAGTCGCTGAGCTCAGTGCCCCAGTTGCCGAACAATACGCCGTTGTCGTCCTGCACGTTGACCGCCGCGGAGAGAGCACGCACCGTCCTAATCGGATCGCTTCTCGCCCGGCCTTTGACCTGAATATCAATTAAAAGATTCATTATCATGTGCATACGTGCGTGATTTTTCGGCAGTTTATCGGCTATTTTGCCTAAATTGTTTTGTAACGGCCGTGCTATCGCGAGTACAAAGTTTATCTATTGAATTCGATTGGTTAATCGAATGCTTTGCTTAAATATTTGCGTACCGTATTTACTATGACATACTCGAAGAACGGTGAATCATACAATTTAAATTTATTATGACGAATACTTCATGTGAGGAATCACGAATCCCGGACAAACTACCAAATATCTTTTGCCTTAGTTATTGCTTAAACATTCAATAGGAGACTTTACTCGGATATTTTCCATAACAAAATAATAAATCAGACATCTATTAATTTCGCACTGACAAAGTCATTGATCCGCCTACACTTGCGTTTGCGTGCAAACTGCGACAGGTGAAGAGATCGTCGAACAACATGAGCATTTGCATATAATGCGCTTTAAACTACACTTTAGCGATGTTTTTAGTTCATGAAACCCGTTATTTATAATTATGTGGTAACTTTTTTGTATATTGTAGTAATATTAAAAATTAAAGAATGTACGCATGTGCTCGTTTTTATACGCCATAACGGCTGCACGTATTTAGAATGAAATCTATTTAAAGTATATTTCATTTTAAATACATGCGTAAATAAGTAACATTATATATGTAAAACCATCATTGTTGGTTTTACACGACTTTTGTCGTACCTTTCCAACTTCCCTGACCAAGTACAAGGCACAGTCCAGGATATCCTTTTCATACTGGGCATAGTTCCACGGCGTGGGCTTAATCCGATTATATACACCTCTGTACATTAATCCGCCGTCCTCCTGCACATATTCCTCTCGGTGACTGTGTCCTTAAATAAAATGCAAAAGTTTACGCCTTTAATTTTAAACGGAACGGGAAAGTGGGGTTCTATAATCATATCGCATTAAGCTCAAGTGGCTCCCGATTCGTTAAGCCGGAATACTCTTATTCTTTCTGCTCTTTACTGCGTCCTATTTAATGTATCAAGTCCGGATTATTTGAAGGAACGTTTTCAATTTCTTTGCTCCTCTCATAACCTTCCTCTACGTTCAAATGAAAACCTCTTCCTTAAAAATCCTTTGCGATCAACTAGTTTTTACCATAAATCCTTCTCTGCTGTCGCTGTTAAACTTTGGAACTCTTTACTTTTGGCTATTAAACGTGCTCAAACCCTAGATTCGTTTAAAAGACAGGTTAGGAAGCATTATCTCTCTGTCTAGCTCCTTTCTATCTCTCGATGTCTTTCTTCCCTTTTTATTTCACTCTTACTTTGATGATCACACACAAGAGGTATGTTTTTCTTATTACTTTAATCTTTGTTGCAACTTACTTTTTACTTAATTTCATGTACATCCTACCCAATAAGAATTTCTTTTGATTCATTTCTGATTCATTTTCTTTTTTGGTGTACAATAAAGCATATTATTATTATGGGGGGATATTCATTTGTTTTCTCGTCTGGTTGGGTTTATAAATAAAAATAAAAATAAAGATATAGATATATATTGCATATATAAAATAAATATTATGGATAAAAATAAACATATATATATATATATATATATATATATATTTTATATATATTATATAATACATATATAAATAGGACCCAACCAGACGGAAGCCCTCGGCAGGGGAGACCAAACGGCCGAGGGTTAGGGCGAAAGGGAGAGAAACCGGCGGACGATGCGGGCGGTATCGAGGAGCACCGCCTTCTGCATTTGAGCCTGGAGCGATCCGTCCCGGAGTCCCAGTCGCCTCAGATGTTTAGAGAGGCTGACTGGGATCAACCCATTCGCAGACACGACTATCTGGATAATTTCGGCCGGCACACCACCCCACATGTCGCTCACCTCGTGAGCCAGGTCCAGATACTTCGTCTTCTTATCTGTTTCGGCTTTCACGAGGTTCTCGTCATATGGAATGGTAATGTCGACCAAAAATACCCGCGACTGTGCCCGGTCCATCAACACGATATCAGGTTTGTTCGCGACAATCGTCCTGTCCGTAATGATGGACCGGTCCCAATAGAGCTGGCGCGGTCATTTTCGAGCACGGCCTCCGGAGAGTACTTATAATACGGCAGTTTCCGTTCCACGAGGCCGTATTTCAGAGCGAGCTCCTGGTGTAGGATTCTGGCTACTAGGTTGTGTCTATGCAGATACTCAGAGTTAGAAAGCATGACACAACCGGAGATAACATGCCGAAGCGACTCCCCAGGATGGCAACAAGCTCACAGATGTCGACGGTGCCATCCTTTAGGATGTATCTCCGATAGTTGTTCGTCTTAATAACCTGATCCTGTATCGCACAGACAAAACCTTCGGTTTCCCCAAAGAGGTCACCGAAACGTAGCCAGTTAAGGGAGGCAAAAGTATCTACGAAAGGCTCGTGTAGAGCCTTGTAGAACCTCCCGTGGAGCTCTTTCTCCTTCCATACGGCCTCTCGGTCGGAAACGCTCAGTACTCCCGGGTCCTGCCATTGCTCGTTGGCTAAGGATAGAGGGGTAAGTCCTTTATCACAACTAATGACGTCCGTGTAGATTGACTCATCCGATCTCGCCAGGAAGTAGTTGCGGAGGCTGCACACCTCGCGATTGTGCATGGTAAGGGCGCTCAAAAAGCCTCTCCCGCCATGCTTCCGCGGCAGGTACAGCCTCATCACTGACGATCTCGGATGATGCATTCTGTGGGACGTCATAGTTGTGCGGACCTTTCGGTCCAGGGCATTGAGCTCAGTTTGGGTCCACCTGAGTATGCCAAAGGTATACATGAGGACTGGCATGACCCAGCCGTTAAATGCGCGTGCCTTGTTCACGCCTGACAAATGGCTGTTAAACACCTTTGTCAGGCGTGCAAAAAACACTTCACGAACTGACTGTTTCATGCCAGCCTCATCGATACACATGTTTTGTGACATACCCAGGTATCGGTATGTTTCAGCCTCAGAGAGGGTCCTTATGTTAACGGGCATAGATAAGTCTATGCCCGCCGTATTAGTGACCTTACCTCTTTCGACATGAAGGCCCGCACACTTCTCCGTCCCGAGCTCCATTTTGATAGAATTGCTGAAATCACAAGTGACTTTAAGCAATTCCATCAAATGGGAGCGATTGGAGGCGAATAACTTGAGGTCATCCATGTAGAAAAGGTGGGTCACTTTTGTCCCTCCTCTCCGAAGCTGAAATCCTCCCCCCGAGCCCTCCAGTAATACGCTGAGAGGATTCAGGGAGAGGCAAAACCATATTGGACTCAAACAGTCGCCCTGAAAAATACCCCGTCGTATCCTTATCCGGTATTCCGCAGCCGTCATCCGCTCGCCTAGATGACAAAGGATCGTACTCCATTGCCCCATACAGTGCTCGAGGAAGTCTCTTACTGTACAGTCTACTTTGTACAGTTCGAGGACCCTCTTTAGCCATGTATGGGGCACCGAGTCGAATGCCTTTTTGTAGTCTATCCAGGCGGCGGAGAGGTTCCGACGGTTGCGTTTAACCATTTTACCAATGACCGCGTCGATGAGAAGCGGTTCCTTGGTTCCACGACCGCCGCCCCGACATCCATTCTGAGTACGAGACATAATCCGATTCATATTAATATGCCGGGTGATTCTCATACTCAGAATAGATGTCAGTGTCTTATAGATGGTAGGTAGACACGTAATGGGGCGGTACTTACTCGGGTCTGTGGTAACCTGATCTTTAGGAACCAAATGAGTGACCCCAGTAGTAAAGAGGCTCGGGAGCGATCTTATTATTATTATTATTATTATTATTATCTTTTTATATTTACTCTTATAGTTAAACTTACAAGTAGGATAATGCAGCAGCTTTTGCTGTTATACTAATAGGCAGACTCGTCTGGGGAAGACTAAGCAAGAACTTAGTAACCGACAATTCATTCTTTTAAAAATACAGAAATCTATGTGGGTTATTTTAACTCTCAATGACCGGTGGTTCTCACTTAAATAGATGAATAAAATGAGCCGTGTGTGTTTAGTTGCCTACTTCTCAAAGAACTCTCCTAAATAAGAAGCACAAAATAATTACCGTAGGTTTCGTAAATTAAGCCCGCCAAAACTACTTGGAATTTAACATTGGTCTCAGATAAGTTACATTAATTGACAAGAGTTGATTGGAAGATATTGAAAAAGTAGAAATAAGGAACATCCGCTTTTTTGGAATTTATGATTTAAAGTTGTTGGAGTAAACCAGCTTGCGGCCTTCCAAAGTTCAAGAGATAAATGCTTATTTTTGCCCATAACAATCACAAAAAGGGAAACTTCTTGATGCAAAACTGCGATTTAAATTCTAAATCATTGCAAAACGGTCGGGATTAAAAAAACCTCTCACGTTGACAAAGTAAAATAATAATTTCTATCATATTCAAAACGGCCAAGTATGAGCCAAAATAGAACGAGTTATATGTCGCTTGTGCAAGAGAAACGTATTGTTCAATTTTTAAATCAAGTGTGTGAACGTATATGGATGGATACACGGCCGGAAACGTATTGTAGAAGATTTCTTCATCGTTATAATTACGTGTAGATTCCAAGAACACATTTTCTTACGCTAATGTGCATATGAATTATAAAAGACCATGATAAAGTCGTCTTATGCCTTCTCAATTGTTAAAACATCTTACCTATTTTAATTATAACAGCATTTATTTTATGGAATCGAGCCAATGAGAAGTTAATATACAGATCACGAACTGTTTGTGAAGGAAAAATAAAGCACGCCTTACAAATACAACAAAAAATTAAAAAAGAACGTTTCCATGTGTTATTAAAAAAGTGTTCTTAACCATTTTTCTTTGGCTTCAATATGACAATCTGAAATGTATCGATTCATCTTTTATAATTATTTGCGTGAATACTACACACCTCGTCAAACCTAATCAAGAAGAAATTTTACTGTCCTAAGATCTGAATTAAATTATTGACTGTTAACGCCTTACCTGGCATGTACACGCTGTCATTCAAACACCAGGGATTAAATAGGATATATATTGGCTGCGGGTGGGTATAACTCAGTGAGCCTAATCCGATCAGCTTTGTGTCAACGTCTATCCGCCAAGCCGCGACAATACAGTCCACCGCAGGCGTGACAGCCACCATCAGATGAGAGTCCATTTGACCCTCGTACACCGCACTCCACGAGCCTAACATCTCCGAGCCCTTTTCCAACAGGGGCACCGCAGCAGACGTGTCGTCTGATGGGCCACGTTTCTCCACATCTGCTCCAGAGAAAACATACAGTCAAATCATTACATTCACTCCAATTTGATCGCAGTTATCATGAAAATAGATCGGAACCGACCTCCAACGTAGAATATGAAGGAAATAGCATCTCGGCTGGCGTCGAAAGGTCTGTTTAGAAGTATGTCCAGTTTGAAGGCCTGTCCCCTCCTCACAACGAGACACTTGTCCACGGTTCTCGTCATCAAATTGAATTTGTTCGTATGATGATTTTCCCCGTTCGTCTCGACGCAGAAATCGATCCCTTGGACGGCAAGGACGCCTTGTCTTGTTCCGTCGATGACATCTGAATAAACAAACAGCAAGTGTCAACCGACATGCTTGTAAATCTTGCACATGGTGCATACATAAAATATTTAAACATATTCTTAACTGTACATATTCCATTGTACGAATTACGATATTTTCACTTGAAAATTATATCAGTATATATTTATAGTCAATTGCATATACCGCAATAAAAGTATTCATTTAAAAATAATAAATTTGTTAAATCAAATTGTAGCTTACGTTTTCAATTTCCTAATGTTAGTAGGATATTGTAACTTCATATTGCTCATATATACGAGTAAACGCATAGGACACATGCAAACACGTTTGTATGATTTCATTCATTAAACGGATTCGTCATTACAAAGAATTTTTGCGCCATCCATTTGGACCCTTGCCAATATCAGAATCATATAAATATATCAGAATCATATATTTAAAAGCAGGTTTGTTCAGTTTCGAACAATTACTAAATGTAAACACAATTGTTAATAAATGAAAAAAAAAAATTAAGTTACCTGGCTGGAATGGCACGATAATATACTTTTGTCGTCTACCAAAATAATGCCTCCATAAATTTTTGAAATACTCCATTATCGACACTTCAACCTCGTAATTCTGTATCAAACACTTGACAATGTTCTAGCCTTCACTATATAATCGGCAACATTACAAGTACTTCTATTAATCAAATACTATATGAGAACGCTACCGATTGCGACCCGACTTTGAGGAGTTGCTAATTGTCTGCGCAAACGTGCAGTTCTTTTTGAATGCCGTCATAGACTGTGTTTCCCGCCTCCGGCACCAGACCTATAATACTGCCACAGCTAACTCGATCGGTGATCTCATAGCATGAACGAAACGAAACCAATTCCTTGGATAAATAGAATCATTGGGAGGGAAGTCAGTCTTATTACTCATAAAACACCTTAAGCGATAACAGACGCTCTAAGATTTTACCAAAATTGTACTGTCAACAAAGAGTCGAAGGAAGTTCCTGTTGTCATAACCTCCTCGTAAAATTAGTTACGTTTAGCGTCATATGTCAAAGTGTGTTCTTGGTAATGCATGAGCAAATCGGCATACCTGAAGGCGGGATACTGGTTCATGGACGAAATGATGACTAGTTATCGAATGACTAGGCTAGTGTCACATGGTTCACTTTTCATAATGTTATTTACAAGTACAAAATGCTAAAACACATAATATAATGGTTTTCATGACTGAGCGGCAAAATGAAACTAATAATTTTAATCACACTTGAATACAAATTAAAAGATACATTACGTATATCATGTGCCAAAAAACCTTTTCCAGAATATCAACAATTACCTTGACACATAAATTTAAAGGTCAATCAGTTGAATCTGTACCCATAGCTTCAACTCGTCGCGTCACTGTGTATTTCAAACGAATATACACGTGACTCTTCAATATGGTCTTTTTAAAGTGAAAAGTAAAATACTACTACGTTCTCTCGTTTAAATAAATACTGTGTATTTTATTGGACCCGGTCGCAAACCACTTGCAAACCTGGATTACGTACAACTTTCATCAAGTTAATATCCTGTCAGGAATTCGAGCTCGTTCCTATCGCATAGACATTACATTTGTGATTGATAACATTACGTAAATATCTAAATGACCCAACAATATTGTAACTCTATAATATTTTAAGTCGTAAAAAGGAAATCATTATAAATAAAACTCCATAACAGTTTACCCAATTCAATTCATGCATTCCAACACCATCAATAGTACACAACGTGTTCAAATATTGGTTCTGAGGGCATATGCGTCAACACTTCTTAATATAACCTATATTGCTGCGCACTCACCACTACTGGAATGAGAGCTATTTAGAGCCAAAGCAAATCATTGAACTTACTACCTTATCAAAGAATTATTATTAGTAATTTTAAAAAGTAATTTGTCTGCCAGAATGCCTTTCGATGCAATCGATGAGTAAACGGAAAACAATACATACCTACCTCAAAAAATAAATGATTCTTTAATAATTATTTATCTCAAGTAAGGGTACTAGTAACCAATTTTTAAGTTATACGGTGCATCAGTAGGTAACTTCTTGTTTTTAAACTTAGTGAATATTATACTTAGTTAATGAAACTATTTTACGAATTACATATATCGATATTATTATATTGTATTTTCAATTTTCGACGTTTCGAACCCTGTCCTGTAATCATGAACGCAAAAAAAAGGAATTTTAAATCAAAATAAAAGGAAATAAAGCCCGTTAAATAGATACATTTAACTGCAATGAATGCAGAAAAAACACTATGAATGAAATTTAATAAAGTCCCAATGCAATCGCCTGCTGCAACGGGTTGATAAGCGTTAAAGACAAGTCCACTTTTGGCACGGAAGCAACGTATGAATCAAACAACGTATCATAATTATTCAATTTATTATAATGGCGCGTGTATACGCAATAAATTTAACCTAACAAATGTTTTGCGGTGTCGTTGCGATTCATTTAAGTTTTATAATTTTATCATAGTTCCTATTATAGAAGAAACGCTTTTGAAATCTCCACTGAAATTAGTTATCTAAAATGGCTTTAATTATAAGAGTGGGTGACCGGTATAACTATACCTGGATGCAGCCTTGAATGGCTTTCCCACACAGCATAAGACGAGGTGCGTAGGTTTCTATGCATTGCAAATACAGATATGGTCATCTTAAATAAATCTACAATGACTGTTCACTCATTCGTCATTGTCACTGAAGAGTTCCATTTGTCAACTTTATCATCATTTACGTAATAAGTATTAAATAATTAGAACAATAATAATTTATTTGCGAAATATAGATATTTAATTAAGTACTATCTATTACTATCTACTTCTATATATCTAACTTTAAAAGTGCTGTTCTGACTGAGTACACAGTATTTACATCATCACTAAGAAAATCAAAAAAACGTAATAAATCTAAAATTAATTGTAATCGATTAAAAACAAGAAATTGAAAAAAATTAAGGCTGAATGAATTTGTCATTGGTAATTACTAACGTTTCAATACACCAGCAGTTAACCTTAGTTAATTTTGAAAAATGTGTACTAGATACGTAACTAATAAATTTTTATGAATCAAGAATTTATGAATAATGGTAGATTCTTTATTTTCCGATATTTATTTATACTATATACTCATGATTTACTTTGCCTTACATTGAATTAGTTATTTCTAAAATTATTCTTATATTTACGAGTAGCTATTAAGAAGTACCTTACAGCAAGGCTCGTCCTTCCTTAGTCGTACAACTAACCATCTAATTCTAGAAATCTTAAATGCAGACTAACAATAAACAGGTCCTTAACGTTCAAAGGAAAATGTCGTGATATATTTCATAGCTTCACATATCTAGTTCGCCAATCCGCTTCACTAGTACTCTATCTAACTCCCGACAACCCAATACCTTACAACATCCATGTCAAGCGACACATTAAGATTTTTGAAGTCCTGATGTCACTGTAAAGCCGGGCTACCATCAACTTACTGGTGATGACCACCTTTATACTACCTACCTGATAGGCAAATTCAGATCAATTTTAATTATTGTTTAATAGACAGATACATTTTGATCGAGAACCAAACCTTATGTATGTGTAATAGGTTCAACACAAGAATAAAGAAGAATTTTGGTCCTAAGGTTCAATCTAAAACCTTTAAAATAATTACTTAAAAATTTACCTTATGACTAATACTTACTTATTTTTAAATTATTTATTAGCTAACTTAGCGCGCGACTTCGTCCGCGTGGAATTTAAAATTAAAAAAAATCTAAAATAAAAGTAGCCTAAGTTACTCCTTATCAGTTATCTGTCAGTGAAAGTTCCGTCCAAATCGGTCCAGCTGTTTCAGAGATTAGCCGGAACAAACAGACGGACAGACAGACAGACAAAAATTGTAAAAAATGTTATTTTGATATATTACCGTACCGTAATATTATAGTACCGTATCCATATGCATTTAGTAAAAAGCGGTTATTCTAATATTACAAACAGACACTCCAATTTCATTTATCTGATGATGAAGAAAATCCATTTTATTTATCTGAAAACAATTTAGGGATTTTTGTTTATAATAATACTATGTCGTTACACAAGAAAACATTAAAATTTCTAAATATTTAAAGACAACCCGATTAGCGTAGTGGGTAGTGCCTCTTGCGCCAGAGGGTGTGGGTTCGATGCCCACTACGATGTATGTGTGTTTACATATCTATAACATGTATTTATTTTAAAAAAAAAACGTACGTTTATGTACAATGGGTACTAGGTAACTGTACCATAGGTATGTTTAAAACATAGTACAAACTTTGCTTAGTTTGGGGCTAGATATTGTTGGGTAAAAATATGTCCCGGAAAAATATTTAACAGCTCGTTAAGAATAAGAAAAAACAGTAGAAATTGTGGGAGACCGCAGGATTCTCGGTCCAGACTGGCCATATGTGCTTTATTAGATAATCAGTCACAGCACAGAGAAACAAATATCAAGTTACGTCAAACTCCCTAATTATAATCTACTACATGTAAATATTTCATAGCCAGTGACTTTGATAGTAACTGTTAAAATCTTCATTATAATATATATTTATTAATAAATATTGTTTACTAAAATGATAATGTAAAAGTCTGCATTGGGTGTTTATGTCAACTAAGCATACACAGTCATTATTGTGGCCATCCGGGAACGAACTTGGTTTAAGACGTTATACCTTTGACTAAGCTAGCATCCTCCCCCTCACAAGACCTATTTGGACACGATCGTATGTGTATAGTTTTCCTAAGGTTGATGACTCTGTACAACTACGTTAGACTTGAAACTTAGGCAGAATACTATTAAACTTTAATAAAACTTAAATATAATTAATAAAATCTTGTTTCGTTTTAATTTTTATAAGTGGAGTTTTGTATAATCTTTTCTGCTTTTGAAAAAAATATATTGTTACTATTTCTTATTTGAGAAGGTGACAAACGAGCTGGCAGTTCACCTGTTGGAAAGTGATAACAGCCGCCCATTGACATTTGCAACACCTTTAGGTTTGCAGACGCGTTGCCACATTTTAATAAATTGGGACACGGCTACCTCGCTCACCAGAAGAAACGCAGAAGTATAGCATGGCAAAGACGTTTGCGTGGCCCTACCACCGCAGTTCCTATATTTTATCTTTAAAAAATTGAATAGTAAATGAGTCTGTAGGTAAAGTGTAAAAATCTGTATAAACTGTCTGTAAAGTCTTAGCACATATTTTAAATCATTTCTATGAAATTTTTTAGTAAAAACATGTTTTTTATAAAATATTACAACAGAATAAATAATTATTTTTAATGTCCAATTAAACGATGTTTTTATAACTAATATCACGAACACAATGAATTATGTATGTTATTTTTATAATTTAGTGCACATTTTTCAAATTGACTGCTAACATTATTTATCTAAATGTTCGGCATGGTGAATAACATTGATCGAGGACGTTTACTATTCTTTTAGCAGCTGTTCTGTTATTTAAATTCGCCCATGAGTGAAAAACAGCAACAGCTATGAGTAAAATGTCGCTCATTTGTTATTTGTGTATCCAGATATTTTATCAAGCGATCTAGATTTTTGTCAAAAAACTAATCGCAATTATAAGAAAAATGTAAATTAAAAATCTAGTCCCAGTCCGAGGAATCCTCATGGGCAGTAAAATAGAGCTAAAAACAGTCCAAAATTTTAATGTTAGTTGATGACTCCGTAGTTGTCAAGGTTTTGGCGTTGGGTGTCGTGGAATAAGTATTTGTATGACCCATAGATAATTCTTTCAGATCTGGGTGTTTGTCCGCGAGAAATTTATGTTTGTAAAACGCTCTTACAACATATCCTACAGTAAAGTAAAGTATCAGCCTATACATGTCCCACTGCTGGACAAAGGCCTCCTCTTATTTAAAACTTTAATTACTAGTCCTTAGTTAAAACTTGCGTCACTATACACACAAGGCATACGTGTAAGTACCAACATCATTTTATGTATGCGAATATTAATTTATGATAAAGGTATTCATATGCTATAGGTTAATTCAATAGCATGTTATACTTAAAAACTTTTACATTTATAGTAAATTATATTTATTATTATAAAACCTCCGTTAATACGATAAGTTATTAACGATAGGCACTAACTGTTATCGAATCACTTCGAGAATGTTTTTATATTGCGATGCAATTGTAACTTGAATCCTGCAATCTGTATAACGTACTGCCAAAGGATAAAACCGGTTTAGAAGTTACTTACGCAAGAAATCACATACCTTGTCCAGTGTCCCCACTCTCTATATCGAAACAGTAGCAACGTCTTGGTATTGGGTTATTTTATTTTTAATTACTTCAAAAGTAGACAGATAATAAATTTCATTTATGTTTATTTGTTTCTTTGTTCCTATTAGTTTATGGTTTAATTAAAGCTGGTGCTTTTTGGAGCAGAGAATCAAAGATCACTATCAAAGTTGTTTGATCTGTCTGTAGCAGATTAGGATCTTACTACTCTGTTTTACGGAATAGTGAAATGTTAAATTTAATGGTGGAAAATTTATATTTAAGATGAAACTATTTTAACGACGATTTAAGTACACCGAACTATAAGAATTAATCGATTTCTAATGGTCATACCAAAGATAGACAAAACGAAGTTTTTCAAGTGAATTGTCTCGTAATGTTTACCTTTGCCTTCTTGAACATGTCTATATAATAGTAGTTCGTGTTCTTATGTCAGACAAGTGTGAATATTTTAAATTTGTGTTGCTACATACCAACTGTTAAATAATATAGCTATCGGGAAACAAGTTTATATAAAAGTCATTGAAACTTTATGGAATAATGGGCAAATTATCTGAATTTAGCCTTGACATACCGTTCGAGGTATCCAGTTGCGGCGGCCGCGGCAGGTCCTTCAGGTCGTAAGAGTCATATTTGCTACCGACGCAGCAAGCACAGCGTTTAGGACAAATTCCCGCCAATTTACTCTTCACTCCGCCCATATCCAAAACTCACGGACGAACAACAGTCAAAAACTAAGAAGAATCGAGCGCTAAAAAGGATCACATACAATCCGATTAAACATCAATTAACGCGCTCAATATTAACTACAAAACCCCAAGCGATGTCGAAACTCGCGAGGTTTAGTCTGCGCACAACGTAAACAAAGCGATCCGCAACTTCTTAAATTAGAGGTTCACCAGTTTCTAATCTGTACACAGTGACGCAACCCACTCAGAGTTTTAAATACGGCATAAGGGATTTTCTAGGGTATGAATTACCGTTATTTATCAATCACACGCGTGCGCACTACTCCACAACTAGAATTCGTCTACCTCGAGTGCGTTCTTAGCGTCGCCCTATAGTGGAGATGATACGTGACCTCTTATCAAACTCGCAAAACCCCAGGACATGACAAAGTTTTAACGGAACAGTGCTGGGTGTGAATAATTCATGAATCATTATTCCTTTCTGATTAATTAACGTCCTCGGTTTGTTAGACATACAATTATTGTCATAATTTAAATAATAATAATAATTATTAAATATTTTTCGTCAATATTTTTTGTACTTAACTATTTTTGTATGTGAGAAGGTGGCAAACTGGTGGTTCACCTGGTAGAAAGTGATAACCGCCGTCGACTGATATCTTCAACACCCCAGGGGTGCAGATGCATTGCCACCTTTTAATAAAGTGGACCCTGGCTGCCTCACACACCAGACGAAACGCAAAAGTGTAACATTTCCACTTCTCGCCATTCTTCTGTGAGGTATTTGTACTTACCCGGACGGACCTACCCATTCGTGCAACAGAGAAGACTGTAGCGTGGCCCTTGTAGTTTTTGCCATGGTAGAGCCAGTTATGTGCAGTCTGCTCCTAAGAAGTACCACGGCCTCATAGAAAACAAGCGTGACGTGGAAGTATATATAATATATACTTTGGCGTTTCGTCTGGTGAGTGATGTAGTCATCGCATCTGAAATCCTTCTTGTGCTATAACGTCGACGTCGACGACGTCGAGTCGTTGAATGAAACTTTTCACATAAAAAAAATCATATAAATAGTTACCCTTAAAAATTAAAAGCTTGTGACATCTTGCGTTATAAAGGAAATTGAAGCCCTGATAGCTCAGTGTCCGGATGCTCGCTAAACTCAAGTAACCTGAGTTCGATCCCCGGTGCTTTCTATATATTTACAATGAAATTGTTAATTTCAAGTGCTGATTTATCACGTGCTCAGCGATGAAGGAAAATATCGTGAGGAAACCTGCATATTTTCGAAATAATAACAAAAAAAATATTTCGAAGATATGTGAAGTTCGCCAATCCGCAGTGGGGCCGCGTGGTGGACTATGTCCTAATACCCTCTGTACAGAGGTGGCCTTTTCCCAACAGTGGGACGTAAACAGGCAGTTACTTTTACTTAAATTATTCCGTTCATTAGTCTGATCAAAATAAAAACTTCAACATAATATCTTCACTGTGAAATAATAGCATCTAAGTAAAAGAAAAGATTAATCCAACACTGTAAAACGGATTTTTAAGGTCTTCACGGTGCAACATGTGTGTAAACATTTTTATCAGCGCAACCTTCTTTTCGTATATCGTAAATTAACATGTTCACAAAATAGTATTACGTAGGACACGATTATGTTAATTTACTGCATGTGACATCATCCGAGACGGATCGCTAGTAAACTTAACATAGAGTCAATGGCAAGTTGCGTGCGCCGATGGCCTTCCACAGAGCGACATTTTTCCTTTAATTATACATGAATGAATCTATTATTAAATTGTTGTTTGATTAGAAATATTCTAAGAATTGTCCTGACACAGTAGTGTCAAGTTGACTAAAACTCGAATATGTTTTGGAACTATCTATATATTTATATTATATAAGCAAAGTAATATAGAATCAAATTCGCTCACTGCCTTGAGGCACCATTTAAAAACTCGCCTTTTTACACTTATCGAAGGCGACTTAACCCATTTATGAAATGAAATAAGAAAACAAATAATTTATGGAAAAATTGTAATAGAGAGCTATTAGAGCAATTTATACCCTGGGCCCCAAAGAATCACTAAGAAATTTGTTTAAAGAAATAAAAATATTGACTTTTGCTTCTCAGTACATACTTGGAAATGTTATGTCAAAAATGAAAAATGTTATGTTAAACATAAGAAAGAATTTTCAACACTATACTTATATACATGATATAAATACTAGGAACACACATGAAATAATCTCTGTCTCATCTAGATTGCTTAGAATAAGTAAATCTTATAAGGTACAATGTATACGTTTTTACAAATAAATCCCAGAAAACTTGCAAATAAATTTGTAAAGGAACGTTTGTGTGTTATAAAGTATTAGTGATTATTTAAATTATAACAAACTCTGGAAATGAATTAATCCTTCCAGGCTCTTTCAAGCGGAATTGAATATATTGTACACAGGTTTGTTATATTTGTCAAATAATGTTTAAACAAAATTTCTTCTCAGGTCAGTGGAATTTTTTCCGAGCCGGCAGTTGTGTTTTTTGACAATCGGTAAGTGTAATGCTTCTATATTGAGTAAAGATATTTAAATTTGAATTTGAATCAAACTCTTTCTATATAATTACAACTTCTCTCTATGATATTGTGATAAAATAAATTGCATTTTACTTTTGTACAAACATTTTTTGTTTCCTAATTAAATATCAATTAAGCAAAACAATAATGTTACACGTACATACTAATAATATATTGGTACAAAATTTTAACAAAAATTAAAACTTCTTTTAATTAAAACAATTTGTAGCCATGTTAATACAAAAATATGCATAATTATGAAAAAGCTTGCGGACCACGCACATTGTAAGTAGATTAATTTACAAACGAAAGCTTATTTTAGGATTCATGGATGCGTATTTCGGGTCTGCCTTGGGCAAAGCACGTATCGCGTGTCGATAAAACAAAATTGTTTATACTGGAGATTCCTAGACTTAAACTTGTTTTCTCCAATTTTAGTTTACTCATTTCTAAAATAAAAATAATGCTGTGCTACATTTTAATATCTATATCTATAGTATGTATTAGGCCTTAGGTAAGTAGATTAGGAAGGTAGTAGAAAACGAACATTAAGAAAAAGTAGGACGTATTGAATGACTATATTAATAAATGATAAAATTTTGACGATTGAACTTGTGATAATATTGTTGTTTTTAATAATATTAAAAATATACCTTCGTATGGTATTGTATATATATATGAAATAAGTGACCTGATTTAATAATGGTCAGATTCGAGATGCGAAAATACAAAGACTAAATTCAATGTTCCAACTAAAATAACTTATATTTATCGAAATGCGATCTGCGATCAATTATTTAGTTCGGTTATATATAAACTGTTTCTGAGTGTAAGTATTACCGAAACATGGTAATTATTATTTATTTATGTAAGCTTCATTGCTACACCTTAAGCTATATAGGCTTCAATGGTCGGACTTAATTCCTAACGGCATTCTTTTCTAGTCAGCCTTTGTCATGGTGAAAAGTAGATGGCAGGTGCTCAAATGAAAATTATAAAAATGAAGTTTAATAAATTTGCTCAAAAATTATGGGGGCGGGCGTGCCAGAAGTGTGTATTATGTTGCGGAATGCGAGAGTATTATTTGATATAAAAATAAAAGTTTTATATATTATAACGAAAATTTGCGAACGTAAAGGAAAAATTGTCTTCAACATTGATTACTTATAATTAAACTACCATTAATTCATCATTACCTAAAATTTGTCTAAAACGATTGAATGACTCGTCTCTCTTTTATCGCCCACTAATAAGTAAGTGAAAGTAGAATCAATAATAATATATCTATTAATAGATGCAAGTTATCTCAACTTGCTATGATTTTCAGGGCTCGATATTTTTCTTGGCAGTAATACAGAGGGTATTCACTTAACAAAAATGCCCCGTCCATATACAGACACGGGAGTAGGTCAAGCTAACGTCATTGTTAAATGTTATTCCCGATGAGTAATAGCTGTGTCCACAACCCGCCTAATAATGCAGAAACAACATGACGTTTTTATACTTACGTGTACATTTGTAAGAAACGAGACCAATATTAGGTAAAAATCCTCCGTCGTATTTGACGCATGATTGACCCTGAGGCTTCCTGAAATTGCAGATTAACCTCCTCGGGCACAAGTGGTTAAAATGTTATTAAAAATTTTAAAGTCGTTACATTTAAGATAATAAATCCTTAATGATAATTTCCTGCTAGTTTCCTTTTGACACGGATATACTTAATATTAAGTATTTTTAATTTTCCATTAAGTTAATCTCCGATAATTACTGCACCCAAGTCTTTTTCTTATCAAATATGCGTTTGAATATAAATACTTTTAGAATGAATAGCAAATTTTCTTTAAAGTCATAAACATGATATTATTTTGCTAATAACTTTATTTTAAAACGAAGACACCATAAAACATTCAAAATTAAGTAACAGCCTATATAAGTCTCTCTTCTGGGCAAAGGCTTTCTGTGTACAGGGGATAGTATAGTAAAGTCCACTACGCAACATAAAAAAATAGTGATAGCTCAGTGTACGGGCGCCAGCTTTTAATTCAGTATACTCGAGCAATCCAGTTCAAATCCTGGTCCCACTGAAATTGTTAATTACACTGTTAAGTCCCGTCTGATTTTTTTCTTCATGTTATTACATGCACAGCAATGAAGAAAAACATCGTGAGGAAAATATATTTTGAAGTCGCGTGGAACTATATAAGAGGCATTTGCCCAACAGTGGGATATATATAGGCTGTTACATTGACGAAAAATTATTTGATTATTTCTTTCATTCTGATGTGCGCAAAAATAGCTTATTGTATTTTGAAGTCTGACAGAGTTCTCTGACAGGATCACGTTATTTGTGAAAAGTCTCATCCTCCATATTGAAATTAAGATGTTTCTTTATTGCAATAACTTCACGGTTAATCCTGGGGAGGGATCGACGCTGTTTTGCTAGGATTTGAGCTTATGTGTAATATTTGCGGAACTACAAAAAGTCATTTTAGGAAACCATAATTTATAATGTTAGAGTAATTTCAGAAAAATCGTAATATTCAATTTATTGTTTATTAGATGTTTATATTAATTAAATTATATTAATCCTGGTCCCTCCGTTACCCTGAGGTTCAAACTCTCGCAGCGCGGAATGACTTTTCGTCCACTTCTCTATAAATTTAAAATTTTATGTTTATGGTATGCAATCACCGCTCCCGTATTGCTTGGATGTATTTTAAATCTCAGATTTAATAAGAATTATTTAAAGATACCTCAGTTTAAACCATATTTAAAAAACGGTGAAGTCGTAATCCTTAAATTATTACATTTTAATATTGCAATATTTTATGATACAATGACAACCGTATTTATTGCTCTGTATAGGGATCACCTTATCAGGTTGATGTCAGGTTCAAATATTACTTTTATTTGAATAAAGACTTATCAGTCATGGGTTCCAACCATTAAGAGGTAGGGTCTCTTATTACTTCAGTCATCTGAGAAAGGGCAAAAGTATGTAAAATGCTCTTCCTCTACAGCTTTATGCATAATTTCAGAGTGAATATTCGTTTTAGGGACTACTTAACCTCCTTCCTCTTTAATATCAGTATGAAGAAGTATAAAATTAAAGGTGTATTTTCTTCTGCAATGTTTTATTATTTTTGAGATCCCAAAAACACACAAACACAGTGCATCACACTTTTTATATAACTTTATAAAAACTCGATATAAAACATAAAACTCATAAAATGCTTAAATCTAGTCTCGTATAAAAAAAGAGACACCAATAAAAATAGTAAAAATAATGTAAATGGCACGGGAAGCCGCGGTTCTGTTCTTACAATGCTAATAAAGTGTTTACACGCAGTGCGTTGGTGATTCTTAATGTAGTTCTTTTTTTTTTTTTTAATAATTTTATATAAGTTTGTGCTAGTGGCAAAAATATTTCACTTTGTCCGTTTCGAGAAGCCATGTCATAGTCATTGGTAGCGATAAACTGTCCATTTTCACGTAGCCTGTGGTCCGCGCTCAAGAATGTTTGAAGTGTACAGGATTCAGATAGATTTCAATATGAGGACCTCTTCCTCCTGTATGTATAGATGTTGCTCGGGCAGTATAAAGGAAAAGAGTTGCAACGCGGCCGGTGGCGAGGGCGCTCTCGATGTGGCAGGCGCCGGGCGCGTGCGCGGTGTTTGCACCCGGGGCCCGGGGGCTAGCTAGCCGCGCACATTGACGCTCGCACAGCCGAAGATCTCGTCGATCTGGCGCGACGAGAAAGTGGCCACGATGCGCCGCTCGCCGCTGCGGCGCGGCACCAACTTGTCCTGGTAGTTCACGAACTCGCCGGGCTTCACGTCGCGGAAACGTATCTGCGAGGAACGATTTTCGATTGAATTTTATCCACACCTGACTAGCCACTCTTGCCCTCTTAACTCTTCCTTCCATGCAGAACGCAGCTGTCGATGTTCGTCGAATATAATTACCTAACTGGCTGTTTCAATTTCTATCAAAGTCGTGCTGGGACAATAAACGATAATTGGAAAACGGATCTACTTAGAACATCTAATATGCGCGTTCATAAATTCATAGTATTTTGCTCACCTGCCGCGGCCTTTGTACACCAGGCCCTTCTACGGTAAAGTAGCAGTCGGTCAGATGGACGGTCAACGGATTCTGGAAGCTGAATGTAACGGTACACTCCTGGCCTACGCACGGTTGGCTCCTAACCTATATTTGAAAATAAACCGTCAGTGATGGTACAGTTTCAATTTCAATCGCAATTTTCAACGTTAACCTTCACCTGTACTTGCATCCTCGGTTTCTGTAGCGGGAAGTCGTCCTCGTCAGACCACGCCTGTCGAGTTTGTTTCACATAGGCCATAGCGTGGACCTTCACCATCGAATGGTCCACCAACTTATCCATGTACTCCTGCGCCGTTACATGCAGCTTGAGAACCTCGCGCTGACCAGCCCGAACAATGAACTCCCCTTGAGCTCGTCGAAGTCTAGACGCGATAGCGCCAGTGTAATAGCAAGCCGAAGCAGTCAGCACGCACAAAATGGTACGGTCCTCATGGGATTTGTTCTGTCGGATGATTAGTGATTTAAAATAATTGAACCAGACTAAGGGTAATTTTTATGTATAAAATGTACCGTATTTTTACATAAACCTGTCTCAATTTCACCTGAATGTTCATTGTACAATCAAATGGCTGACCATACGGTACAATGTCGATATCCATTAGGTCGAAGTATACATCTTCGGCATTACGGTCTGGATAATCGTAATACTGCTGCAGCCGCTGGTAGCCACGGCACGAAGCTATAACGGCACCTCGTTCAGAACAGGAACTGTCAGCGGTTTTATATTCATGGGTGATCTCAAGCAAATCGCTTTCACCCTCATCGTCATCCCGACTCGGATTCTTGGTGAGGATTTTGCGCCCAACTCTGAAACAGTTCGATAAATGTATGCATAATATATAATATAACAGTCAAACATAATTACGCTTTGTCAATGTTTATTAACACACGTTAGTTAGCCCGCAGCTTGGTCCGCGTGGAATTTAAAATAAATAAAATTTCTAAAATAAAAGTAGCCTAAGTTACTCTTTCTTACATCTGCTATTTGCCAGTTAAAGTCCCGTTAAAATCGGTCAAGCCGTTTCAGAGATAAGCCCGCAAAAACAGGCAAACAGATTTTAGTGACATGTACCATGTATATATGCATATGTCATACGCATTTAGTAAAAAGCGGTTATTTTAAAAAATTATAAACAGACACTCCAATTTTATTTATCTGTATAGATAACGTGTAAATTTCTCTGAAATCATTAATTGATTGATTGTATTCAATAACATATACTCAATAACATAAAACAAAAAGTTTTACGTGTTACTTTTCGACAACAACAAAGTGTATACGTACTGGCACTGATTAGACGCCATCCTAATAAAGCCCCAGTCGGAGTTTTCTTCCTCTTGGAAGTGGCATAGTTCGGCGTTGAGCTGGCCGTACATGAACGGGGTATCGTATTGGAACCCAACCTCACCTCTGCGCACCGCCTCAACACTGGCAGGGCCACAATGGTACACTGCTTCGGCTTCCTCTTGCGGTGTTGCATCAATAATTTGCCAACCGCTGTACCCTATTGATATAAATATAACGGATTGGTGTAGAAAACAAGAGAAAAGTTATTATCGAAGCATGTTCAACGTTTCGTTTTCCCACCTTGAGGCAAATCTGGCCTCTGCATCCAAACGTCGTTCCAAACATGGAAATTCCAACACGAGTCAAAGCAATCTTCGTCGGGGCCGTTAGGTACTTCGTTACCATCGCGGTCAAAGTATTTGTCAACCGTGAACGTGCGGTTCGTATCGTGCGCCGATACGTAATTGGTAACAGAACGGCAAGGAATTCCTGTAACAGCATGTGTGTCAGTCATTAAGTAATTAAATTCGCTATTGGGACCAGTCGACGAAATGAAATCGAATCGAAAATTACCAAGAGCGCGGCAAATAGTAACGACCAGTCCGGAGAATACCCAGCATTGGCCATATTCGACGGGCCGGCCACCGTCCGTAAGGTAACGTTCGAGGATAGCAACGGAGCCAGTCCAGGCATGTGGAGACACACCATCTTTATACTCTCCGTCGTAACGACCAACCATAAGGCCGTCATCATCAGCGTTTGCATTAATCTACGATAAATATAGTAGTTATTACAATAATACTCATGTTTTTATAAAGAGAAAATAGTAGCCCACTTACAATTGAAGAAATAGCTCTGGATACACGAACTGGATTACCGCGCTCCGAGTGTTCAAGCCCACTGCGCTCCAATAAATACATACAAGCAGGGAGGACGACGTCGTCGAATTGTCCGTAAATCCATTTGCGGCCTTTCGGTTGGCGCCAGGTTCCGCACCAGATCTTACCTTGTTCATTAAGAACATATTCTTTTCTAAAAGCATCGTTATCCATGTAAACTGTGTCATCTCGGCACCACGGATTGAATAAAATGTATATATCCTCGTCGCATTTGTAATCATGGCGGTTGTCGCGTTGACCGGTGCGGTGCGTTTGAACCCAGCAGTTCCACACACCGACCGGTGCGTTAGCTGGAACGTGCACCTGAAAGGTGATCGTATTTCCATCTTGCCGCTGAACGCTTATGTCCCATTTGTCCATTTCATGGCTACTAGTATTAATAGCCAGATTTTGCATGGACCCATGACGTGACCCGTGTTGCGAGCCATAACTGCGCCCAAATGATGCGTGCTGAGCTGTTGCACTGTACCGCTCAATTATTGGACGCTCCATGGGCCCAGGAGGACTGAGCGGACTATGCTGTGCCGGCATCGTCTCATTGCCAAAAGAACTACGTCTCACGCCGTATGTTGTAGTTTCTCGCATGCCACTCATCGGGCTCATAGTACCAATAGTGGTAATCGTGCCTATTGTGCTCATGCCGCACATAGATCCGATGGGGGCCATTGTTGTGCTCGTTTCTTGCATTCTCGCCATCCCCAACCCCATCATGTCACGCGAATGTTGGAAGACGCCCTGCTGGGTGTTCAAGTTCACAGACAGTACAACTCGTGTTCCTTTTGTAACACTGGGCTTTGGACCTATAAAATGTAAACATTAATTGACCAGCGTACATTATTTGATTTCCCATCGAAGGAAACTGGCTTAATATATTATGAACTAGCTGCAGCCCGCGACTACGTCTGTGTAGAATAGGCTGAAGGCGTAACATTCAGACAGATATACATACAAATATGTATATAAATTATAGCCTATGTTTAATTCTGATATATAAGCTATATTATTGTAGTTTCATTAAAATCCATTCAGCAATATTTGCGTGAAAGTGTAACAAATATCCATCCACACATACAAACTTTCGCCTTTATAATATTATTAAGGATTTGTGAACCTCACCTAAACAAAATACGATGCGGATCACATCCTGTTGCTTGTCGTACGTCCTGTCGAAGCGGACGGCAAAGAAAAAGTTTTGCCCACGTCGCAACACCGGATTCGGCAAAACGTTATCATTGACAAGTTCATATTGCTCTGTATGATGGTCCTTAGAATTGTCCCTAGAGTAGAATTCAGTCAGTTCCACTTTAAGTGGCTGTTGCGAGTAAAAGTTCTGCGGTATCATTTCCATGGTGTCATGTCGACGTCGGCGTTCATTTTGATCAGCCAACTTACAAATAAGGTTGTGCGTATACTGAGTATTGGGGCTGTTCCGGGACGAATGCTTCATGCGGTGCAACGCCCCAGTACTGTGCGAGCGTCCTGGACGATGTTGGGCGGAAGGTCCAGGGCGTTGCATGGGGCACCTGCGCGTTTGTCCTGGACGGTGGCAAAAACTCGAGATGTTATATGAGGCCGACAGCCCCGGTACGTAATTAGATGGCATGCCACCAATCGTAATTTGCTGCTCTCTAACACAGCTCAACGTGCTTATCCCGGTCGTCAGTCCCGTGATGCCCCCAAGTCCCATGCCGGTCATGCTCGAAGTCATGCTTGATGACATTCTGTCCATGCTGGATCTGCAAACCATAGACGTGATGCAATTAAAACAATTGCCTACGCAACAACTCTGAAAATCACTCCGTAAATTTCTCTTTCCCGTTGGTACTGGCAATACCTTAGTTTCCTCAGGACTGACAGCACGAGAGCGAATGATGGTTCCTGTACATTTCAAACCTTATATATACTTCTTAATGCAAAGGGATCATTCACCGTAGTGGTGTAAGTTATCAGTCTGGGCGCCACAGTTGTCGGTTTCGGGTAACCGTATTATTCTTGCTCACTGACTTGGTGAAGCCTCCGACACGTGCCTTTGTCTATATGACACTGTGAACTCTAACAAGTACCTATTTACTTAAGTAAAAACAGAGCTCTAAGAGCAATTAAAATTTTAATCGTTGTTTCGTTCCCTTTTAATAACATTGTACGATAGTAGTCCAATTTAAAATGTGAAATTTCTCAATTTCTAGGGTTACATTGCCGTACAATTGTAAGGAAATAAATAATAATAATAGTTATTTATTTAAAAAAATATTTTTAAATAAATAACGAAAGTTAATTTAGTGAGACGTTTAAAATTTGTAGAGAAATTAATAGTAAACTGTTTTATGGTATATACTTTAAAGAGTTAAACAAATGATAACGATATGAAATAATGAAATAAACTCATTAATATCTTCCAATATATAAAATTCTCGTGTCACGATGTTTGTAATGGAACTCTTCCGAAACGGCTTAACCGATTTTCGTGAAATTTTATGTGCATATCGGCCAGAGTGGAGAATCGGACAACATCTATTTTTCATCCCCCTAAATGTTAAGGGTGGTCCACCCCAAACATTTTTTTCTACCCTACAAATAATTTATATGGAAAAACAACGTTTGCCGTGTCAGCTAGTCATCTATATAGTTAGGATTATCGTACAGCTCAATGTAATACCAGTGTTCTTTGGAGCGGTGATAGCTAAGTGACTAGGCGCATGTTTTTATTATAATATACTCCTTGCTGAATAACCTCCGTGCTGCAACGTCCTCTCTATGGCATAATCCAAGGCCCCAACTAAATTTATAATTTCAATTTACATTAAATTTAATACTGACTCATCGCGTGCTCAGCGATGAAGATAAACCAGTCTAACGAAATGTCCTAATGCTCTCTGTACAGAGGAGGCCTTTTCCCAGTAGTGGACTATTATGTAGACTGTTACTACACTTTACTTTTTCACTTTGTTCCTCTGTAGTAACATACTATTACCGTACATAATTATTTACGTTCGAGTCTTTTGTAATGAAGGTTTCAGAACACATCTTCTTTCACTTCCCATTATTTTCTATAGCAAAAAAACTAATATGAATACGATTCATGTAACACTTTTCAATATACCTTCTCACAAATAACAAAACTGTACAAAAAAAAGAGTAAAGTAACAGTCTATACATGTCCAACTGCTGGGCAAATGCCTCCTCTATACAGAGGGTATCAGGGCATAGTCCACCACGCGGCCCCACTGCGGATTGGCGGTCTTCCCATATCTTCGAAAAATATTTTTTTTTGTTATTATTTTCAAAAATCTGCCAGGTTTCCTCACGATGTTTTCCTTCACCGCGGAGCACGTAATAAGTCAGCACTTAAAGTTAAAAACTTCATTGGTGCCGGCACCGGGGATCGAACTCAGGTTGCTCGAGTATATTGAATGAAAGGCGAGCGCCCGGACACTGAGCTATCACGGCTCTAAACAAACTGTCCAAAGTTATACGTAACTCTAGATAATATCGTTAATTCTTAGCGCTTAAATAAAGTACTGGTCTACGGTAGTTCTTTAAAATATATATCACATTCAGACAAAATATATGTTGTATGTAACGCTATAACTCGTTTTTAAAAACAAAACAAAAAAAATATATTATTTATTATTTTTACAAAAAAAAGCATTGCTATTGATGACTGTTACTACCAGTGTAATATTTTGCCTTTTATTTTGCAAAGTCAAAATCAAAATATCTTTATTCAATATAGGTAGGCTTAACTTAAACTCTTATTGAACGTCAACAAAAAATCTACCACCGGTTCACTAAACTAGACCTGAGCAGAGAAGAACCGGCAAGAAACTCTGCGGTCTAGTTCATTTTTTTTACCTTCTTAAGATTCAGATTTCATTCACCTTCTGAAAGAAACTTGATAGTACGAGATATCATTATCTTGTGTATACAGGTAGAAAAAGAACGCAAAATGAATATTGAGAATAAGACTACATAGTTATATTGTGCAATTTATATAAATGGAGACTGGAGGAGGAGTGGATGAATATTTTATCTCATGTAACATACAATAAACCGCTATTGTATGGAAGGAAAGACTTGGAAAGAAATATAAATAGTTACTGCCAATTACAGAGTTATACAAATTAAGGGTAAAGTTTCAAATGTCAAAACATGCACATCAATGGCAGATTTACCAGCTGGCAAAGTGGGCTAGAGTCTAGGGCGGCAGATTGTAGGAGGCGGCAAATTTAGGCCAAAAATGTTTGTCTTACAGAAAAACATCATTATATATACATTGAGAAAGCGAGTATTAAAATGTATTAACTTGATTCATTTTCTAAACTGTACCTAAGTGCAATAAAAAAATTAACAACTTTTACTAAATGTATTTTTTGTTAGCTGTGTTATAGCTGTGTGTAAATATTGGCCCGTCTTATAATTAGAACATGATTGAGCTTTTTTTAGCTCAGAAATATACCCAACAACTATTTTTAGCGTAATTCTCAAAAAATCGTTGATCGAAAAATAATCCAGAAACTGACACGACGAAACCCTAATAAAATGAATCCAATAGAGCACAAATCAAAAAGTTGCAATTTTATTGACAGAATAAATGTAATTCATATGATTGCGAACTAGGGTAGCTATCGATTTCAGAAGTCAGTACGGGCGGCAGAAATTGAACAGCCTATTGGCGGCAAATTTGTAAATCCGCCACTGCGAACCAGTGTACTCCAAATGATGCCTGCCGTGAAATACCTAATTGGGCTACCTGACTGAGCTCAACACTGCTGAGAGTTTCTGTTCACAATGATCACACAAATTGTTATCGCGATACCAAAGCCTCAATCGTCAGTTAGCTGTAATAATTGATTAACTTGAAATTAATTAACCTTTTTTATAATAATATAGCCTTCATTGAGATCAACTTACTGTTCTATTAGGTATAGATTATTAGAACTTCGGCTAGATGATGGTTCATGCTTGTTTTCTGTAAATCTGTTTGTCAGTTGACAAAGGCCTCCTCCAACATTTTTGTTTTTTTTTTGTTCACTCATCACTCCCGCAACTTGCATAATGTCGTTATGCCGTTGCTTCTGTGGTCCAGCATTTTTTCCTTTGACCCTCTTTATAGTACCATCGTGTCCCAATTTTGTTATATTTTTCTTGTCCTCTTATCATGTGCCCTGCCTGCATCGCATCTCCTATATCTATCGTAAATAATCTTTATTAGGAAGGCCAAGACTGAAACTTCCATTACTTTTTGTGGCAGTGGTTGCTTTATGTAATTAAAAAATCAAACTTAGAGCAGACATATGCATTTCTTCATTTTATGCCTAGATGCATCAGTTTCTAAAATTCTTGCTATTTTACAAAATTTCGTTGATTTAATACATCTTTTAAATTCAATTCGATTAATTTTTGTGTATAAAATAGAAAACAGTCATATTACTCGCTTGCTATGTATGAAAACATAATATTGCCGCTTTGTCCCGTCATAAATAATTAAATATGATACCAATAACAAATGAACTTTTTTTTCTTTATGCGACAATGTAAATAAAATTAACGTTAAATGATAGATATTTTGTAGGATTTCGTCGTAAATAGGCTAATTTTACGAAGTGTAAAGGTAACTATGTCTTAAATAAACTTTATTAAAATGTACTTATTTTAAACACATGCTGGCACCGTGTTATCTATGACAATAATTAATTACCTTGGTTGTATACACAGTTACAATTTTTTGTTACTCAAACGATAAGATTACAATTTTTGCAATGATGAATTTTTACAGTTACCTAATAGTTACATTTATTACATATTATTATTGAGTACATATAATATTATCCAATATTTATAGCGACCCACACCTGCTTCGCACAAGTAGCACTTATTTTTTTCATTTCCTAGTGCAAGTTAGTTCAAAATTTCCCGTGAACCAAACTCTTCTTCACATGGAACCTAAACTTCATAGCAAATTCATCCGCTTATCTTTGTTTATAGTAATAAATAAAACAGAATCTCGCGCTTATATTCAGAACAAAATTAAAAGACGTTACATGTTTAAAATCTCATTCATATTTTAGATCCTTATCCAACCTTGAGAGCCGAAAACCTAAATAGAGCTTCAAAAGTTTTGTACAGTAGAAAGATATTTATAGACTAATCATTTTTATGGATAAACTGATGAACCCGTTACCTATTTTTTTAGTGGTCATTACCGCCTAAGGACATTCACAACACTGGTGCTATAAAAGCGTTGTCCAAAATTACGAGACATCATAGTCATCTTGATAATTACTCGATCTTATCGTTCTGAAAATCACGCTGTCGTCAATTAATTTCGCAAAGAGCGTGGCAAAGGGTCTGCTACAAGGCTTTCGGTCGTAAACTGCCAACCATCAAGGCGGTTACAATGTTTTGTGGTCTTTATCGTTGTACGGTGACGAAACTCAGGTGCAGGTGTAGATCTTAGCAATGCCACAGAGCAGGTGAGAACATAGTTATCGCCGATTAGCAAAACCCTAGGTACATTGGATTCAGTCAGATGAAAGGAGCACCTTCTATGTACCTACTAGTCAAAAAATTAGAACAGTATTTCATGTACGGCCGCTCCTGCGCTTTAAAAAGTCAGACGTGGCAGGAGTCCTGCGAGCCGGCAAAACTTTTTAGACGAAAATCCCTTCTCTCCCTACCCTTCAAACTATTGTAAAATTTAATATTGCTCGATAAAGAGTCATATATTCAATCTTTTTAAATTGGAATTAATTATTCTATTAGAAATTATAAAATTAATCGTGTTTTCGTGATAGCATCACTCTGTGCACGGTAATTTTTTTTAACAAAGATTGCCTACAATATGCATCAACAAATCGCGTATAATTTTTTTTTTATTTAAAGGTTTAGGTACGTCTTCTAAGTAATTATCGCCGTGGGCCGGGTCGCCGCCAACTTGTGAGAAAAGGGCTAGTTCTTTTCTCGCTCTATCGTAAATATTACTATATAAAAGCGTTTATTATTTTTATTTTTTAAAAAAAAGCGTATAATATTTTTATTATAAATCAATACCAACTGTGTGCCCCACTTGAACGGATCTCAACCCAAAACGTCAACGTTGCTAAGCGACAAAAAACCCCACTTTAAATATTTGTTATAGTTTTGGAGTAGTTATGATAGTTTGTTAATATTTAAAGATCAACGTTAAGTATTAAAGTAGTGATATAGAGTGCTATAATGGGACTTTATCAATTGTACAGTCATAATGTTGAAATAAAATATAAAAGTCATTTTTTATCAAAAGCAAGCTTATTTACATTCACAACAACATTGATGAATATTGTCTTACCTTTTATTGTAGCATATAAAAGCAGAGGTAACTCCGTTGTAACATAAATATTGCATATACAAGATTTTTTTTATTTCGAAAATTTAATGTATTATCTTTTAGGATTTTGGCTCAAATCACATAGCTTATATGAGCAACCAGTGGTACATTCTACATTTAACTATTTAGTTATTGCAAATACTGATGACCCAAACCAAATCTTAATTTGTGGAGACATAAAGGATTTGTACAATTTAGAAAATAATTTCATTGAAAATTGTGCAGAAATGCAAGTAAGTAGTCGTAACTCGTAAGTAGTATGTATATAATTATATTTATTTCCATATATTTATATATCTATAAACATTTTGAATATTTAGGTACTTATTAATATGTGTGTGGCTTACAGATACAGGAATATAATTACAACAATGTGGGTGAAAGGACTGATATGTTTGACTTCCAAATGAATTTAAATGTGCATCCAGAATTTAAAATAAATTCAATTTTATTGGTATTTGAATTGGATTTCCAACTACGGGTAATAAATACAATAAAATATAAAAAACAACATTATATGTAGATAAATGAAGATATCTCACATTTAATTCTTTTTTCTAGACTACTTGTGAATTGCATATGCAGACTTTGGCTGTTATAGAAAAAGAATTTGCAATTCCTCCTTCAGAATTTCATCACTATGGAGACATAGAATTTTACCAAACTTCTCATTTACCATGCCCCGAAAGCATTATAGATACTCGATATAACACATCACTATTTAAATGGTCTCTTGATAATGTTAACATCATCGATTTGATTCTAGAGGGTTACTTTAAAAGGGCAGGTAAGAGTGTTTCATTTACCTGTAATAAAGTTTTGGTTTTGTTTAATTAATTAATATATCTTTTCAGTCACAACACATGTAAAAACTATATTCTCTACAACCCAAAGCTCTTTTACTGGAAATTTAAAATTACGTGTTCATCTAAGAGTACCTGAAATGCATATTAAGTATACACCAAGTATAATGCAAGAGCTGAAATGGGCTTGGCCACAGTATTTTGCATTTGCAGCATTATTTTACTGGCTTTTTAATAGATTCAAGAAATTTGTTTTCAATAGAAGGCTATTGATGGCATGGGAAATTGTACCATGGAAATCTGAGACAAGATTATTCTAGAGTAATCTAGAGTAATACCTACCTACTACTGATACATACTACCTATTACATGTAGAAACCTACATTTTATGTTGCATAAATGTGGAATTAAATATTCTATCTATTAAAGCATCCAAAATCCAATCTATTTTTTTATAATAAGAATCAAGAAGTAAACATTCTGCCTAAATTCGTAATCATTTGTGCATATTGAGTTCATAATCATCGTTTTTATTTCATTAATATTATCTCTAAAATTATATAAAGACTAATATATTTATTATTAATTTAGCAAACGTTATTAATTTAATAATTTATAAACCTTAATCCTAATTCATTTCCAATATATTTTAATATCTGATCTGAGCTCGGCTTATGGGGTTCGATTTCACATAATCCACACTTAAACTTGACCGACCGCAGAATAGATAACCCTAATGTCTTGCTTATTAGACATTGCTCAAAGTATATAATATAGCAACATTGCTAAAATTAAAATCAATGTAAATCAAAACAATGATTTTAATAGATCGAATTATCTGTATCATAACAAAATAATATAACTATTTCATAATATGATAACTATATGTATGTAATAAAATAGTTGACATCACAGGAGACCGAAGAGCTGGCAGCTACCTTGGACAAAGAATTAGTCTAGCTATTCAAAGGGGGAACGCTGCCAGTATCTTTGGAACCTTGCCTAAAGGGACTCCTATCAATAACATATTTTAGTTATTATATTATTTTTTTAAGGTTTATAGTTTTAAGCTACAGCTATATTATGTGAACATATTACTAGTATCTTCTATTAAATATATTTTCTGTCAAACAATTGATACTTCAATTGTCAATGTCACTTTGTTGACATTAATAGGCCAAATAGGTACATACTTCAAATATGTATAATATTTTCTTTAAATAAAAAAATCCACATATCTAACTTTATTTATTCTATTTTTTATCTATAAATTTTACATATTCAACTTACGTAATTGGTAATCTAAAAATATTCATATATACATATTCACTGGGTCAATGTCAGAGCTGGAAATTCATTTCCAAACGCTGTCATATTTTGATCCAATTCAGCTCTATTATCCTCAATAATAAATGTCTTTCCACTAAAGTCATCTAGTTGTACTAAGAGGTAGCGGCACATATAGTTTCCATATTCATTCTGAAACAATTTTCAAAATATAACAACTGATTAAAATATGTCCAAAAATACAGCATTAAATATGTGTCAAAAAAGGACTAATAATTTATGTAAATTACCTATACTCTGTGGCGGAGGCCTATGTTCAGCAGTGGACTCAAACAGGCTGAAATGATGATGATGATGATGATGACCTATACTCTTATTTGTTTAAATATATCTTACATTTTTATTATATAATATGAAATATCACTTAGCATTACCTGTTTCATGTCTAGTTCAACAACACCTTTATTTACTTATACCTTTTATATAAAATCTCATTCGCATATGCTTTATACCATCCCGTTCATAAATTGCATGTTGGACATGAGTACGTCTTCTTCTTGTTGTTTCTTCTCCATAACCTTTAATAGGTGTTCCAAGTGCATCTTCCACTCTGGGGTCCTGTCAATTTTTTTGCATGCAATAAATATATTGTAATTAAAATATAATTATAATGTTAATAATTATAGTGTTTACCTACATTCTTACATTTTTCCAAAGCGGCGGAATAAATACTATTGGGACTATTACTAGAGAAAAGTTCACGAAATACATAGTAAAATATAACCCCAGTAAATCCAATACCAGCTAAAATAACTCCAGTGTAGGATACAGTTTTAGTTGTTTCTTTAATCTTTTCACCTAGAGGCCGAACATCTGTGGAAACGTCGGCTCTTTCTTGGCTCTTAGTCAATTCACTTTTATTATCAGTAGAATAGGAACCAACAAATTTAAAATTTGATACTTTGACTGCCACAGGAACAGTTTCAGTCAATTTGATATTACGAAACGCTGGACAAAATTTTGATATGATAGACATATTACTATCCGCTTTGTTCTTCTTCTTCTATGGCAGTTGGCGGTATCTGCTTTGTTATTTATACATAAGAATTTTCACAACTTCAGTTATCAAAATTGAAAACTTCAAAGTCTAAGTCAAAACATCCAAAATCCAATCTATTTTTTTATAATAAGAATCAAGAAGTAAACATTCTGCCTAAATTCGTAATCATTTGTGCATATTGAGTTCATAATTATCGTTTTTATTTCATTAATATTATCTGTAAAATTATATAAAGACTAATATATTTATTATTAATTTAGCAAACGTTATTAATTTGATAATTTATAAACCTTAATCCTAATTCATTTCCAATACATTTTAATGTCCGATCTGAGCTCGGCTTATGGGGTTCGATTTCACATAATCCACACTTAAACTTGACCGACCGCAGAATAGATAACCCTAATGTCTTGCTTATTAGACATTGCTCAAAGTATATAATATAGCAACGTTGCTAAAACTTTAATTATTTTGCAATGTGTAGATCAAGAAAAAAGAATAGGTCCCAAGACTTGCTACAACTTTTTCGGTTTGTATGGTGTTCTTTAAAAAAATGCGCGCAAATACTCAATTTGTATTTTCAGGTTGGATGATTGGACTAGCTCAGTATTATGGGCGTTATTGCATGTACCCAATTGTATATTAAGCTTGATTGCTAAGGATTCGGCACCGGAGGTTTTGAGTGCAATTCCCAAACGGAATAACTACTTGAAGAGATAAAATTTCCTGATTTGGGTGCTTTTCTTTAATTTACTTTATCTATAACTCTTCAATAATCTATATTAGAGTTGAAAATCTGCTTGTTCTAGCAGAATTGCCAACTCCCAAATTAAGGGGATAAAAAACGCGTTGTGATTTTTTTAGGCGTTATATGTTATAAAAAATATTATTAAAATATCGATATATCGATATTTTTTCGGCAACCCTGTTAATTTGCGATCATGTCATCTGATATCACATCTCATTCTCACCAGAGGGTTGCCAACTTAGAGGTTTTTCCCAGGAATTAGGGGACAAACAAACGCGTTGGGATTATTTTAGGGGAGTTTTCAGGCTTATTTTTAGGAACTTTTTGGCTTCTTATATTTTTTCCTCCGTTCTATTTCTTATTTTTTTAAAGAAAAGTAATGTTATAGAAATAAAGAGCCTGGGGTAACGCAATCTTAACGACATAAAGTACGGTTTTTCATTACTAAGAATGCCGACTTGAACTATGGAAAGTAGATATAAAATTAAAATGTTCAAAATGCATTCAATAGCAATAGCTACCACAAAATTTTAAAGAAAGCGCCAAAAGTAATATAAATTTTTATATCATTCATTATGAATTTCATTTTTGGAATCATGGTAGAAATATTGGATATCTAAAGAAAACTTACGAGAGATTTAAAAAAATATATATATATTTTCCTACAATTTTTGTTTACACACTTATTATAAGACCAACATTTTCGCTGCAATAGACTTCACTGTATTACCACTCATGTGAAAATTAAGGGGCAATCTTTCCGCAACTTATTATTTATATTTTTTAATAATATTATTTTATTAGGGGGATTTTAGGCTTTTTTTTTTACTTAAACTTTAAGGACAAATATGTTCGAGAGTTTGTAACACTGTTTCATCAGTCACTCATCCATCAGTTGACAGTTGTTCATCATTATCACTTGTCTTTTGTTTCCTCCTGAATTCCTGAACATGAACGTCATTGTGTTGTGATTTTATTAATTCTAATTAAAGTAAAAAATGCATTGTAACTATGTTGTTTACACTCAAAGATAATATAAAGTGTGTCACGAATAAAATAGTTTAATTTTATTTATGTATTAAAATCTGAATAGTTAGACTGTAAACATGGATTGGATAATATCAGATGAGTTAGGGCTCACTGTTGGCCACCTGGTCGGCTGGGGCGCAGCTGGTGCTATGATTATCGGTGGAGTCGCACCGTATATTCCCCAATATAGGCAAATAAAAAGGACACAAGACGCAGAGGGCTTTTCTCTTTATGTTTGTTTAACACTTTTAATAGCTAATACATTGCGTATATTATTTTGGTACGTAATATAGAACTATTAGCACACCTTTATATATATATATACACCAAGTGCAGACTGTCTGTAACATTTAAAAGATGATTTAAATAAAAATATTTATTTTAAAGAGTAAATATACTTGTTAATTACCAAGTAGCATAATCACATTAAATTTGAAACTCAAGAATAAAAAAAAATATAATTTCATTACGGTACAGTTTACTTTTTCATATTTAAGATATTAATTAATCAAAATATTCTAGGTTTGGTAAAAGATATGAGCTACCCTTGTTGATACAGAGTATTGTGATGAACATAACTATGTTTGTAATGATCCATCTGTGTGTCAATGTTCGTAAAAAAAATCAAATAATAAGAGCAAGAGAAAGAATATTTACAGGTTTGTATTAAAATTGTCCGTATTCTATTAAGTAGTTATTTAAATTAACTGGCTAAAGTTTTGATAATACTTTTACGGTAATTGCATATTAACTATTGTTTATTATATGACCCTTCACAAGTATTTCTATTAGTTTCCTTATCTGTTTTTTATGTATTTTATTACTTTTAATTACTATTAGTAACCATATTTTTTATGAACTAATTTTCTTTAGTTATTAGCTGTACCTTATTGTTTTTATTTTTTAACATTATTTCATGTTTTATTTGGTGGTTGGTGTAATTGATGGTGGCATTAGGTGCAATATTCATGTTATATATACTATTGTGTTGTGTAAATGGATCAGCTCAGCCAGATGAAACTGCGCGCTGGTTGGATCAGCGTAGCAGCATTACGGGAAGGGAGAAACCCCATCGTTTCTATGGTAAGTGCTACAGAAGCCACTGTTAGATAAAGTTATTTTATTTTTATAACATGAGGGCTCCATGTAATCATAATGATGTTTATTGTTGCAACTTTTTATGTTCACTTTGATGTTTCGTTATTTGTATAGGGTAGTGTTGGCGTTTCCTCATAATATTTTTCTTAATGATTTGTATGAACATTACCATTAATGTCTACCAAAATATTCATCAAAGTGACATTTCTTTTTGTATATTACACTATTTTTAAGTTAAGCTTCGACTTGTGACAGTAATTTTGTATAATTTTAATGTAAAATCAAAGTTCAATAAGAAGTAAACGGTATAACTACTGGTGCAAAGTTTGTTTGCTGCCGGTCACAGATTTAATGAAAATAATTGTATTATGTATATGGCATGGGGACTTCTTCACTCATACATCTTTTATTGTAATTGCATACCTTTGTTTTATAATAAATAAAGTTAAGATTAAGAATAATTGTTATTAAAAGAAGATGACCACTCTTATATAGCCATGTCCAAAAACTAGATATTTAATACTTTAAAGTCTTAGATCAAGCTCTATAATATTTTATGTATATTTATCAGAATTTATGCTGCCAATTTTTGTATGTGAGGCATGAAAATAATGTTTTCCTTCTAGGTATAGATTTCAAAATACCTGGTATAGTTAAGTGGCAAATGAAAAATTATTCTAATTAATTTACTGTAGAGCGAATACACAGTTATAAATATATACAAACTATAATTGAGTAAAAGTTGACGAATTTTTGACACCTAATTTCATTTAAATAAACTATTTGCCATTATTAAATCATAAAGTATCTTTAACAAGTAGCTTTAACAAATTCTAAATTATTTAATTAAAATCAAGTTTTAAATTCAGCCTAATTAAAAACATACATTTTCTAGACTTTTTTATAGGTGAGATGGTCATTGTTATTTACTCTCAACACTAATAGCTCTATTAATTCTTTTTGTATATCAGCAAATAATAAATGATATTTGTATATAAATTTTAATATCTAGCATTTTGATTATTACATAATTATTAATTGGAGTTTTTCTTTATTATATATGAAATTTTAGAAAATATATTACTTTGGCATGTTTTTTTTTAAAGTTTCAAATGCCTTGTTGACCATAAAAAGGTTACCATGTGTTGTAATGTCCTTAAAACTGCATAAAGTTGATTTAATTAATAATTCATGTGGATGGGTAATATATGTACAGTGTGTATATTACCCATTTACATACATCATATACAGTAATTTTTATATATTTGTGTGTAATCATCTCAATTATCAATCATCAAAATAATGCATCATTTGTTAAAGAATTGTTCATGAACTATAAATGTACTAAATTTCAGAATGAAGTGGATTTATTGTCCTATGCTTCACTTGCTTTATGGTTTTCTGTTCTTTTTGTTCATGTTATTACAAGTTTTTGTTTTGAATAAATGATTTGTTATGCCAATATTTTATGAAAACATTACATTTTAATAGATGTTTATATTTTACTGCATGCAATTTATGATAAATGTGAATGTATTCCATTCATTTCAAATTTATTTCATTATTAAAATATTGAAAATAGGTGTACCATTTGTATAATTAAAAGTTTTAGTAATGTACTTTATTATTACTTAACATATTTACTACTATGAGATGTTATTAATATACTTTCAAATAAAGCACAATAATAATAATGTGTTTGCTTAAGTATTTGAAAAAATTCTTGTATGTATATACATATATATATCATTTCTTACATTGGTTCATTGCCCTTCTTATCATTACTTGACCATTGTATTAGGGCAAATTTATTACGCTATTATCTCATCGTTGGAGCTGTAGTTGGGTCACGGTATGTATTTGTGCCTATGTTATCTATGTAACTCAATTTATTTGTATGCTGTTATAAAGTTTCTGTTGCTAAAGATAAAATATCGAGTTAAATACCAATCAAAGTCTTTTTATTCTTCTCAGCAAATTAACAAGCCTTATATATGTATAATATCAATGAATAGTACATAAATAAGAACAGAACTGCTAATATATAACACTAATATTTTTATATTAAAGAGCAATTATTGTCAGCGTATTTGCATCTTTCTGCTAATCTTTGCATTTATTTCTCAATTGTTAAAAGAAAATAATATTTTTATTTTATTTATTTGGTTTAACGTAAATTGTTACCTTCATACATTAAAGTAACAGGAAAATACAGCGTAGTTATGGCTAAAAGTAGAACTAATGGAAGGTGTATGGCAACTCACTTTTTTTTATAAAAACCTAATTACAATTGAATACGTCATAGAAAATATAATTATAGCCTTTTGTTTTAACATTCTGAATTTATTCAAGGTGGCATTCCATTAATATTGTGGAATGAGCAGGTCCGTCCGTGTAAGCATACCACAACTTCAGAGAAGACCGGCGTGAAGTAGAAGAGTTATACTTTTGCGTCTCGTCTGGTGAGTGAGTTAGCCGGGGCTCACTTTATTAAAAGGCGGCAACGCATCTACAACCATACGGGTGTTGCAAATGTCAATGGGCGGAGGTTATCACTTTAGCATCAGTAGGTTAGCCGACTCATTTGCCATTTTCTCATCAGATTAAAAACCATTAAAAGAATTAATGGGTACAGAAATAGCACTAGACGTTTGAACGAGTTCATTAAATCTCAGAAATAGCATCTTGTTACTATGACCCCGGTAATAACTTGTGCATGTAAAAAAAATCCACAAAACCCAATTCAAGTCTCGTTAAAGTTTCATTTAGAGGAACTGACTGTTACATCGATGTCAGTTTCATTTATGATAATCATTCAGCAACTTACTACTTGATAATTCACTTTCCACAGATATGGACAGAAAGTATTTCTGGGCCTGGACAGACTTCCAAAGCTACCTAGACTGTATGTTAGTATTCTCCGTGCTCGGTGCAGCAATCACATATCTACTGATAGAGTTCTCCCCGTTCGTTGAGCTCATCGGGTTCCTCGCGGTCTTCACTGAGGCGATGCTCGGGGCGCCTCAGATCACGAAGAATATTCAAAATAAGAGCACCGAAGGAATGAGGTTTGTTATAATATTAGTCCTATATTGCCCGCAACGCCCAATCGTGGGCTGAATATCGATGTAAGAAAAAATATTCTTTCACCCGGTAAAAAGTTATTTTTAAAGTTTTTTATGAAAAACATTTCTCTCACTTTAGAATAACATTATCCTGTGTTGTAAGGACGTTTTTACAAACATAAATTTCACGTGTACAAACACCCAGATGCGAAACAACTATCTGTGGGTTGCACAAATAGTTATCCCGTGTGGGAATCGAACCCACGACCCCTGAGGCCGCCAATACCTTGGCAATTGCACCACGGAGTCATCAAAAAGTGAAGGTACCAAAGCTTAAATATTTTTCAATATTTAAAAACCCTCGTAATTTTAGATATTACAAAAATTGATTGAAAATTCCTTGAGTTTTCATGATTTTAAAAAGTTTAGAAGACATTCAATTTTATTTCTTTTTATGGGTAAGTAAATAAGTTACATCGATATGTAAATTGTTAGTGGTGGATCTCAATTAATATTTTTCAAAAAATATAAAATGCCCTTACGACACAGGATAATGTTATCCTAAAGTATGGCAAAGTTTTAAAAAAAACATTGAGAGGTGTCAAGGGACACCCAGATGGAACGAAGTTCCTTTCGATTAATTAGTGAAGGAATTGTTATAATTTTTTTTTTTTTAAGTTATAATAATATTTTTATTAATTATTAACATATATAATGTAATATAAACTTAATCAGTAAGCTCAATTTTAGTAATAATTGGCTTGTGGTAACTGAAGTAGGAAACATAATATTTTTGGGATTCTATTTTATTTAAATGTCTTGCAAAAACTGCATCAATGTTAGTATTATATTTTGTTGTTGATTCTGCTGGATTATTGTTAATTCTTAAATCAAATTCTTCCTCTAGAAACTGTCATGTATGTCTGTCTGACAGACAAACAACAGACAGAGAAACATGCGCACGCCGCACAGCCTACAATGGCTTACTATAGCAAAAAGAATTAATGGTGTCGTGGGACACCAGGTAGGAACGAAGTTCCTTCGGCTAATGTAGAATCGACACAAATTGCAAAAAAAATCGTGCTCAATTTTATGTAGGTTTTTTTGATTTTTCTTTTAAATTTTGCCGATTAGTTTTTATTTAAGTACAAGAAAGTATTTAGGAAATTCAGTATTTTAGGAAATAATAAATTACTTAAAATAAAAAAAACATCGTAATTCAAATTATCAACTAAAATAACAAAATTATACACTACTCGCTTGTGTATGCGACTGTCGCGCCTTCGCACGTCTCATTTAATGGTTTTATTCCACGCACTTTTTTCCACGGATTTTTTCTTACGGTTTTACTATCACATTTTTTTCAGTTCGGTCGCGCAGCAAAATCCCTATCCCCTCCAAGCCTGCCGTAAGGAACTTCGTTCCAAAAAGTGTCGTTACAACTTTTCGTGAGAATTTTTTCCGTCTAGCCCCCTTTCACAACGCGCGATAAGGAACTTCGTACCAAAAAAAAAAAGATTTTTCTAATCTAAGTTCCAATTGATGTAAATAAATATTTGAGACTATTGATATCAATTTGAAGAATGGATCTTGTAATTTAAATCATGCCTAAAGATACATTAATAGACTTTTGCGGTTTTATAAATTTAAGTAGTAAAACATTTATTATCAAATATGAACCAGGGCTAAATCTAAATTAATTTCATATTGCGCAAATAATTAAGTTTCCATGTCATTATTACAAAACCATTATCTATATCCATCGTAATACTCTTACCAACAAATGAAGCTTGATTGTTATAGATACTAGCAGAACTGACAGACATCCTGTAAACATGACCGAAATCCAAAAACAACATAAATTTAAAAAAAAATTAAAATGTGGACCGAATTGTGAATCTAAATCATTCTCGAATCGACCTGAAAAACACACAAAACTTCATTAAAATCTGTCCAGCCGTTTAGGAGAAGTTCAGTGACATACACATACGTACTAAATAATTATTTTATTAGTATATAAAGATAATAATTATATATATCGATATAGGTATAAGAACCGTAATAGCGCTGGTTTTTAACAAAAAATACTGAAGCGACCTCAGTTCAATCCCCGGCGCCAGAACCAATGAAATTATTCATTTGAAGTGCTAACTTATGACATGCTCAGTGGTGAAGGATAATTTCGTGAGAAACCTGCATATTCATGAATAATAACAAAAAAAAATATTTCAAAGTTGCGTGATAGACGATTCCCTAATACCCTATGTACCTACATTAGAGGCATTTGCCCAGCATTGGAACAAATATAGGCTGTTACAATACTTTAACGATTTCTTTAACGTGCAGAATATGAAAAACGGAAACAAAATTTAAAGATGGCTCGCGAAGATACTTATTATGTTTCTTTTTCATTCCTAGTTTGAGTATGGTGATCATGTGGACCTTCGGTGATATATTCAAGACAGCATATTTTGTAATCCGCGAAGCTCCGACTCAATTCTGGGTGTGTGGCAGCTTACAAGTCGCCTTAGATGTTATCATTCTTTTTCAAGTAAGTACTTAATATAAACAATTTAAAATAAAATATTTGTTCTAAGTAAATATGAATATTTTTTAAATTAATTAATGCCATAATTTTAAACTTTGTATTCTTATGCATTTTTACTTTTTCGTTTGATGCGAAATAAGAAAAACTTACTTGGTTTTTGTCGGTGGTAGGGCCACGCAACAGTTTTCGCTGTTGCACGAATGGGCAGGTCCGTCCGGGCTAGTAGCACGACCTTTCAGAAGACCGGCGTAAAGCAGAAGTGGTAAACTGCTAGGTCTCCTCTGGTGAGTGAGGTAGCCGGGACCAACTTTATTAAGTGGTAACGCATATGCAACCCTACGGGTGTTGCTAATGTCCATGGCCAGGCGGTTATCACTTAACATCAGGTGAACCGCTAGGTCGTTTGCCACTTTCTCACATAAAAAAATCACAATGCGATTATGCAGTTACGTACAGGCGTCGTGTATTATCTGTGGTTTGCAGGTGTGGCTGTACCGGCACAACACCGCGGCGGCGCGGCGCCTGCGTCGGGGAGATTAGCAGTGGACCGAAACCAATTTATAGTATTCGCCTCGCGCAAAACGCGCGCCATTTCGTTTCATAAACTGTCTCCGATGTTTATTATGATAATGAAATATCCGTAAGAGACTGAAGCAGAGCGTAGAACACGGCTGACGGTTGCTTCCATTTCGATTCCGATTTTATATAATCTGTAGGTGTGCTTCAGAGCCGGTAGAGATTGGAATTCCGTATTGTTATATTCTATTTAAATACTATAGTGATAACTATTCGTGAAATTTTTAATATTGTCAAAATGTAGTGATTTTTTAATATTTCCTAGATCAATTTTGGCATTCAACGAGCACATTTATTGTTGTTTAAATTAAGAGATATGTAACCTTTATCCTTTCGGGTAAATGAGTGCTCAATTGAATGCACAATTTTGGCTTTGGTGTACTGAAATGCCATATGGTATCGAGTATTCGTTCCTTCGGAGCGAATGAGGTGCTATGGACTGATCGTTTAACAGTTGACGAGGCTAAGCGACAATGACCATTTCTGCCCTAAAAATGTCCATAAAATTCATGTGGCTTGATATTTGGCTATGGTTTGAAATTAGGTAATACTGCAGCTTTTATTGGGATACAAGCAAAATTTTGTTTGGATTATTATCCTACTACAGTTCGTATTTATTCATAACTGCGTGTATGCGTCTGACATAATTAACTACCATATTTTTATGCAATTAATTGTGCCATGAGCATATTGACTTAAAGACGACAAACGACCTCACAGAAGACCGGCGTAAAGTGGAAGTATGACAAATACTTTCGCGTTTCGTCTGGTGAGTGAGGTAGCCGGAGCCCAATTTTCAAAAGGTTGTCAACGCATCTGTAACCCTCGAGTGTAGCAGATGTCCATGGGCGGCGGTATTCACTTAACATCAGGTGAACCGTCTGCTCGTTTGACAACTTTTCGCATAAAAAAAAAAAAAAAATGTAAGTATGTAAGAAGACAAAAAAGTAAAAATGTAAGATTTTCGGAAGGAAAACATTTTCGTTAATACGAAATTCGGCAGCTTACCGCGTAATATAAATAAATTAATTTTAGATCTTAAAATTTTTTATTCTTAAGATGTAGTTTCTGGACATGGTTAGGGCAAGTACTCATAAAAAAGCGGTCATTGTCCACAATACATATAAATAAGTTAGTGATGCACGGATAGTAGTGACTTAAGACACGTTTGCTTCCGTGTTTTATTGTGAGAATAAAATGTATCCTTAGATAGTATAATCGAAAATGAAACCGTAAAATTTTTTGACGGTGTTATTTTGATCGAATTTTAAAAAAACCTGTTCTGAGACAGAATTAGACCTTATGAAGCGAAAGAGTCTGTGATAGATAAAGCATTTGGTTTTTCTTTTAACATCTATCTATCCTTTTCACGGGTAGACTTCCAAAAGTGTTATTCAATTAATATTAACTTATCACATTAAAAGCATTAAATATAGGCAATAGATGCACATTTTTCCAGTATTCAATTATTACGCCGCTATAATTACATTACAAAATATTAAGATAGGTTTTAAGTACAATAATATATCATTAAAACAACAATCGCCGATAATTCATAAAATTCCCCGTAAATTGCGACTTCCAACGCAATTTTATTAGAAAGTTTATTCAGTACATTTTCGTACTAATATTAATGTATTTTATATGCGAAGCTAGTCAGGATTTTATATTTTGCATCCACACGGAGACATTCCGGCTTCATCAGTTTTAAAGATTCAAAGCCATTAAGTATGACCTCGTTACATACCATTAAATGAATACATATATAATTTCGTCGTTTTTGTAATAAGATTGGTTACAAGGTTAAGGAGAAGTTACCTTCTTGTGCAATTCTAATGGAAAATCAGTTGCGGATTTACAAATTTTCCGCCAATAAATTTTCAATTTTTGCCGCCCCTACCGACCTCTAAAATTCGATATCCTAGTTCGCAATCATATTAATAACATTTATTCTTTCAATAAAATTGCACCTTAATGATTTGTGCTCTATCGCCTGCATTACATCATTTTTTGTTATTAGCATGATTTTGAACTAGGGTTTCGTTGTGTCAGTTTCTAGATTTTTCTTACAACCCAAGATTTAGTGAAGATTACACAATAAATAGTTTTTGGGTATATCTCTGAACTAAATAAAGCACAATCATGTTCTAATTATAAGACGGGGTAAGGTATGCTTTAGAAACACTGTTAGAAATACTTAAAACATTTCTGTAAGACAACATTTTTGCCAAAATTGCGGCGCCCTAAAATCTGCCACCCTAGGCTGTAGCCTACTTAGCCTGCTGGTAAATTCGCCACTGGAGAAGATGCCTAATCATCTTTATCAACAACTTGGAAATGTCGTGGAAAACATTCGAAGTATAGGTACCTATATAATATTCCGTTGTATTACAAAAAACGTTTCTAAGTAAATGAATAAATATCAACGTTGAACACAATTATCAGCCTTCGAAATAAACTCAGAATGCGTTTAAACTGACGAAAACCTTTTATGGACCATCTTATTAATAGGTACAATTGTTATTCGTAAGGAATTTGTTCAGACGTGATTATTGCTTGTGTAGTAACTAGAATTTTGTAGTATTACTTGTGATAACCGTTGTTATAAAGTTTTCCATATATAACACCTCTGTGTACAAAATAATATATTCTAATATAAGTATGTTATTGTGTGTGAAAACTCTAATGCAATATATTTTAATGTAGTTAAATGTTTTTTTTTAACTAATGAGTACAACATTTAATGACATGAAACTAATTTACGGATTTTATCCGTAAATTTCATTTAATATTCGCGTAAAATCAAGAAATCAATATGAGTACAAAATATCATGCGTCTAAAATATATATATAGTGTTCTTAAGTCGTGTTTCTAAGTATCGCATTGATTTATTCATATATAATCTGTTAATATTTTTACTAACCAAATTATTAATTTAAAATGTGAAGTTTTGTAGTCACACGGTCAAAAACTTTAATACTAGCGCTGCAAGATTCAAACCTGTGCCTTCCAGGCAACGAGCCCAGACGATAAACAATTAAGCAAAAATCATTAACAATAATTGAACGTCTGATTGCCATAGTGAACCCGGGCTACCGTCAGTTTTTGAATCGTTAATTTTGTGTCCGATCTATTCAGAAGGAGCTAATTCTATCTTGTCTTGCAGTAGTGGTTCGTTTGGGCCTAGATTTTATTGATGATAGGATCCCAAGCTGATGGTAGCATAAACCCAGCCCTCTTCTCTATTAAAATTAGGGTGTTTTAGGTTTTTTTAATTTCAACAGCCTCACAGTAAGATTTTTCACTTTTTCATTTAATGTATACATTTTAAAATTATACGAATAACTATTTCTTGAACTGATCTTTTAAATTGACTTTACAGGACACATTAAATTTGCGATTATCATTTTATATTTCAAGAAGCATATTTTTCTTTTATAAACATAAGATATGCTTTCTAGAAAGCATTACGAATTGATGGTTGTAAAATCGCGCCTAGTTATGTCAATGAAGTGAACAACTTTCCTCTATTAAATTCATTCACTTTCCAATAATGACAATGAATAGAATGAAAAGTATTAATGTTTCTGGATTATTTTATGTAATTCACAATCACCATTACATATTTTGATTGTTACACATTATAGATTTTTAATTGTTACATATTTTAAACTTTTAAATATATAATTGTGAATAAAAAACTTAGACGACTGCTATGAGATGAAACATATCATGTATATGCTAAATGTTGTATTTATAATATAAATTGAAAATGTAATTGACGCTGTCAATTAACATTATTTGACTAGTTAGTACTATGAGACATGTATGTTGTGATTTAATCATTTCGTATACAAATTAAAATTATATTGTTTGTTTATAGCTCTGTTTAAATTAAACCACCATCCTATTTTTAATAGCCGTGATAGCTTAGTGTCCGGGCGCTCGCCTTTGATTCAATATACTCGAGCAACCTGAGTTCGATCCCCGGTGCCGGCACCAATGAAGTTTTTAACTTTAAGTGCTGAATTATCACGTGCTCCGCGGTGAAGGAAAACATCGTGAGGAAACCTGCATATTTTCGAAATAATAACAAAAAAATGTATTTCGAAGATATGTGAAGTCCGCCAATCCGCAGTGGGGCCGCGTGGTGGACTATGCCCTGATACCCTCTGTATAGAGGACGCCTTTGCCCAGCAGTGGGACATGTATAGGCTGTTACCTATTTTTAATAACTCGCAGAATTACAGCAAACCGGCGGATTAGGACTTCATCTAGTCCACTGCAATTTTAGCAGGAAATTCAAAAAACCTCGCTGTGCCACAATTCATCGTTAGTTATCCCAGATCCTTGCTTAACGATGTTGAACAAAATGTTGAGATCATCTTTGCATCGATCTTGGATAAGGTTTTTCCTTGACTGTAATTAATTCTTGTGATCTATCGCAGACCACTTCTTAAAATCAAGACTATATGTATCATTCTGTCTTATTAATACAGGCGTATAGTGACGACAACCCAACCTTATTCACATTTATTGTTCGGTCCCTCAATTCTGAAGATCGTGACCACGTGTCATTCTCTTCTACTACGTGAGTCGTAGGCGGTGTAGACTGCGCATTGCATGCTGCCGCCTACCGCGTTCTTCACTGTATCAGCCTATCTTGTCTTACCTTTTATGACCAATTTGGACCACTTTTATAGAGTTCAAATTTTATAATTTGGACGCTTCTACAACAATGTCCCCGTTAATGCAAAAAGCCTGTATATTAACAGGTTTAAAGAAAAACTTCAAAAATGGTTATTATAATATAAACGAATACATTTATGATAATAACTAATAAAAATAAATAAAAAATATGAATTTGAGGACAAAAAATTAGAAAAAAGAGGATACCTTCGAAACGGTGGTAGATTTAAAAAGTGACTATTGATAGATGAAATGTTTATTTCTTACTTATTTTATTTGATTTGGACCGCTTCCAAGATGGGGCCGATATAGTTTTATTTTTTATAAAAATTATAACTTTAAATTTACATGCAATTTCCTTATACGACATTGTATAGTTTATACTATGATAAGCAGAATCCATTTCAAGCCAAAAAATCCGCCCAAGTACGAGTCGGACTCTGATTCGCTCGTTCCGTACAATTATCATTAAAACTGCAAAAAAGTCATGTTTGTTGTATGTTCGCCTCACCCTAATATATTGGTTTATTCCGCTTTTTACTATTTGTTTTTATAGCGACAAAAAATACATCATCAGCTGTGAAAATTTCAAGTGTCTTACTATCATGGTTCATGAGTTACAGCCTGGTGACAGAAAGACTGACAGCGGTGTCTTAATAATAGGGTCGCAATTTACCCTTTGGATACGGAACCCTAAAAAAGGCACTGAAAAATTGAAGTCTCTATGTCTGAAAGACGATTTCAGCCCACCGTATGCCGCCAAGAGTCACCGAAACTGAAAGTTGCGTCCAAGACTTTCTTCTCAAGTAATAAAAACCATACGTTGATCCTATGTAAAAAAAGGGATATTATCATGCATTAATCATTATTTGTCATTAATCATTGTTCTGTTAAACGAAGGACTTTTGTATAAATCGACCCTTTCGGGTGCGAGCTTCAGCGCCTCTAAGCTACCCAATGTACGTCATCGGGGGATTTCTGATGGTCTCGTTGAGTTTTAACAAAATAAGCAAATAAAAGCTCTATTGTACTAGTCTTAAGGTCGGAAAACCTGCAGGGAGGTGGCCATGTAACTACGAGTGGATCGATGGACGTGGGAGCTTTTACTTGGTATGTGTGAGCGCCCCCTTGCGGCGTGTCTGGGCTTTTGCCAGTGCGCGGGTCGTATCGCTGACGTTCGGTCGTGAACCTCAGATTGATCTTTTCGGCGTCCCGCAGCCTCCGACACCGAGAGCGAGGTAATGTATCTAATACACCTGTTAATACCATGTATACCATGATAAATAAATATCTAAACACAATTCTATGGGGTCAATAAATGCGTGTCCATTAGAGTATGGATCGCTTGTTTACAAATTCAATAGTTCAAGTTCATCTCCAGCTAAGCCATCTTTTATGAATGATGGTTTATTAAGGCGGCGTAAAAATTATTATCATGTAAGAATATAATGACATTCGTCGCTTATATAGTCAATGTTCTTAATGGATTTTAATTTAATGGCTATGAAGACGCAATATTTGTTGCTGTATTTATGTTTATGTGACGAAAAAATAAAAATAAATAACCTGAAGTTTGCGTTATGAAAAAAAATGCTACAATTTAGGAAAAATAATTGAAATCAATAGTTCAAATGTGTATTGTGGATTTTTTAAATCTGAAATGAAATTGAAGAGCAAAGTCACAGACATAATTGTTTTTTTATTAAGAAAAATGTAATTTATATTATTCTCCCTCTTTCAATGGAGGCTGGTAACGAAGAAACTAGAGCGCAGTCGCTGATATGTTGTTGAATTACACATAGAATGCAGTTTCAAGGTGACCGCATGCTACTCCAGTGCAATTAGGCTTGCTTCCTGTAGCCATCTTGCTGTGACTATGTGGCCAATATGTAGGGACTTTATAGCTGTTAGCTGATGTATAAATAATTCAATGTTCGAGTGATAACGAGATAGGTACTTACTTTCATTTCGTCGTGTTAAGTCTAGCTAGTCCAGTAACATCACATGCATTTCAATAACATTTGTTGTTCATCGTATAAAATGAATATTCACGTTTTGTTGTTTTGTAATTTTATACAATATCTTTTTTATATAAACGTTTACTTTTTATTTACGTTAAGCTTCTCAATATGTATTGAAGTTTTTCTATTTTCTCTATGCTTTTATAATATATTAATAATAACAAAGCCTTAGCTCTACCTTAGTATATTAGGACGGAATTTCTCTTCTTTTTAGATGTTTTATCTAAAAGTTAGTCCAAAATTAATATGCTTCGTATATCACATAATTAGTAATAGATACCTATACGTAAAAATAAGCTTTACAGAGTTTTTGCACGTTATTATTAGATTTGAACTTTAATATAATCTAGTACAAAATTAAGTACAAAACTGCTACGACATTGACGGACCCGATGGAGCATGAAACAACTTATTTGCATATTTATTTATTTTGTCGCGTAAGAATATACAAATATATCAGACAAATAGTTTCTTTTAATTATTTGCTGATGGATAGTTGTTTATTGATTAGTTAACACTAAAGTTATTTTGGGACCAAAAAAATTGTTCCAAAAGCTCTGAAGGACCGATAAAGTTATGAATATAAGTGCTGTTGGTCAAGTGTCTCTTTACCATTTTCGAAACCGTACCGAAGGTTTCTAAGTCGGTAAACATCAGATACTAATTCACAGTCACACAGATTACTTTCTTATAGCAGGTTTGTTTAAGGCATTTTCTGTTTTATCATATGGATTTACTCGATGAAAAATATGTAATGTACCTACTCAGACGAACTATGTAGCATACACTATAAAAGCACTTGATTAGACTTGTCTTACGAATTTTACCCTATTTATAAATATTTCAAAGCTAGTAATAATACTACTGGATTTGAGATTTCTAATTTTGCTTTACTAAAACCATGGCTTAATGAGCCGACTGTCCTAAATAAATGTAAATAAATACAATACCTAAGTATAAGCTTAGAAGTTGTTAATACTAACTTATTTTATCATTGTTGTTATTAAAACACTAAAACTATTACCGGTAAAAATTCATGTCTTAATTTTAAGCTTGATGTTTTGGTCATAAACAAATTTTGAAATATGAAAATTCAAAATCACTTCCGATAAATGATTTCGTCTTAACGATACTACTGGACGGTCGATTTCGTAAGTATCAATGAAAAAACAATTTTTATTTTCAGGTAAGTTCATTATGTTATATTTCCATAAACATCTTTTTTGTTGACTCCAAGGCCAATCAATACTCTCAGTTTTTTATCTTATAATTTTAATTACTCTTAATCGCTAATGTAATATTCAAATTCCTAATTGAATTTGTTACAAGTGTAAATGCTCGGGAATTTATAAGTTGCTTTTTGACATCACAACCACATACCTTACGGAGCACAAAGCTAGTTAATAATTATATGTCGTTAAAATTATCCATCTGTGGGTATTTACTTCCTGTTTGACTACATAACTAACTCTGATATAGAGCGGTATGTGCTAATCACGAAAAGGGTAATACGTCAGTGTATGACCTTTTTATGTGTACCCGCGAAGTTACTGATTCGAATTGCGTTTACAAAGTTTGTAAGTGTTTTTAAAGTTACATAGCGATTAAAAAGATTATCTATATCAAAGATTATCTATATTAAAGACTATTTATCGCGTGATAAAAAATTAATAGTAGCTCACTATGAGGCACTATGATTTCTATAAACTGATATATTGACAGTGTTTACAAAACAATAAAAAATGTTTTACATAGTACGGAGTATAACATAATTAAGTTTACATCTAAGTATAGATATTTAAGTGTGGCCGTTAACGAATTAAAGTGTGTATTTAAGATAAGCTTTATGTATGTAAGAATAGCCAATGCTAATAATATCGTCAGTATTAAATACTAGCTGAAAGCTTAAACCCATAAATTTTGACCAATGCCTGCATTTTGAAGATAAATTGTCGTCCTCGCTACTGTGCAGAACTCAAAGAATGTAATCCGATAATTCTCAAAGAAGTCCAAGTAACGGTATGGATGACATTTCATTCCAACCTATGATTAAAACACCTTCTGAAAGTCAAGTGGGACCGGAGTCAAGTTATCGCGTTGTATATCTTAGGGCTCTGACGCTATTAGAATTATTTTATTTAGTGATTTTGCAAACGCTACCTTAGGTTTTAAATGTCGTGGCGTTTGTAGTTTATTGTGTGGAGCAAACGGCAATTCGTATTCAAAGTACAATTGGTGATTATTGATATATTTATAAAATATTCATTCATTAATTTCCCAAAAGATGTCTTGTTGATAACCATTGCTTAATTTGATTTTAATTAGTAATATACCATAATAATATAATATCATGGAATGGGTATCACCCCACAAAACTCCAACGGCATCAGTACCACTAGACTCGTAATGTATTTAAAAAATGAAAACATTATGTAATTTGATATATTTAACACAATTATCTCAGTATTACTAATCATATTCTTCTTCTTAAAAAGGTAAATAAAAAGTTCGTTTAAAAATTCACAGTGGTGCACGTACTATATCACTAAGATATGTGTTTAGCGTATACCATGAGACATTTGTGTAACTAGAATCTAAAACGAAAGATTAAGATACGTTTACCAGTGAAATAAAACTAACACACATTTAACATATACAAAGATTATAAGTTTGATCAGAACGGGTTGAATGTACTTGCAACACGAACATCAAGTTTTTGCAAACCTTTTTGCGGGGCGTTAGGTACCCAGGAACCCGCGGAATGTATATACCTATATGGGTTCATAAACTTATTTTACCGTTGTGTCCTTCTTTCAAATTTATTTGCACGTTTATAACTTCAAGGAGAGCGATCTAGATACAATGCAAGTTTAACCGGGCAGCAAAAAAAGCTTGCTCGCTCAATTGGAAGACGCTTTACTCTATGCGCTGTTGAACTTTAAAGTAAGGACGAAGCGTGCCGATATAGTAATAATAACCTTGTACGTTAAAAACGTCGTAACGTTATACGCATTTTTATATTACATCAAATAGTTCTCCGTGTTCATTATTTAAAGAGAATATTTATAACTAGTACATGACATTTTCTCGAATATGCTTGTGAGTGAAAATTTTTATACAGTATTTTTTCAATATTTTTTGTGCGTCAATTTGAATTTATTATCATTGTCTAAAGTTATACAGAAACAAATGCGTTTATTGAATCACGGTCTAATTTTAAAATTCTGTCAGAAATCAGGCTAAATTTAAAATGAGTTAAAATGTGGTTGATTTCAAATCAAACAATAAAGTTAAATGTAAATTCGAAACCTGCATAACTTACACATAATATTGATGTTGCATAATGTTGATGACATAAATCGGTTTAATTTCAAGATTCAATTGGTTGTATCTCTCTCTTAGAAAAATAAAAAAAACAGCAGTTATAGTCGTGTGTCTAGGATGTCGAATTTGGGTCCAGGTCATGGATTCTAATAGAGCCATGCCAATACTTTTTGGATTTTTTTGTGGCTAGAGGAGGCCTTGCCCAGCAGCGGAACATTTGTACGGTGTTACTTTACTTTTTTACTTTTTAGTAGACAATAAATAAATAGGTACATTTTATTAATCATTATGTTTTTCACACAACAATTTTTCAGCAGTGGTCATCGAATTCTATCATTCATAATATTCTAATACGTTGTAAAACCTATATTAACATATCTTTTGTCAGATTTACGAGTAATTTTTACCATTTTTAAAAATTTTAATCTAACATTATTTGCAGTGACTTTATTTCATTAGCGACATAGGCTAGGAAGAATAAAGTCAGGTGTAAATTATGGTAGCAATTTTAAAAGCAGTCGCCAAAAATAAAGTAAATTAAGTGACTCGAATATTGACAAAGCTTTTTTAGAAGTAAATAGCGATCTTAAAATGATTAGGATTTGCAGAATAAATTCTGCTACTAATTCTGCTGTTCTTATCTTATTATTTATTTACTAATTTATTATCACCACCACCCATAGTTTATTAGCTTATTATTATTAGCTTTGCTTAGTTTGGGACTAGTAAACGTTGTATAAAAATGTCCTGAAATATTTATTTATTATTAATTACTGTTTTATTGTTCCTTGACATAGATATGTGACGGAAAACTGAATGAACTAGATTGTTCACTCAGTTTTCCACATTACAATGAGTAAAGATTATAAATTCATAAGATATTTAGAATGTGC